TTTTAGAAACCTAAAATTGGCTCGTAATGTCTAAATATGCTTTTCTTATGTGGATGCTGATCATAACTGCTGTGCCCTTCTCAGATTACTACACGGAGGATAAATTTTATTGTTGACAACAGAGAAAGTCTGCATTTGACTGATAATTCAGATGGGTCCCAATCAGGTGACCAAGAAAAGGATCGTAGTTGGCCAATGTCTTCTCTCCATCAGATTTATAGCCGGAGGTAAAGTTTCATCATCAAAATTCTGTTTAGTTCGTATATATTTGACTGATGATCTATATATTTGATTATTTCTCAGATATCTCCTGAGAAGGAGCGCCCTGGAACTCTTTATGGTTGACCGTTCAAACTTCTTCTTTGATTTTGGGGTATTTGCATCTAAAACCCTTTCTAAGAATGATATATGTATGTTTCATACCCTGTAAATCTCAGGTCTTTGCATGCTGTAACCAATTACTTGTCCCAATTTCATTTAAAACCATAGAATACCGAGGGAAGAAGAAATGCATATCGTGCTATCGTTCAAGCAAAGCCTCCTCACTTAAATAATATCTACCTAGCAACTCAGGTTCGTGGTTTTTCCTTGCTAACTTTTTTTCATTTAGCTTTTCAACCACTCTTGGCTAGGCTGTGTCACTTTCTGTCCTGTGCTGCAAACTTACATATACTCTCACCTTTTTTTAGAGGCCGGAACAGCTTTTGAGAAGAACTCAGTTAATGGAGCGCTGGGCTAGATGGGAGGTACTGATAAACTGCATATTCAAACCTGTCATGAAATTTTTTAATCCTTATACAATTAATAACATCTGATACAGAAAGATTCACCTCTGGATTATTTCTGCAGATTAGCAATTTCGAATACTTAATGCAGCTTAACACTTTGGCTGGCCGTAGTTACAATGATATTACTCAGGTAATCTTGTGCTCTTTAGTATATTCTTGCGAACTTGTCAATGTCGTTTCTTCCTTGAGATTTATCTTATTCTTGCAGTATCCTGTTTTCCCGTGGATTATTTCTGACAACAGTTCAGAAAGTTTGGACCTTTCAAATCCATCGACCTTCAGAGATCTTTCCAAGGTGGTATCCTTTTCAGTTTTCTTCCAGTTTTAAGTTCTAACCAGTAAATATGATGGTTCATAAATCTAGAGAATCCTGTTGTGATGTGGGTCTGTATATGTTCAGCCAATTGGTGCACTGAACCCGGAGCGGCTCAAAAAATTTCAAGAGCGATATTCTAGCTTTGAAGATCCAGTCATTCCCAAATTCCACTATGGCTCACATTACTCCAGTGCTGGAGCAGTAAGTTCTCTTATCTATAACATCCTGCAACAATGACTGCCATTCCCAGTTTAAAGTTTGTGTTCCCCTGAATCGTTGAAAAAAAGACAAATAGATACTATTTTGAATGCAATTGGATGGTATGCACTTCTCGATGTTTTATCATTATTATCTCATGTGCGCAGGTGTTGTATTATCTTGCTAGAGTTGAACCTTTCACAACCCTGTCAATTCAACTTCAAGGTGGAAAGTTTGATCATGCAGACCGCATGTTTTCAGACATTCCAGGCACTTGGAATGGAGTTCTCGAGGACATGAGTGATGTGAAAGAGTTGGTACGTATTGGTTTCCCTAACGGCCTAAAGCATCAAATGGATGTATTTATCCGTTTCTTCCTCATCAACTCAAGACCATATCCATATTTTGCCTCTAAATTTTTTGTTACAGGTTCCAGAGTTGTTTTACCTCCCTGAGGTGCTGACCAACGAAAATTCAATCGACTTTGGTACAACACAGTTGGGAGAAAAGCTTGGTACTGTGGTTCTCTTCCTTGTCATAGCTATAATTCATACCTGGCATGGTGAAACTTTCGTTTTCTGATGCCGTTTTTTATCAATCATCAGATGCTGTAAAACTTCCTCCTTGGGCCAAAAACCCAGTGGATTTTGTACACAAGCAACGAAGGGCTCTTGAGAGCGAGCATGTGTCTGCACATTTGCACGAATGGATTGATCTCATATTTGGGTAGGTTTTCTCCCTTGAACTGATGATATACTATCAGCACGTTTTTTTTTCTACAGTGTCTAGCAAAATAATCACAACGGTGTTTCTTTGTAAGCCACAGATTTGTTTTTTTCAACGTTTTATATACTTATCTATTAGGTATAAGCAACGCGGCAAAGAAGCTATAATGGCAAATAACGTTTTCTTCTACATTACCTATGAGGGGACTGTTGATATTGATAAAATCACGGACCCGGTAAGGCAACTTTATCATACTCTTATAGTTACTCAGTTTTAGTATTAGCATGGTTACGTGACATTCCTGTGAATATTTGATGAAGGCACAACAATGTGCTACACAAGACCAAATAGCTTATTTTGGACAAACACCGTCCCAGCTATTGACAATTCCTCACATGAAGAGGATGCCGCTGAAAGATGTCCTACATATGCAGGTATCTTCAAGTGTCACTTTGGTTTTGCAATTGCACTCGTAGTTAAAACCTCTTTTAATCATTACCATTTCTGTGAGGGACGGTTTTCTTTGTCTACTATACATTATATTCCTCCGTGCTAAATATGCCACCTGACTATGACAATTATTTCTAATTTTTGTCAGACAATTTTTCGGAATCCAAAAGAGATAAAACCGTATTCTGTTCAAGCTCCGGACCGCTGCAACTTACCAGCCTCAGCTATTCAGGCATCCTCAGACAGTGTTTTGATTGTGGACATGAACGTGCCAGCAGCTCGTGTTGCACAGCACAAGTGGCAACCAAACACCCCTGACGGCCAAGGTACTCCTTTCCTCTTTCATCACGGAAAGGCAACAGCGACTACGACGGGTGGATCATTGATGCGCATGTTCAAGGCTCCAGCTAGTTCTGGAACTGGTGACTGGCAATTTCCCCAGGCACAAGCATTTGCCTCATCAGGAATCAGAAGTTCGTCCGTAGTTGCTATTACAAGCGATGGGGAAATAATCACAGGTAAAAAAGCTTAGCAGTTATGGAACTAACGTCTATTGAAAGTTTATTGGTAATATAATTATGGAAATCATGTCTGTTGATTTTATAGGTGGACATGCGGATAATAGTATCAAGCTTGTTTCCTCTGATGGAGCAAAAACACTGGAAACAGCTTTTGGGCACTGTGCCCCTGTTACATGTCTGGCTCTGTCTCCAGACAACAACTTCCTCGTGACGGGTTCACGGGACTGTACTGTTCTGCTGTGGAGAATTCACAAGGCGTTTGCTTCTCGAACAAACGTGTCTGAGCCATCACCTGCCTCTGGAACTCCTTCTTCCGCAAGCAACACGAATCTAGCCAACACATTAGCAAACAGAGGCAAAAAATGTCGCCTTGAAGGCCCGATACAAGTGCTTCGTGGCCATCGAAGAGAATTAGTTTCTTGTTGCGTCAGCTCAGATCAAGGTGTGGTTGTTTCGTCTTCCGAGTCCTCAGATGTTCTATTGCATTCCATACGAAAAGGACGGCTGATCAGGCGATTAGTTGGTGTGACGGCTAATTCACTCTGCATTTCGTCTGATGGGGTTATAATGGCATGGAGTAGTTCGGAAGGTTGTATAAGCGTCTTCACCATTAACGGAGTTCTGATTGCCAAAGCAAAACTTCCATTCTCTAGTAGCATTAGCTGCATGGAAATATCAATGGATGGTCAAAATGCGTTGATTGGGATGAACTCATGCTCCACCATGGACTTTTCGAGTAGTAATGACACATCAAACGATGGCAAGGAAATCGAGAGACTGGATGTTCCATCTCCTTCGGTTTGCTTCCTTAACTTATTCACACTCCAGGTATTAACAAAACTCCTTGAAGAGCTTAAACTAATTTAATCGGTTCTCGCTTGTTTTCTGGTCTAAACAAGCCTGAAATCCATGTCTTGTATTTGTAGGTATTCCATGTGCTAAAGCTTGGTCAAGGACAGGATATTACCGCAGTGGCCTTGAACGTCGACAACACTAACCTCTTAGTTTCCACGGAAGATAAACAGTTGATAATCTTCACAGATCCTGCTGTAAGTTTATCATTGTGTATTACCATTTGAGCCTGTTTAGGTTTATTGCATTGATCAATTGTTAACAGTTCCTAGTGACTAGTGAGTCTGCATAAACATCAGTTTATCAAAACACATATTCGTCCATGGTAAAAGTGAGTAAATCATTGTGTTTGAAATGTGAATTGCAGTTAAGCTTAAAGGTGGTAGATCAGATGCTGAAGCTTGGATGGGAATGAGAGAAATAAAATCAAAACTCTTTGATACAAAATGGTGGAAACTTACGGCTATATATCTTCCGGGAAGTAAACGGAAGCTCAAGGTCAGGTACCATTACCAAGCCGGATAAATTTAAAAATCAGATGTACATGTTTGGTCGTGTGTAACATATGTATATGGTTAGTTACAGTAAAACTGATTCCGTTTTATCTGTCTGGGGTCAATTTTGTTCTTGTTTTACTATCTTCCGCCATAGTTAGGCTTGTTGAGACTGGTGAGTTATACACCAAAGCTTTGAGCTATTTATTCGTCCTTTATCTCTCCCGCATTAACTTTGTTTTGTGATTCTTTCTGTAGATTTGCACTTTCTGCGCTTCTTTTATATCTCTGTAAGAAAATAGCGTTTTGCTGTTGGCTTTATATTCATTTATTCAGAACTAATTCTTTTCACGAAAAATTGATGGCAAAGAACATTCGAAACATATCCAGATGACAAGTTTAAAGAAGTGAATCACGGGACATATTTCAAATCCGAATCAGAAACACACCAATCGAAACCTAATCAAAGCTGCACAACAAAATTGAAAAATTATTAGAAAATAAAAACTTGGAAATTTGTTAAAAGTTCTATATTCGGGCTAAATAAATGGGCCTGGGCCCACTTACGTCTACTACGGCGAGTGTTGACGGGAGATTAATAAAACAAAGTAGGGCTGCCTCACGAATTGTTAGAGAGAGAAAGAGAGAGAGAGAGATGGGAGGGAAAGGAAAAAAGAGGAGAGAGAAAAACTACTTAGCTGCTCACGGCGGACCGGCGAGACTACCGCCGCCGCCTGATCGTTCGAAGCAAGATGCTCTTCCTTCCAAGCTCCGTGAACTCATGAAATACACCTCTCCTCCTCCTCCCCAAGGTACCTTCTATTTGCCTTGGCTTGTAAAGAGAGCACGAGAGAAAAGTTTTGCTTCAATCTTCCCTCTTGTGATTGTTTCCTGTATCTTCTCTTCATTCAGATTCTACTAAACAAGTTGTAGAGAAGAAAGAAAAGAATACGAAAGCCGGAGCAGATGCTGCTAAGGTAAACTTTTCTTCCAACTTTGGGATTTATATTAGATATTTCAATTTGGGAGTTTTCCACTGAATCAAGTGATGGAAATGCTCTTCAATTTGTCTTTTATGCTATACAACTCTATAGATGTATAATTTTCCGGAATTGAAGACAAAATTTGAATCCTTTCTGGTTTTTTGTACTCTCCATCTAGTCCAATCCATCTCATTGTTTGAATATTGCCAATTTCAACTGTGAGGGAATTTGAACATCTTGCTTCGTGAAGAAAATATGAATTTTGATGTGGTGTATACTTGCTTATGTAACTAGAATGTCAAGCCTGGGAATGACAAAAAGTCGGAAGCAAAGGTGGTTGAGGAAAATAAAGCTGAGGGATTCACAACCTCTTCTGATCAGGAGAGTGATGGAGATGACAGAACGCAGAAGAAGGGAGATGAAAAGAAGAAGAAAAAGAGGAAGAGGAATCAAATGACCGACCTTCGTTTCGAAAAGGAACTTGCAGAGTTGGATGGTCGTTCTAAGAGGAAAGAACGCAAGAAGAAGTAAGCTCTCTTGTTCCCTTTCTATGTACTTGAAGATGACTTTGTTGTATATAAGTTTTCAATCTCTTAATGGCCAAATCGACTTTAATGCAGGTATTGGGAGGCCAAGAAGGAGAAGAAGAATAATAAAGGAAAGACAGAAGATACACTCCGAGAGAACTTCCCGAAGCATGAACAGATAAGATTTGGCGATGTTGTGCAAGCTCCACCAAAGTTGGCTGTTCTTCCAAAGGTATAGTTTCTCTAAACTGTAAGAGAATCTTATCTGTTAATAGGTTCTTTGAAAGGTTTCGATTGCTTACATGTTTATTTGAATGACAGGCACGAAAGACTCCTATGAGTGCTTCGAAAGAGAGGCAGCGATTAGAAGCCATTGACGCTTACAGATCTCGCAATGGTTGGACTGCAAGACCTGGTGTTGAGATTCCTACCGTGCTCATGCCATAAAGATGGATGGACCATGAACTCAATTTTGTAGTTTTGACTTCTCTCTTTCTTTGTCTTAGCTGGCTGTAAAAGTATTACACTATCTTGTCCTGTCTTTCGGATTCTAATCTTATTACTGGAAAGTGGAAACATATTGATAGTTGAGTCATCCAGAGATCTCTTTCAATATATAAAAGTTGATTATTGAATCCAAAGTTGATCATAAAGTTTTGAGTAACCAATTATTTGAATACATGAAACAAGCACAATAACAGTGTGGCAAAATGTCTAGTTAATCAAGTGCTTGTCCTTGGGATTGCATGGAGACAGAGTGCTCCTTCCATATGAAGTGTAAGCATTGTCTTGTAATGTACATTGCTCTTCTCATCAGCCATTTTGAAGCGAAAGAAGTGGAGAAGGGCCATTGACACTATCTTCATTTGCCGGGATGCGAAATCCTTGCCAAGACAGATTCTTGGACCAGCCTACATACATACACAGTCAAACAAAGAAAACATCTCAGGTACTATTATCAACTTGTGTGGCTTGTCTGCAAGAGAGAGAGTATACAAACATGAAAGCTTATGAATTTGAAAGGTGATTCAGGTTGGAACACGCCGTCTTTAAGCCATCTCTCAGGCTTGAATTCCTCAGCATCTTGGCCCCAAATGTAAGTCATTCTTCCCATTGCGTAGGCTATGTAGTAGACATTGTCCCCTTTCTTCACTCTGTATCCATCTGGAAGAATGTCATCATTTTCTGCACACCTCACGTCCTTTGGAAGATTAAGTTTCCATTAGCTCTTAAAATGTTCAATCAGAGAAGAATCTTTTAAGGGCTTGATAATTTACCACAGGCACAGAAGGGTAAAGCCTCAAGGTCTCAGACAATGCTGCATGGAGATACTGCATCTTATCCAGAGCCTCCTCGGTTATACTTTTAACGAAACCATTAACATCGGTTGTTTTCTCGTCACTTGATGTCACATCTCTGATCTCTTGTACGATTTTCTCCTGGACAAGTGGGTTTTTGCAGAGCATGTACAAGAACCAAGAGAGAGCTGCAGCGGTTGTGTCCTTCCCAGCAATCATAAAGCTCAGAATTATATCCCTCAGGTACTTATCATTCATCTTGTCCGGATCTTTCTCACTTTCCACTAGGAATCTCGATAGTATGTCCTCTCTAACAGCCTAAGGAAAAGCCAAAGACGTTTCGAGAGTTTTAAAAGCCGTAAAATGCAATCTAATAGACAGTACACTTTATAGAACTCACAGTGTCTTGTTCCTCTGCAAGCTCTTTCCTTTTAGTGGTAATGAGTCTATACACAAACTTGTCTATGGTATCAATGCTCTTCTTGAGTCTAGCTTGTGTTCCAATGTTGAGAAACCATTTCAGCTTCCAAAGAGGATCAATGAATCTGGAACTAGTTGCAACGTTCCCTTCATCAAAAGCCTCCATGAACTCTTCTCCTTCTTTGCTAAACCCATCCAAACACTTCAACTCCACACCAAACCCAACTTTAAAGATGGAGTCCAATGTATATCTCATCAACATATCCTACCACAAACACAAAAATACCCTTTTTGAGTTTCCTTAAAAAACATTGAAAGTTTCCTAATTTAGAACTCATGAGTTTCAGGTGCAGAGTCTTTATGAGAAATTCAAAACTTACTTGAGCATCAAAAGCTTTTCCAGAGAGAGCAAACTCCGTGACAAAGCCAACAAGCTTAGATGCATTTCTCCTAAAAACAGAGCAGCTAAAATCTCTTAAGACTCTAGCAGAGAACTCAAAGCTGGCGAGCTTCCTCTGTTGCTTCCATTTCTCTCCATCAACAGCAAAGATCCCATGTCCCAAAAGATCCCCAAGATTCTGACGACTGTTGTGTCCTTTGGTATAGTTATCGAATCTTGTCTTGAGAATATGCTCCACGTTCCGAGGATCTGCAGTTAATATCTCGCTCTGTCCTGGACTCAAGAACCTGAAAGTCGGCTTTTCTCTTGCGATCTCTGTCTCGTAGTCGTATAAGTCGTCTTTGTGGAAGAAGAGATCGAAGATTGTGGCATGCACTGGAGCATATTCTTTGTCGAATATTGATTTTCCGGTGAAGATTTTGATGAAGAGATAGATTGTGAAACACAGAACGATGACGACCGTAGCTAGTACTATAATAGCTAAGCTCGTCAGAAGCTCCATTCCTTTTTCTTTCTTGCTTGGCTCTGCTTCTTTCAATCTTTGAAGTCAACCACAAGAGGGAAAAGGACTGATTCCACGGAGAAGATGATCTTGATAAAAGAGAAAGCAAGTAAGGCCCATCATAACGTGTCGTGTCGGCCTCCTGACAAAGTGACAAGAATCCGACCCCTCTTTTCCACTTAGCGGATTTAAAGATTATAGTATGTTTGTATGTCTGTTCACATCTTTTGAACAAAACCCATTAATGATTGGCTCAACATTCTTACACACATTCTGCTTCGTTGATAATTTCAGGTAACATAATGTTTTGGATGAGCAATTGTTTGGGTTACATGAATGAAGCAGGCACTATTAAAGTTTGGAAAGTGCTCTGCTTGAATCAAGTTCTTGGCCTCGGGATTGCACAGAGATTGAGGCTACCTTTGATATGAAGTGTAAGCATTCTTTTGTAGCGCACATTGCTCTTCTCATCAACCATTTTGAAGCGAAAGAAGTGAAGAAGGGCCATTGATACTATCTTCATTTGCCGGTATGCAAAGTCCTTGCCAAGACAGATTCTTGGACCAGCCTACACACAAAGTCAACAAAAAAGAAAACATCTCATGTATTAGGAGAAAAGAATGTCTAAGTAATAGCTTTTGTGGCTTGACTGCAAGAGAGAGTATACGAACATGAAAGCTTATGAATTTGAATGGTGATTCAGGTTGGAACACGCCGTCCTTAAGCCATCTCTCAGGCTTGAATTCCTCAGCATCTTGGCCCCAAATGTAAGTCATTCTTCCCATTGCATAGGCCATGTAGTATACATTATCCCCTTTCTTAACTCTATGTCCATCTGGAAGAATGTCATCATTTTCTGCATACCTCACGTCCTTTGGAATATTAAAAAGATCTTTAAGTCTCCTTTATTTTGGGTCTATTAGCTCTTAAAATGTTCAATCACAGCAAAAATTTACCACAGGCACAGAAGGGTAAAGCCTCAAAGTCTCGGACAAGGCTGCATGGAGATATTGCATCCGATCAAGAGCCTCTTCGTTTATACTTTCAACAAAACCATTTACATCAGTTGTTTGCTCGTCACTAGAAGACGTCACATCTTTGATCTCTTGCACGATTTTCTCCTGGACAAGTGGATTCTTGCAGAGCATGTACAAGAACCAAGAGAGAGCTGCAGCGGTTGTGTCCTTTCCAGCAATCATAAAGCTCAGAATTATATCCCTTAGGTACTTATCATTCATGTTCTCCGGATCTTTCTCACTCTCCACTAGGAATCTCGATAGTATGTCCTCTCTAACAGCCTGGAGACAATTCAAAACAATTTTCAAAAGGTTTTAAAAAATGCAATCTAAAAATGGTACACTTTAGAGAACTCACAGTGTCTTGTTCCTCTGCAAGCTCTTTCCTTTTAGTGGTAATGAGTGTATAGACAAACTTGTCTATGGTAGCAATGCTCTTCTTGAGTCTAGATTGTGAACCAATGTTGAGAAACCATTTCAGCTTCCAAAACGGATCGGTGAATCTGTAACTAGTCTCAACGTTACCTTCATCAAAAGCCTCCATGAACTCTTCTCCATCTCTGCTAAACCCATCCAAACATTTCAACTCCATTCCAAACCCAACTTTGAAGATGGAGTCCAATGTAAATTTCATCAACATATCCTAACAAAAGTAGTATCCTTTTGAGTTTCCAAATTTGTAAATACATAAGTTTCCTAAAAATGGGTTTGTTCTTGAAATTTCAAAACTTACTTGAGCATCAAAAGCTTCTCCAGAGAGTGAAAACTCAGTGACAAAACCAACAAGCTTAGATGCATTTCTCCTAAAAACAGAGCAGCTAAAGTCTCTAAGAACTCTAGCAGAGAACTCAAAGCTTGCAAGCTTCCTCTGCTGTCTCCACTTCTCTCCATCAACAGCAAAGATCCCATGTCCCAAAAGGTCTCCAAGATTCTCCCGATTAGTGGGCCCTTTACTATAGTTATCGAATCTTGTCTTGAGCATATGCTCCACGTTCCGAGGATCTGCAGTGAAGACCTCGCTCTGTCCTGGACTCAAGAACCTGCAAGTTGGAATTTTTCTTGCGATCTCTGTCTCGTAGTCGTATAAATCGTCTCTGTGGAAGAAGAGGTCGAAGATCGTGGCGTGTACCGGAGCATATTCCTTGTCGTATATTGATTTTCCGGTGAAGATTCTGATGGTGAAGGACAGAATGATGACGATCGTCACTACAAGTGTGATAAAGATCCCCGTGAAAATCTCCATTCCTTTTTCTTGTATTATTTTATTTTGGTTTGGCTGCTTCTTTCAGTCTTGTCCGTTGAGAAAGTCAACCACAAGACAGTCACAAGGACAGAATTTTGACGACTCCCACGAAGAAGATGAAGAGAGAACATCAAATATTAAAGGCCCATAATAAATGTGACGGCCTTCTGAAACCATACATATACGATGAAATTTATGGTGTTCGTAGGTTTCTTCGATTTGGATTCACATCACTGACAATGATGTGACTTGGACTTGGTCATAATAATAATCAAATTAATTTGGCAAACAATACAAATGGAAGTGTCACAGTCTCTACTAACTAATAAATCTCACCAGAAGTCACATCAACGTAATTACTTAATCACCTTCATTATTGGGCTTAGAAATTAGGCCCATCAAAAAATATCGGGCCTACAAATTAAGCCCATCGTATATGTGTTAACTTGAAGCCAATTCGAACCCAGACTTCAACGTGTTTGTTGATTTGTTCATCGTTTGCGTATTTTCCAGTTCATTCGATTTCATCAAATTCACTGTGAATTCTGATTTGATTCGATTCCTCTCGGACATGAATTCAATCTCCGAGCAAAACATGGTGAGTGAAACCAATTTCCCCTCCTTAATGTTTGTTTAAACTCGGAAGTGATGATCGGTTTTCGTTGTGTTTCGTAGATATGAGTTTCCTCAGAGGTATAATTGATTCGTTTAGCTCGATTTTCACCGAAGACTCCAAGCACGATCATAGCGTATCAACATCTTCTTCTAATTCAATGAACGGTGTCGACGGAGTCTCAGTTTCTAACGAACGAATTGCGTATAAGCTCAAAGGATACTTCGATTTGGCGAAAGAGGAAATCGCCAAAGGTGTTAGAGCGGAAGAGTGGGGCTTACACGACGAAGCGCTCCTTCATTACAGAAATGCTCAGAGAATCATGAACGAAGCTACTTCCACGCCTTCTCCTTCGTATATCAGTTCCAGGTACTTAAAATTCTCTCAGCTTTTTACTTCTTTGTTAGATCTTAGTTTATGATTGATTGATTTGGTAGTGAAAAGGAGAAGGTGAGATCGTACAGAGAGAAGATTTCCAAATGGCAAAATCAAGTCTCAGAGAGATTGCAAGCTCTCGGTAAGCGCACAGGTGATCGATCAATTCGATTTTCAATTGAATTTTCTGTGATATGAACAAAGCACAAGTGATCTCACACTGACACTTGCTTGTTTGTGGCATCAATGGTGTTCTTATCTTTAGGTGTTGGAATCTCTGAGAAAAAGGTACAGTCTTTGCTTCTTTCTCTTCCATTAAGGCATTAACTTTATACTTCAATCATCTTCATGATCGTTGATTATGCAGAGAACTGGACCATCTCCTTCTTCAGCTTCAGTTTCCGCTACAAGAAGAGTCTCGTCACAAAAGACTCCAGTTGCTAGAGGTGGCACTGCAGCAACGGCAAGGAACTCTAAAGAAGCTACTGCAAACCCAAAACCTGTGAAAGAATCTGGAAATGGGTACGATGATAAGTTAGTAGAGATGATAACTACAACGATAGTGGATAGAAGCCCATCTGTGAAGTGGGATGATGTCGGTGAGTGCCTTTGTTCATCTTCTTGTTTTGGCTTTTCGAAGCAACATTTGGTAAGTAACACACTTGTTGTTGCAGCTGGACTTGATGGAGCTAAACAAGCTTTATTGGAGATGGTTATATTACCGGCGAAACGAAGAGATTTGTTCACTGGTCTCCGAAGACCAGCAAGAGGTAAAAATTTGCAAGCAAGCTTGGTCTCTTCTTGATCTTCTCCAGTGCCGTCCTTAAGTAGCAATTTATCTTCTTTGTTAGGTCTGCTTCTCTTTGGTCCACCTGGCAATGGAAAGACAATGCTTGCCAAGGCAGTCGCTTCTGAGTCACAGGCTACGTTCTTCAATGTCTCAGCATCTTCTTTGACCTCAAAATGGGTTTGTGATTTTGTAATGAGGCTTGTTGAATTTTAATCTTTTAATTCAATAGAACAAACTGACTTTACTGTGTTGCTCTGCTTCAGGTGGGTGAGGCTGAGAAGCTAGTTAAAACGCTGTTTGAAGTTGCAATCTCCAGACAACCGTCTGTGATATTTATGGATGAAGTGTGTAAATCAAGATGAATATATACATACTTTATGATATATACTGATAGACGTATATTCACTTTGAGAGATCTGAATATGTATTTTTGCTCTGTTTTTTCAGATAGATAGTATAATGTCTACAAGGTCGACCAGTGAGAATGAAGCAAGCAGAAGATTGAAGTCAGAATTCCTTATCCAGTTTGATGGTGTCACTTCAAATCCTGATGACTTGGTGATTGTCATTGGTAATGCTTCCTTCTAATTCAGTCTCAGTCTTTAACTGTTGTTTCCGATTCTCTGAATATGAGTTTAAATATGCTCTGCTCGGATGTGATATGTTGCAGGAGCTACAAACAAGCCACAGGAGTTGGATGATGCAGTGCTTAGGAGATTGGTAAGAACATTATCACTAATCAGGATTTAAATGTCCACCGTTTGCTAATGAAAAAATATTTGATTTTGGCAACTTTGTTAGGTGAAGAGAATATACGTACCATTGCCGGATTCAAACGTCAGGAAACTACTTTTCAAAACCAAGTTGAAGTGCCAGCCCCACTCTTTATCCGGTGGCGACATTGATAACATCGTCAGAGAAACCGAAGGCAAGATTTGTAGATTCTGTACATGATACGGTTTTGAGTTACTAGTAACTAATAATAATAAAAAGCTTTCTCTATGTTACAGGTTACTCAGGGAGTGATCTTCAAGCGTTGTGTGAAGAAGCTGCAATGATGCCAATCAGAGAACTTGGTGCCAATATTCTAACCATTCAAGCAAACAAAGTATGATTGATTATTAACCACATTCCTTGAAAAATCATCTCTTTAATAATCAATTTTGAAGCCTCTTTGAGTTGATGAATTGGATGTGTGATGTAACAGGTGAGACCGCTGAGATACGATGATTTTCGGAGATCGATGGCAGTGATCAGACCAAGCTTGAGTAAAAGCAAATGGGAAGAGCTTGAACGTTGGAACTCAGAGTTTGGCTCTAATTAGATTTCTTATTGTGAGTAGAGTGGTTAAAGAGTTTTTCTTGTAAATTTGAGACGAATGTAAAATATGCTGTAGAGTTTATAAACAGAACAAAACAATCAAAATGTATTGATAGATTATGTGCACCAATTAATGGTAGTGGTACGATGGATAAGCCAAGATACAAAGTACTCATCAATGGTCAATGCGCATGTGTAGTTTCGAAATTCAGTGAGAGCGTGAGGGTAAAATGGTCATTCTCGTATGATTGGCTTTGATTAAATTCTGTCCGAAACGCTGCGTTTGGGGTCAGTTTCTTAATTAATTTATTTATTTCTCGAGGGACTTCTCAGTTCAAATTTCAAATTTTGCTTCTCCGCTCTCTCTCTCTCTCTCTCGCCGTCGTTACAGTGACCGGAAAAAAAATGGAGAATACATCGACAGAAGAAGAGGCTCGCGATCCTAACAAGCCATGGTCCCTGGCAGATTTCGAGATCGGGAAACCGCTAGGCAAAGGCAAATTTGGCAGAGTCTATCTCGCCCGAGAAGCCAAGGTACTCACTCGTTTCCCTTCATTGTCATTTCTATGTTGAAGTATAGCTCTCTCTATCTCTATCTCTCCCACTCAATTGTGAAATCGAATTGGCTCTGAAGTAGATCGATTTGTCATGGAAACGTAATTTTTGAATGATAGAGTCATTTCGTGGTGGCGCTGAAAGTGATATTCAAGGAGCAGATCGAGAAGTATAAACTTCATCATCAGCTTAGGAGAGAGATAGAGATCCAAACGAGTCTAGATCACCCGAATATCCTTCGTCTCTACGGTTGGTTCGATGACGACAAACGAATTTTCTTAATCCTCGAGTATGCTCATGGTGGTGAGCTCTACGGCCTCCTCAAAAAGAATGGTTATCTTACCGAGAAACAAGCCGCCACAGTGAGTCTCCTCTCATCTCGATTTTGCCTGAAATGGTCATCTTTTTGTTGTGATTTCATCGGAATTATTCTGTTTGAAGACTCAATCGATTGCCTTTTTTTTTTAATGATTCAGTACATATCAAGTCTCAGTCAAGCACTGGCCTATTGTCATGGGAAATGTGTGATTCACAGAGACATCAAACCTGAAAACTTGTTGCTCGATCATGAGGTATGTGTATTTGTATGTATAGTTTTTGCATCGGAAACTGAGGATCTTCATCATTAGTATTCGTCATCATATAAATGCAGGGAAGGTTGAAAATTGCCGACTTTGGGTGGTCAGTGCAATCAAGTAACAAGAGGAAAACAATGTGTGGAACTTTAGATTACTTAGCACCTGAGATGGTAGAAAACAAAGATCACGACTATGCAGTTGATAACTGGACTCTAGGGATATTGTGTTACGAGTTTCTCTATGGTAACCCTCCATTTGAAGCTGATAATCAACATGATACATTCAAGAGGTAAGAGAAGACTTAAGACTTTTTACCTTTTGTGAGAAATTACAGTAAGAAGCTTAAACCTCAGCTCCTGATGTTTTGTTTTTCATCTGATTGTATGCAGAATTCTTAAGATTGATCTGAGTTTTCCTTCTGAGCCAAATGTTTCAGAAGAAGCCAAAAGTCTTATCACTCAGGTACACTCAAGCTAAAGCATATACCCACAAGAACTCTCTTGCTTGGTGGACTAGTTACAGAGCGTTAACGTATTCTTGTTCATAACTTTTTGGCAGCTTCTTGTTAAAGATCCGTCGAAACGACTCTCTATTCAGAAGATCTTGCAACATCCTTGGATTGTCAAGAACGCAGATCCTAAAGGTGTGTGCCTCACTGACAAGTAGCTTAGCTTATATGTAATCTAATGTTATTGGGAGAAAGTCTTAGAAATTCTTAGAGAACGCATATCCTCATTTCAGCCCAATACAGTCTTTTAGTAAATGTTGCGTCTTAATATATATAATGTGATTGACTTCTTCTAACTTCTAACACAGATTATTAAAAGAGGATCCATAGATTAGAAACTAAAAACATTAGAAACCTCGACAACATTTATTTTCCTTTAAGCACCCGAGGAATACATTGACAAGACCTCCTCCTCATTGTCTTCTCCACCCCTTAAAGCTGTGTCAGTAATGGTTGTGTCGGTACTGCAACTACTGGTGCTCTTTTCATCAGAAGCTCGTGACAGTGGAATCCCCATGACTGAAACAGAGAGCTTCGGTTCATCTTTAGCAGCTGTTCTCGCGGTTAACGGGCTAAAACCGGGATTCTCATGTGCGTTAGTCTTCTTCTTGATACCTCTATGCATGTGCTTGTCGCAGTATTTCTGACCAGACAATGCATCTTTTCTGCATCTCCACTTCTTCCCATCTGTTCTTCGGCACCTTCCTGGCTCATTGTCTGTATCAACTCTGTGTATACGAAACCCACCACGATCTACAGTAAAAAAAAAGCAACTCCATTAACATCATTTGTAAGCAAACCATTTCTGAGAATGCTTGGAATGCTTGGAAACCGAGGTCAAAGGTGTTATTACCTTGAAGAACAGTGTCTGGAGAAGAAAAGTGGATTCCAGGAAGCAAGCCACCATGAACATTCATGTTCATGTTCTTCCACTCCCTGCTTCTTGCTATTATATCATTCTTCCTGTTTCTTGAGAGTTTTGCAGCGTCTAAAGATATATCAGATACCTCAGGAAAGAGCTTTTGAACAGAAGGCAGCCTCTCATCACCTGGGACAGAACCTGATCAGTTCATGGAACAGTGAAGAAAGAAAAGTCCATTTATGAATCTGATTATATTATACCTCGAACCGGCTCACTTTTACTGATGAAGTCATCATAACTCATCTCCATGTTCCTTCTGCTTTGATCACCATGACTCGCACTTTTGTTTGTGGACTCAGAGATCACTAAAGACGGAGGAGTGACATTATCACAGGCTCTGGCACTAGGCAATGAAGCAATGGTAACAACCTGAGCGTTACTAGAAACCGACACTGTCCCATGAAGAACACTTTCACTCTCGTTATAACTGTCCAAACCGTAAGTGTTGTCTTGTTTGGTTGATGTAGCAGACGACGAAGCAGCAACATCATAAGAAGAAGAAGATTCCACAAGCTTTCTTGAACGTTTACGGCCTCTATGCATGTGCCGTTCACAGTACTTTTGAAACGGAAGGACTTCGTTGCTACATCGCCATTTCTTTCCATCTGTTCTTCTGCACCTTGTAGGTTCATGTTCCACACTCAACACTGCAACTCAAACCCCAATAACCAACCGAATGTTTCAGCAAACTAATCAAAGTCATACAAGAATCAATCAACTGTTAAAAAACAGAACAACAAACTCTAAAGACTCTGAGGTAATTGTGTATGTGAATCTTCTAACTTCTGCTACTCAAAACCCAAGAACCCAAAAGCATGTTTCAGGAAATTAATCAAACAGGACCTCATCAAGCTTTTCCTCAATAAAACCCCCAAAAATTACAATTTCAAAAGAATTCGAGGTCCAAGGCTTGCTATAGTATGTGTAAAATCTTCTGAATCTTATTTTCCAAACCCATTAACTCATAAATTACGCATATACACCTCAAAATTTCCTGACAAACACACTCAAGTATCAAAAATACTTACGAGGAGAAGAGTGATGGTTGCTGTAATTGGAGGAAGAAGAAGAGAGAGCAACGCTTTTCCAAATAGGGACCACAAGATGATGAGGCACACGAAGGCCAGCTTCAATGTATCTATAAACCAAAGCTTGCATCTGAAACTCTACTAGTTGCGCCGCCTTCATCCACGGCCACTTCTTTATCTTCCTCTCTACCTCCTCCTCTTCCTCCTCCATTTTAGGGCTCAGCATCTTCATAATAAAAAGGGAAACTTTTTTTCAGTTCCAACTAAAAGGACACAGCTTTTGAAACTAGAGACTCAAAGAAACAAAACCCACCTCCCAAAAAGAAAAGCTTTAACACAAAATCAAAACTGAAGCTAAAATCTCTTGATATGTTCGTCACTGTGTTTAACACAATGGGGAGAGAGAAAAGAGAGAATGAGAAGTAAGAGAAAAACAGAGCAAAGACGAAGAGGTGAATGTGAACTGTGAAGCGATTTAAAGGCAGATGTCAGGTTTCTGACAAATGCGTCAGAGATTTTCAGCCTTATTTGAATACTTTTCGGACAATAAAAAGTTGAGTTTCCCTCTTTAAACTGATAACTCTCTCTGTCCACCTGCTCCACTAAATCTCCACCTTCTTTTTTCTCTATGGGCCCATATTATCATGAAAGGCCCGTTATCTCTTTCTTTTCCTTCATGGGCCCATATTATCATGAAAGACCCATTAGCATTCTGTATCCCCTAATACTTTCACATCTTGGCACAATTGTAATTATACTGTATTTTTATTAGTTAAAAAATAAACAAAGCAAAAAAAACTTTATTTATACTATAAAACAAAAAGTTTCATGTAGTGCTTACTGCTTAGTAGCATATTCACTAGTGAGGATTTTATATATTGTCCGGATGTGAAAAGTAATGCTTTAACAGCTAGAATATACCTTGTAATGGGAGCCAGTGATTCAAATATTGGTCTTCACCGAAATGTAGATATTTCTACATATATTTAAAACACGTATATTATTATTTCCCTACATTTCTTTTTCTAGGATACAAAAAGTCAGGTTTTAATCATATATGCATAAAATATACACATTCTACTGGCCAACCATACTTTCAGATTAAAACTTACCAATTCAATTATACGAGGAAAATAAAACTCAACACAATCGATCAATAAGAACTTTCATTTACCTCAACGAATTGATAATTTGTCTGTTTTTTTTTTGTTACAATGGTAAAAGAAATGGTTTGAAAAAGTTATCTAAAGTGTTATTCTTTGCCAGAAAATATCAGGGTGTAGAAAAAGAAGGCCAAAGCCCATTTTAGTAATTTAAGCAAAAAGACAATTAAATGGAATGGCCTCTTTCTTCATCCAGCTATGTCCGAAAAAGCACATGGCCCCAATCCAACCCAACTTAACACACATTGAAAGATAAAGGAATTTAACTCTAGTCAATATCCAACCTAACCATGGTTAACACTTAACCCTTGGTTCACACTCATTATTATTCTTCTCTTTTAACTTCATCCTTCTCTCTGTCTTCTCACTTCCTCTGCTCCACACTTACACTGAAAGTCTGAAACTCAAACCGTCTCTTCATGGCGGCGCCACAGACTTTCTCGCTCCTCGCATTCACTTTCTCTCTCCTCGCCGTAGCTTCCACAGTAACCGGCAGCAACATCACCCAAATCCTCGCTGATTTCCCGGAGTATTCCTCCTTCAACAGCTACCTTTCTCAGACGAAGCTCGCCGACGAAATCAACAGCCGCTCGACGATCACCCTCCTCGTCCTCAACAATGGCGCAATGTCTTCCCTCGCCGGAAAACACCCACTCTCCGTCATCAAAAACGCTCTCAGCCTCCTCGTCCTCCTCGACTACTACGATCCCCTCAAACTCCACAAAATCTCGCAAGGCACAACTCTCTCCACCACGCTCTACCAAACCACCGGAAACGCTCCCGGAAACCTAGGATTCGTCAACATCACCGACCTTAAAGGAGGCAAAGTCGGATTCGGCTCCGCCGCTTCAGGCTCCAAGCTCGATTCCTCCTACACGAAATCCATCAAGCAAATCCCTTACAACATCTCCGTCCTCGAAATCGACAATCCGATCATCGCTCCGGGAGTCTTAGCCGCCCCAGCTCCGTCCGCCGCCGTATCCAACATCACCGGATTGCTCGAGAAGGCCGGTTGCAAAACCTTCGCGGATTTGCTCGTCTCGAGTGGAGTCCTCAAGACTTACGAATCCACAATCGAGAAAGGCTTGACGGTTTTTGCACCGTCCGATGAAGCTTTCAAAGCCGCCGGAGTCCCAGATCTAACGAAGCTCACGCAAGCTGAGAAGGTCTCGCTTCTAGAGTATCACGCACTCGCTGAGTACAAGCCTAAAGGCTCACTCAAGACTAACAAAAACAAAATCCCCACATTAGCCACCAGCGGAGCCGGAAAATACGATCTAACAACCTCGACCTCAGGCGACGAAGTTATTCTTCATACCGGTGTTGCTCCGTCAAGAGTCGCTGACACGGTTCTCGACGCGACTCCGGTCGTGATATTCACGGTGGATAAGGTGCTCCTCCCTGCTGAGCTATTCGGTAAACCACCTTCTCCGGCACCGGCGCCGGCGCCAGAGTCTGATACCGCACCGACACCATCTCCCGCGGAAGGACCTTCACCCATGGCGGCTTCACCGCCGGCACCTCCGATGGACGATTCACCGGGCAGTGCTCCTTCAGACTCGCCGGCAGCTTCGGAGAACACCAAGGCGAAGAACGCCGCGGATGGCGTGAGGTCACCGTCGTTGCTCACCGCATTGGTCACGCTCACCGCCTTGGCCGTTTCGGTGTCTCTCTGCTATTGAAAATGAGACCTTTCGATTTCTCGTAATTACGCAGGCTGCCACTCCTTTTGTTCGTTTTTAAATTATTTTCTTTTGAATTTATTTCGTTTTGTGGTTGTGTTTGTTGAGTTGAAAAACGGATTAGAGTGTGAAATTTGAAGCTTTTGTTTATCACATTTCATTCCAGTGTTAATCTGATAGTACAGATTTTAAGATGCTTTTGGTTTTTTTAATTTTACTTATTAATAATCCCATTCCCATGGACCCAGTTTCTTATTTTAGAATTCGGACTTTTTTGTTTGTAAACTTGATTTAGAACGCAAATTGATTCTTCTTATTCCCTTCGCCATTAAAACGGCAGGTTTTTTCACCCGCGAAGCAACGAACAAAGCAAAATTTCCACTTTTGGAATTTACTTGATTTTTTTATTTTGTCGGCTTAGATCCTTTGCTAATCCTTTGCCATAAATAGAACAATAAGAATATTCTATATTTGATGGGTATACCTAAACGACGCCATTTCGTAGTTACAGATCGATTAAACAAATGAATGGGTCTACACTCTCTGCGGTTGGGTGAGGTGGCCCAGTTATATTTATTAAAGAGAGTGAAAAGCCCGATCTCATATTTGACACCGACACTTCTTTGAGCGAAACCGTTTTTTGATTCTGAGAACACAAAGCCTATCGTTCTTTACTCTACAAAACGACGACCTTTTCTTAATTTAATTTAACGAACGACATAGCGTTTCGTTGATCAGTCAGTCTTCCTCGAGAAGCTTTCACCAAGTACAGAGACTAGTGACAACATAAAACCTCTTCCCTCACTCACTTTGGATCTCAAAATCCGCGCCATTTTTCTTTCTAGCCTTACGCAATTCGGAGCGTTAATGGCGTCAACGGCGGCTGAACAAGTCGAGAGAAAAATCGCATCGGAAACATCGAAGACGAGTCCAGACATCAAAGCGGCTGCTCAATCGCGTATCAGTAATCAAATTGACGCATCTCCATCTCCGTCGATGATCGCTAAGGATTCAATTTTCTCCTCCGCTGCTAACGTCGCCTCTCAGCCGCTTCAGAACTACGATTCGAACGTCTGGGGAGTCCTCACCGGAATTTCAAACAATGCTCGCAAACGCCGGCAGGTTAGTTCCTCGATTTCGAGATAAATCCACCCATTGGTTTGGTATTTTGGAACCCTAGAGTCTCTACTGTAATGTGATTTCGCTTCCAGATTTTGATTTGATTCATGATCGATGATTTACAGGGCATAAATATGCTTTTGACTTGTGATGAGCATTGCTTCGGGCGGCTGCCGAGTCACGGCAGTTATCAAATAGACTCAAATGCAATAAGTGGGAATCATTGTAAGATATACCGTAAGCAGCTAACAGCCGGTGATGAGACTACTCCGTCAAGCTCTGATGTATCTGTTTTATTGGAAGACACCAGGTTAGGGAACTTTTCTCCTGTTTTCTTTGTTTGTGCGATTCGTTTTCTTCACAGTAGTAAGCAAAATTTAGGCTTTCTTTGGTGTCTCTTTGATTCCAGCACAAATGGTACGTTTCTCAATTGGGAGAAGTTGAAAAAGAAAGGCCCTGTAGTCAGGGTTCAGCATGGTGACATCATATCGTTTGCTGCTCCTCCAGAGCATGGTAAGTTGGTAACTTACATTTTCTACCTTGGCATTGTAAACCTCATTTGACCGCTGCATTGTTTGTTTTTCAGAAAAGGCCTTTGCATTTGTATACCGCGAAATACTTGGATACAATCCTGCACTTTCCGGAATGAGCAGAAAAAGAAAAGCAGGTACCACAGTTTCTTTCGCCGTTATATAGCAGCACGTGTTTTCTCACATCTGATATGTGCTTTTTTTTGCTGTGAAGAGGATGTAACTTGTGAAACTAAGAGACCCAAGGGTATAGGCATTGGTGGTCCTGATGGTCCAATATCTTTGGATGATTTTAAGAGCCTCCAGCGATCAAACACGGTATGTTCAACCTCAATTTTGGTGTCCGTTATTAGATGTAAGTGATTGTATCAACCTTGATGTCATTCTAACTCAACTTTTGTGTCAACAAACAAATGGTGTATGCAGGAACTGAGGAAGCAATTAGAAGCACAGGTGCTTACCGTTGACACTCTGCGAAATGAGTCCCGCTCAATTGTGGAGCACCATGAAAGTGTATGTTGAGTAATTATCTTTGAGTGATTGGTTGATTATTTAAGTATCTTTACTGATATAATATATCTTTGCATTCTGCAGGAAATAAAGCAAATGAAGGAATCGATTGAAAAGTCATTTCACAAAGAACTGATTGAGCTGCGTGATCTGATAGATACTAAGCAGAAGGAACTGGCGCAGGTCAACAAAGTATCAGCTGAACAGAAGCATTCCATAGATGACCTTGGCGAGAGACTTAGCACTTCTTTGCAGTCTCTCAGTGAAGCAAATGAAATAATTAAAAGGTGAGAGGTTATCTGGTCTGTGTATACAAACTGTTTCTCATGTTCAGATAATGTCTATATGCTGACGTTTCTGGAATATTATGTGGTTATGCGCTTATAAGCCTGAGCATTGCAAATATGTACCTAACAAAAATTGACTTATTTCTTTCAGTCAAAAGGTATCTATAGATGAACTGAAGGCAGGGTTGGATGAAGAGAGAAATCAGAGAAAAGAGGAGAGAGAAACTGCAATCGCTGAACTAAAAGCTGCAGTACATAGATGCCAAATTGAGGCTCAGGGAGAACTGAAAAGATTTTCTGATGCTGCTATGAGACACGAGAGGGAACAACAAGATGTAATCAACAAAATGAAGGTATGAAAACAGTTAGCTGTCTATGAATTAACTTCATTATTATGGCCTGTGAATAAGATAGTTTACTTGACAAATGTTTCAGGAGTCAGAAAAAGAAATGTCCACGCAAGTGGAAACTTTGATGTCAAAATTGGTATGTTCTTCTTATTTATTCTCTGGACTCTTGAACTCAAAAACCTTGACCTTATTTCTCTCCCCCATTTTGCTGTTATTTGAGAAGTTTGTTGATGTTTTATAGGAAGATACGAGACAAAAGCTGGTCTACTCTGACAATAGAAATCGTCAGCTCGAAGCTCAAGTTTCCGAGAAGCAGCTTGCTTCTGTTAATGCACAAAAAGTACATGACCTAAATACAATTTCTCCTCTTATTTTGCATGGTTCAATTTCTCTCTTTATATCTGCACTAACGGGTGGTTTGTGTTAAAAACTTGTATTTGGAGCAGAAAATGGAAGAACTTGGCCTTGAAATAAAAAGACTGCAAAAGGAACTGGAGAACGAAAAGGTAAGAATTGAAATAGACTTGTGTGCGCTTAACATTAATGACTTCAGATTCCTACATCTGATTTCTGCTCCAGAAATATGATAATGCGTTTTGAAAGAGACTGTGTATATGTAGCTCGTAATTTTTCATGTTGCCTCCATTAAGTTACTATATTTAAGCTGAGAATTTCTTTGTTACGTTAGCAGGCAGCCCGAGAAGAAGCATGGGCTAAAGTGTCTGCCTTAGAACTAGAGATGAGTGCTGCTGTTCGAGACCTTGACGTCGAAAGACAGAGACACCGTGGTGCAAGAGAAAGAATCATGCTACGGTAAGAACATCTACGTGCATTGTGCTACTTAGTTGCTAGTTCACTGTTAAAGATGCAATGTCACGCAAGTTTGTTTAGTCTAACTTATTGACACTCGGAATCTTGATGCAGCGAAACTCAGTTGCGGGCATTTTATTCAACGACCGAGGAGATCTCAGCTCTGTTTGCAAAGCAGCAGGAGCAGCTCAAGACCATGCAGAGAACTCTGGAAGACCAGGAGAATTGCGACAATACTTCGCTAGATATCGATCTTAATCCAATAATCAGAAATCCCAACAGAGGTCATACCGAGGAAGATGAAAGAGCAACTTCCCATACGAAGGCAAGCTCCTCAACTTCAAGGCAAAGGTCTAACAGAAATGAAGTCATGGATACGTCCTGTGAAGAAGACGCAGACGCTACTCAGAAGCATGATTGTGAAATCACGAGCCAGGAAGGGCAAAACACCCAAGAAGCAGAACACACAAGCTCTGAGAAAGTCTCAAAGGGTGGCTTCGGCTCAGAGATAGAAGGTGGTGTCGGTTCAGAACCCGCTTTGGGAACTGACCCTGACCATGTAGGAACAGAGCAAGTGAATGAAACTCAAAGTCCAGGAAATGATTACGAGACAAATGAGCATATGAGGAAGTCGATCACTTCAGCTGGTGATACAATGCAAATAGATTGTGAAACTCAGGCACTTGAAAGTGTTCCGAGCGATGGAGCTCTTCTCTTTTTAAGGAACGATCGAAGGGATACACAAGAAACAGAGGGAGCAGGCACTATCAGAACGTCGGATCTTCTAGCTTCTGAAGTTGCTGGGAGTTGGGCTTGTAGCACAGCTCCTTCCGTACATGGAGATAACGAAACCCAAAGAATCAGAGAGGATGAAGAAAGTCAGACTCAGAGAATCAAGGAAGCGACCGTACTAGTACATGATTCTGCTGGTCAGGTAGACGAAAGTCAAACGACACCTACAGTTCCTGAAGTCCTGGTGGTCACTAGAGGGAAGGATGATGTGGAGGATGGACTTATTAACCAGGCAGTGAGGATCATAAAAGAAAATGGTAAAGGCTCGGATTCTGAGACAGAGAGTTGCTCTGATACAGATGATGATGATCATGAGAAGGACAAACACGGTCCTGTCTCAGACTCTGATACAGACGGTTCTGATATGAATGATGACAAGAGGTCACACTCTTCGGATCCCGATACAGAAGGAAGCCGGGATCAGAAGCAGGTGGACACAATGGACGAAGACGGTAAAGCTACTTAGCAAGATTTTACTCTATCAACATGTTGCACTTTTAAGAAAATCCATCTTTGTTTTGGTTTGGTACGATTTTTAGTGTGCTTATACATTTAGAAGTAAGATGTGTAGATAGCGCAGGGCTAATGGTAAGGTTGTGTAACATGAGATAGTTAACGAAGTGACTAAAAAATTTAGAAAGTTTTGGATGTCTACTTCAGGACAAAGTTTCTCCATAATGTGATGCAATGATAGCAAAGATTGAATGAAGGGTAAAGGAGAGGGCTAAGCTAGAGATGGGGGCTAAAATAAAATAGACAGCGAAAAGAGTAAATGTTGTAAGTCAGAGGAATCATCGATAGATAATCTGAAATTAAAAGAGAGGTTTTGATGGTGAGAAGAGGAGAAGAATCTCCCCTTTACAACAAATTTCATCATTACAAAAGCAGTAATAACTCCTGAACTTACCTTCCAAACTATGGTAAATTTCTTGGAATTCTATGATCTCTTGTTTCTTTAGCTTTACCGGTAAATTTCTGAAGGTTTGATTGAGGAGATGTACTCAAAAGCAGTAGAGAATAATAATAACAATAGAGTATAACAAAATTATAACAAGATTTGAACACTTTTTAAGAGAAGCGTGGATGGGGTTTCATTTCGGTGTTGACTATCTCCTCCAATTCAATTGATGATGCCTCTTGTTACTCGTTTGTCTTCGCATTTTGGTTTCAATTGATATATCAAGACACGAAATGAGTAGTTTTTATAGTGGTCCTAGTCCTTGGCCTCATCAATTTATTTATTTTTCTCCATTTAAATCATTAATACATGTAATGAGTAGAGTTTTTGTCAATGAGTAGCTTGATCTTTTTGTTTTAAGTATTCATGAAATTTAGCTTTATACAATATTATTTTTTTACTGTGTTTTAGAGAAATTTAAGGTGGTAAATTATAGTTAGGAGGTTGTGAAAAAAAAAGGAAATTTTAGTTTGGAGAATAAGGAGAACTGATTGGGCTGTAGGATGAAGAAAGGGGGTGGGCATATGCATGTGGAATTTGGGTTTGAGCATTGAAGAGAAAACAGCCCACAAAATTCATTATGCAAATGATGATGATGATGATGGTTGATGAATGATGATGAATCCATCGTCGTCGAGTGGGGAATGGGGTTATTATGGCAAATGGGTATGATGATTGTGGGAAGAAGAAGCCAAATCGGTGGTTTCGTTTTCTAAATTAAATGTGCTTTGGCTTTTGCTCCTACTCCTACTCGAGTGCTCCATGACTTTTTCCAACATGTATAACAATAATCATCTATACACGAATATATGCTACTATATTCTTACATATATGCATATTGTAGTATGTGCTAAAAGTCACTGCACCCGATTCGGTAGTATCCATTTCACACTTTTTCCTCTTCCTTACAAGTTTCAGAACCATCATCCATTAAACCCAAGCTCCCTATCTCACGTGACCCATCACGAGCCACATGACTCACACTTGTTAATTACCTTTTTCGTTATTTCCCCCAACCCCAAACCATGTATAGTTTGATTTAGATACTAAACACAAAGACATTTATATTAGATTTGCTGAGAATTTTATTGCAAAGTTATATAATGGGTATGGGTTGGAGGATGAGACATACTTATAGAGTTGACTTACTAACCGAAATGCAAAACAACGATCAATATTGAATAGACATCAGTATGTTGTTTAGAAGAGGGCAAGGAAGAAGATACACAATAATATTGCTTAACATGTCTTATAAAAAAATTATATGTTTTATGGTAGGAATTTATTCTGCTGCCCACAAAGGAAGATAAAACAGTGCTTATTTTAGTCAAGAATCTTAAGATTACACATCCAACATGCAGAAGAAACTATTGGACGGGGAACGACGAAAACACATGAGTGTATGTGTATGTAAGTAAATTAAAATAAACTTTTTGAATTTGTGTGTATTTAACGGAATGATTAAGCATCATTAGATATGACTTCAACGAGTTGAAAATTCTGGATTTACACTCTCGCTCTCGTGTACGTAATCTTTTTCTTTCGTGACTAAGGGCAAAACCGGGACTAGATTTTCATGAAAGTGAGTATTAAACAGAAAACACAAAGAAAAAAAGATAAAGACTTGATGATTAAAAAGGATAAGTAAAGAGAAACACTTGTACTTGTGAGGAACATCGAGGTTTTGACGTACTCTTAACTTTTTTGACTTCTTTGGCTCCCATATAATCATGATTTGACCTTTTGTCAGTCAAAAAAATCTGCCAAATCGCTTCATAAAACTCAGAAGACAACTGTTAAATAGCAAAAAAATAACCTCTATACTGTTTTGTGTTTCACAAAATTTGAGGGGAAATCTCATCAAAACAATAGGTTAGTCAAAACTCACATACACGATAGAAAACACTTGAATATTTTTTCTCCGTCAACAAAAATAACCATTGTATTGTTACTGTAAATGTGTAACGGTATTATAGTAAAATGAAATAAAAATGAGTGTGTAATGGTAAAATGAGCAAGAGACGAGCCTGGTTGAAAAACAAAAAAGTTGTTGTAGTTGTAGTACCTTGTTCGGACGGAAATCTGAATGTATTATATATACTCCTCTACTAGGAGGTGACCCGCGCTTCGCGCGGGAATTTATATATTTTGTTAATTTTATTTTTTCCGCAAATTTAATTTATTTATGTGGTTTATTATTGTTTCAAAAATATTACACATATTAATTAAAAATAATTAGGGTTAGGCAAAATTAATGTACTGTCTTGTCCCATCGTATCCCATTTCGTTCATTTTCATCATGTCCGTTTTTCCCGTCTCATCCGTCTGTCTCTCCCGTCCCGTCCTATCCCATTATGTTCATTTCCATTTTGTTATGACCCATCATGTTCCTTCCGTTTCTTCTCGTCTCGTTCCTAAATATAACTAAGGATAACCAAAATTCTCGTATAGTCTCATCCCGTCCCATTTCATTCATTCTCATCTTGTCCCGTTCTTTTCCGTGCCGTTTCCGTCCTGTCCGCCCTATCGAGTCTCATCCTATCCTGTTATGTTTTTTTTTTCATTTTCTCATGTCTCTGTCCTATCCCTAAATATAATTAGGGGTAGTGAAATTTATGTCCCGTCCCTTCTCGTCCCATTATGTCCCTTTCATCCCGTCCCGTCAATCGTCTCATTTTGTTTTTTCATCTCATCATGTCTAATTTGTCTGTCTCGTCCCGTCCAGTCTTACTCATTTCATTATGTTTCTTTCCGTCTTATTCTGTCTCATCATGTTCCTTTTTTTTTTCTATTCCATCTCTAAATATAATTTGAAGTATGCAAAATTACATGTGGTATCCCATTTCTTTCTGTTCCTTTACATCACATCTCATCATTTAGGACAAAATTCATTTATTCTCTTGTTATGTTTTTTTCCGTCTCATCCTGTCTGGTCTCGTCTCATTTCATCCCAAAATACCTTAAAAGATTAATGTTCTTTATATAATATCTTAACATGAACGTAAATTATATAATCTAACAAAAATAATATTTTTTGTAGATCTATACATAATATTTCTCTCTCTTTTTTTAAATGATTTTTCATATTCTTGTTAAACTTATTATAGTAATGAATGTTAATTATTATGAAAATAAAATATAAAAAGATAAAATATAATAAATTAAAATTAATAAATACAATGCTGATGTGGCAAATTAGTGAATTTAGAAGTAACCTCTTTTGGTGATGTGGCATATTTTATTTATATAAATCAATTGATATAATTCTTGTTTTACAAAAACTTTTCAAATTCTGGTTAAAGTTATGACATTATAATTATTATGACAATTAAACTATAATAAAAGTAAATAAAATAAATCAAATAGAGAATAGAGATAGCTGATGTGGAAAAATGCTAAATTTATAAGGGGTCTCTTTTGCTGAGGTGTCACCAGCAGAAGAGAATCACACCAACTTTATATATATAGATAAAGTATTGAATCACTTGGCCAAATGTAACACAGATTTGACTAACTGTCACCTAGATTTAAGCTTCATGGCACCATCACCATGCAATTAAGTTGACAAACAAACCCAAATTATTATACGTTAAAAGCCAAAATTGAATAGTTTGTTTTGTCGTGTGTACCTCTTAACGGTGACTTGAGCTTTTTAGGGAAACTTCCTAAATTCTTCTAAATGGTACACATTTAACTAATCAATCAGTCAAAAAATATAAATATATATATATAGAGAAAGAGATATATTATTGTTTTTGTTTTACATGTTTTCTTCATCTTCAAAAAATTCAACTTCATCTTCTCCCTCATAACATCTTCCCTGTCCCTTTGTAATCATGATTCTTCTTTTGCCATCATTACCTTCTAAAGGAGTCTCTCCCTCTCTCTCTCTCTCTCCTCTCTCTACAAGAAAATGCAAACATACAACAAACCTTCATCTATATAACGCCTCTATTATCTCTCCCACTTATCAAACACGTCTCACTTCTTCTTCTTCTTCTTCTCTCTCTCCCTCTCTCTTCAACCTCCAAAGATGTGTTTGAGTTCTTCAGAACCATTTTCAGACACACCCACAAGATTAGTCTTGTACCTCAAAACACAAAGCCACGTTCGGATCCCTCGCCTCTCCAGGTTTCAATCTCAATCGATCACTCACCTTTCTGAAACTATTGATCGACTCTGTAGTTACGCTCTGAGTCACTATTAACGAGTTAATGTTCTGTTTTCCTTTTTTCAGGAGGAGAAGGATGTGGCGGGAAGAAAAGGAGATAGAGATGAAGAATATAAAGCTTTACGTGGAGAATCAAAACATGATACGAGAAAACGAGAAACTGAGGAAGAAAGCTCTTCTTCTTCACCAAGAAAACAAAGCTCTCTTCTCTCTGCTTCAGACCAAAAAGATCTCCCCTGTTCCATAACCATATCATTACCATCACCAAGATCATATTATTCTTCTTTCTTCAGTGAATTAGTTAATAATAAAGATCTGAGACCGCTGCACAAATTAAAGACCAGAAAAGTTTGGTTATTACCTAAGTGGGTTTTATATTTTACAGTCAAGGGCAGTGGTTTAGTTATTACCGGGTATACGTCTAGTTTTTTTCTTTTTTTAGTTTCATCTCTCATGTAATCTCTGTATCCGAGTTATTTTATTAATGGTTAATCTACTTTTTAGCTTAAGTATAATTTTTTCACCTAATTTCCTACTCTTTATTCAACAGACTCAAAGTGATTAAATGTTGTCACAAAGAGTGTCTAGCTCTGTTCCTCTGTCCATGTAACTTTGTTCCATTATAGATTTTCAAACCTTCCATAGATGTAAGTTTACTAGAGAAAGCAACGTTTGATCCATACAATAATCTCATTGGCCATGTTGCACAAGTTTACTAGAGAAAGAAAGAAAATAGATTGGGCTTGGGATCATTAAAGCCTAGTCAAGTTGCTGATATTTTAGTTTTGTATCATAAACAAAGGTTCTGGATATGACTGTGTATATATGCACAAGAAGAGTAACTAGATCTTGTCCATGGCAGTGGAAGTAAGACTGTACAGAGTAAACAAAGGAGCCTCTTGATAAGCATGAGTATCTTTCATGGTTGAAGCCTTGAAGCTCAAGGAATCAGCATTGTGGTTTTGTCGACTGTTTCAGCTTGGAACAAGTCTTTGCAATTGCTGATTATCTCTTCTTATAGTTCGTCAAGGATAATTTAAACCCTGTTTCAGAACCGATGCAACCGATATCGAATCGGAAGTCCATCCAGGTTCCAGACCTAAGATAAGAAGGAACACGATGTCTCTTGGCTGCTACGTATATACCACACACACTCTTCTTTACATCTTCACTTTCCATCAGAGATAGTCTCTTCTTCTTTATTGTCCTCGCTTTTTGGATAACAGTTTTGATAGATAGTCGAATCTTGAGAAGTTCTTGGACACTGATCATCTGTTTTCTCTGCATGATCATCACCACCAGAAATCAAAACACTGATATCCTCACTGGTTTCGCTGCAGTTTCTGCTTCTCCTCTTCCGGGTTTTGGCCTTTTTCCCTCCTCTGCATTCTAAATCACACTTCTGCCGAGTCTTGTCATGAATCTCCTCTTCAGTGAGCTTCTTCACACTCTAAATTCCAACTTCACTCTCCTGAGACCATAAACACAACATTCTACATTAGTCTTTGATTCCTCAAAACTAGTTTACACAAATTGATTCTCAAATCCAACAATGACTAACCAAGACCTCGCAATCACTGTCACAGGTAAGCTGCTTCTCAATCTTAGCCTCAGTTGTTGTACATTAACCAACAAGGTGAGAATATTTTTGTTCAAACACATTTTCTTAACGAGCCTATTTTGTAAGGCTGCTGACTTATTGGCAAAACAAAAACAACCCGGATGTCCATTATTGTGACTTTATTGTTGAAATATGGAATACGAAATAGAGTAAGAAGAAAACAGAGTATTATGTGATCAAACTTTTATTGATTATGATTGTATCACACTGCATATTTTACAAGAGTTTGATTCCACCTACTTATACACACGAAACATTGTGTTTAAACGACACGACTCTAAACAAACGTAACTTTTGTGTTAAGTAACTAATTAATACAAATGTAACTGATTTATGCGAGATTTGATTATAGTTCAACATTTATTTCATCAAGTCAATAAAGAAACTTTTTGGGGAAAAAAAAAATAAAATAAAAAACGAGCCTATTTTGTAAAATTAGTAATAGCGAGTAATCGACTATAGAAGCCCATTTAGAAAACCTGGCCCATCATTTTTGGCACGGAAACCCTAGCAGTCACCTCATTCTATTGCTCTAAATAGGTGTACTTTCTGACAACTTAGAGAACTCTTTTTCTGCAACTCGGAGAACTCTTTTTCTGTCTTAAAAACTTCTAGAGTCACCTTTTTCTTTCTTAGATAAGTCATGCTTTTTGATCTTTTAAATCTCTTTGAATTCGACATAGATCGATCTTTCTGGAAATATGTTTATTCTGTAGCTATTTTCAAAAGGTTAATGTTTGGTTTTCGTCTTTTTTTTTTTTTTTTTTTTCATTCTTCTCTGATTTAGAACTCTAAAATTATTAGCGAATTTGCAGTAATATCATGTGAATGGTGTATGTTGTTTTTTTTTTCATTATTTTTCTTAGATCTAGAACTCTAAGAATAATAATTGTTTTTGTTGTTCTCTTTTCATTATTTGTTTTTCATTCTTTCCTCAGATCTAGAACTCTAAGAACAAAATATTATCAATTAGATCTACAATTCTAAAATATAAACATTTTTTGTTGTTTTTGTTTGTGTTTTTATTTTTATTCTGTACTTAGATCTAGAACTCTAGAATGATTAGTGAATTTGTGAATTTTGGTACTAATCAAATTAGTGAACCATTGGGTTAATATTAACCAAGATTTAACGATGGGTTAAATGACGGGCTGAGCTCAATGAATATTTGTTGTTCTCTTTAGTTGATAAATTAACCAGCCCATTAACTATTCCGGCCCGTTAATTATTTGTAAGTGCTTTTGTTAAACCCTAGAAAAACTAGTTTTGTATGTTTTGCTGATTGCTCTTTTTGGAAATACACTATTGCTCTGAACAATGGCGGCGGCAGGGAAAAAGATTTTCCGGTTCATTTTCCGTTCATTTTTCCCGACGCCACCACCATCTTCGACCTGCCGCTTTCAACCAACTCCTCCTCCCGGCCGCTGTCAAGCTCCGGATTTGTTGAAATCAATGGCAGAGTCGGAGCGAAGACAATATGCCTTTTCCATCTATCTGATGCTGTTTCAAATGTCTGTAGTGGGCGTGGCTTGGAAAACGTCGGCAGGTGATAGGATGATGGAGTTTGCAGTTCTTCTCCTCCAGAAGACAGAGGTTGGTCCAAAGGAAGATGAGCCCAACCCATTTCGCTAATCCTATGGAATCTGGTATCTGGTTTCGTTGTTTAGATCTAAGAGTCTAGGGAACCTTTTTGGTATGAATCTGGTCTTGTTTAATTTTGTTTCTCTGGTTATAATCGTTGTTTCTAGCTCTAGATTCAGAGTTCTTGAGATGAAAAACCATTCTCGTGGAACCTTTTTGTTATGAATCTGGATTTCGGTTAATTTTGTTTCTCTGGCTATAATCGTTGTATCTAGTTCTAGATTCAGAGTTCTTGAGTTTAAAAAAACATTTCTCATGGAACCTTTTTTCTATATCTGGTTTTTGGTTAATTTTGTTTCTCTGGTTATAATCGTTGTTTCAGTTCTAGATTCAGAGTTCTTGAGTTTAAAAACCATCTTCGTCATCATCTTAGGAACACTTTCAAAGTTATTGAATATACCGAAATAGGAAGTGAGAGTGTTGTAAATGATTGAATCAGGCTTCATACTTGCCACGGTTAACATCTTATAGACTTCCATCTGCCTTAGAACATCGTAGTCTCTTCCCTTCAAAGCGCAAAATATCTTCCATTTTGTCGATCCAATGCAAAGCCTTATCAATTAATGACGTTGCAATAAGCATATAAGAATTTGTTCTCACCTATTTTGCTACTCTCTACTCATCATACCAAAAGTGATTAAATGCTGTAACAAAGAGTGTATTGCTCTGTCCATGTAAGTTTGTTCCACTATAGATTTTCATAAATCATAACCTTCCATCGATGTTAACTCTCGAGTAAGCAACATACATGTGAAGTTTGACCACATAAAATAATCTCATGGGCCATGTTAAGTCCTTGCACAAGTTTGCCAGAGAAAATAAGAGAAGAGATTGGGCTTCGGAGTTAAAGCCTAGTCATGTTGCTGATATTAGCTGTATATACAATAAGATGATTCACATGACACTATATTTTGTCCTGTTGTTTCTTTTTTTAGGCGTTTAGAAAAATTTAAGATTTTTTAAAAAAGCGCAGCAACATAACCTTTTCCAAAAAATACGAGACAGCAAAACCAGTCGCATTGAATAATCAGTTATTCGTTCCAGATAACAAAAAGACCAGTTAATTAAAACTAGGAGAAAAGCGCAGCAACATAACCTTTTCTTTAAATGTGTTTGATCAGAAGGTTGATTTTTTTTGTTCATTTCAATCTACTAGTGCTCCTTGAAAATTTGTATATAGTGATCAAACACATTTAAAAAAACCTAAACATCATATATAGCGTATTAAATAATGATATGCATGAGCACGGTTCTCTCTTAAAGCCTAAACATTTGAAATGAAACATAACATGATTGATTTGTATATAAATAATCATATGGTGATGCTTTAGATAACTTAAAAAAAACAACTAATTACTTATATATGTTTCAGAACCATCATCCATCCCTTAAACCCAAGCTCCCTATCTGACGTGACCCATCACGAGCCACATGACTCACTCTTGTTAATTCCCTTTTTCGTTATTTCCCCCACCCCCAAACCATGTATAGTTTGATTTAGATACTAAACACAAAGACATTTATATTAGATTTGCTGAGAATTTTATTGCAAAGTTATATAATGGGTATGGGTTGGAGGATGAGACATACTTATAGAGTTGACTTACTAACCGAAATGCAAAACAACGATCAATATTGAATAGACATCAGTATGTTGTTTAGAAGAGGGCAAGGAAGAAGATACACAATAATATTGCTTAACATGTCTTATAAAAAAATTATATGTTTTATGGTAGGAATTTATTCTGCTGCCCACAAAGGAAGATAAAACAGTGCTTATTTTAGTCAAGAATCTTAAGATTACACATCCAACATGCAGAAGAAACTATTGGACGGGGAACGACGAAAACACATGAGTGTATGTGTATGTAAGTAAATTAAAATAAACTTTTTGAATTTGTGTGTATTTAACGGAATGATTAAGCATCATTAGATATGACTTCAACGAGTTGAAAATTCTGGATTTACACTCTCGCTCTCGTGTACGTAATCTTTTTCTTTCGTGACTAAGGGCAAAACCGGGACTAGATTTTCATGAAAGTGAGTATTAAACAGAAAACACAAAGAAAAAAAGATAAAGACTTGATGATTAAAAAGGATAAGTAAAGAGAAACACTTGTACTTGTGAGGAACATCGAGGTTTTGACGTACTCTTAACTTTTTTGACTTCTTTGGCTCCCATATAATCATGATTTGACCTTTTGCCAGTCAAAAAAATCTGCCAAATCGCTTCATAAAACTCAGAAGACAACTGTTAAATAGCAAAAAAATAACCTCTATACTGTTTTGTGTTTCGCAAAATTTGAGGGGAAATCTCATCAAAACAATAGGTTAGTCAAAACTCACAGACACGATATAAAACACTTGAATGTTTTTACTCCTTCAACAAAAATAACCACTTTATTGTTACTGTAAATGTGTTACGGTATTATAGTAAAATGAAATAAAAGTGAGTGTGTAACGGTAAAATGAGCAAGAGACGATCCTGGTTGAAAAAACAAAAAAGTTGTTGTACTAGTATAAAGTATTGAATCACTGGCCAAATGTAACACAGATTTGACTAACTGTCACCTAAGATTTAAGCTTCATGGCACCATCACCATGCAATTAAGTTGACAAACAAACCCAAATTATTATACGTTAAAAGCCAAAATTGAATAGTTTGTTTTGTCGTGTGTACCTCTCTTAACGGTGACTTGAGCTTTTTAGGGAAACTTCCTAAATTCTTCTAAATAGTACACATTTAACTAATCAATCAGTCAAAATATATAAATATATATATAGAGAAAGAGATATATTATTGTTTTTGTTTTACATGTTCTTCTTCATCTTCAAAAAATTCAACTTCATCTTCTCCCTCATAACATCTTCCCTGTCCCTTTGTAATCATGATTCTTCTTTTGCCATCATTACCTTCTAAAGGAGTCTCTCCCTCTCTCTCTCCTCTCTCTACAAGAAAATGCAAACATACAACAAACTTTCATCTATATAACGCCTCTCTATTATCTCTCCCACTTATCAAACACGTCTCACTTCTTCTTCTTCTTCTTCTCTCTCTCTCTCTCTTCAACCTCCAAAGATGTGTTTGAGTTCTTCAGGGCATGTCCATCCAGGGATTTAAACACGGTTTTAAAGGAAATACATGATTTAAATAAATTTTTAATCTACAAATAAACTAAAACCGAGTCTACGGTAAGCTTCCTTAGCTAATTTTAGAACCTGACACGCGTCAACATTTCTCGCTTCCTCTCTCTCTCTCTTCCTCTCAGTCTCTCTCGACTCTCCACCGGCGAGAAAATTCGACAATCGAATCCGCGATCCGTTGATCGGATTTGGTCCGATCTATTCTCGGGAAGGTGTCTCTTTCTCCGTTTGAGTATCTACGTTCAAAAAAATTGATTCGTTTCCGGCGATTTGCATGTCTCTCCTTCTCCGCCTCCGATCACGATTTCCGCTTCTTCCGGAGATAGTGAGCAATTGGGTTCCATGAAAATCAATGTAAGCATTCATCTTCTCTTCTTCTTTAGTTGTTCTGTCTCTATTATATGTTGGACACATCAAAACATGTTCAAAGACTGCTTCTCTGATTCATAGACTCTCTCTGATTGGTGGGGTGTTCTGAGATGGTAAATTTACTGCTTTTTTTGTCAGGTCACTTCGAGAACCGGATATTGTTTCTGTATCACAATCTCCGATTCTTGAGGAGCTGAGAGCACATATATGGGGATTTTTGACTGGTTATGAAGGTGAAAATCCTGTCCCAAACTGGACTTTACAGTATCAAGGCGAGGTCAAAACACAGAGCACATATATGGGGGTTTTTACTGGTTATTAAGGTGATTCTTGATGATGTTTGGACAAGAGAAGCGTTGGACCGCTTGACGTTTAACCTTCCTGGCTGCACAACTCTTGTGGTCTCACGGTCCAAGCTTGCAAAGCCTGAAGCCACTTATGATGTTGAAGTACTTAGGGAAGTTGAAGCTCTCTCTCTCTCTCTCTCTTTCTTCTGTCTATGTGCTTTTGGTCAGCTTGCAAATCTCTCTCTCTCTCTTCTAGTGGCACTATGTTTTGCTGCTGGTCTCATTTGTATAGACATACCTCTTTAAGTGTTTGGTAAGACCTTGGTACTCTCTAAGTTTTGCTGCTGATCTCATTCTTTTCTGTATAAAAGTTAATCTCTTGGTACTCTAGTAACAGAGTATATATGAATATCCTAGCTATAGCTTAATCTGACATGAAATGGCTGTGCAGGAATACTTCATTACCAACACGGAGCCAATAAAATTTTGGGAGTTTATGTCACAGCTTCTTGAAGGACTTGGCTATGAGAGGTATACGATCTTTAACACATGCTTCTTCCCCTTTTGGATGTTTATTTATTTGTCTGGTTTGCTAATCGTAGTTAGATATTTCACTATGAAAGTAAAGAAAACTTGACCGAGTACATTTGATTTAACTTTATTCATGATGAAGTAACAGTTTCACAACACTTTATTTTAGCTGAGCCTGCAAAGCCAACTTGTAATGAATCTGGCGATCTTGTGCAGGTTGGTGTTACCCATTATTTCTCATCATCTCAAAGCTAAAGAAGATCTTGGATATGTTCCATTCAAGAGCTCTCGGGAAGGTATGGCTGCAACTATCTCGTACTGGCAGGAGAGGAAACATAGATTTTAGAAAGTCCAACCATATTCAGTTGGTTAGCTGTTGTAGTAGAGAAAATTTTGGAAAATATGGATTTCTTTTTTAAAAACCACATTAAGGGTTTTACCGATGGAGGAGCAAAAATTTTAAATCCATGACAAAAGTTTTTAGAAAAAAAGTGATGGAAAATTTAATAATAAAAAACTGTTAAAACCCCATTTTTAGGTTTTAGGGATGGAGATGGTCTCAGAACCATTTTCAGACACACCCACGAGACTAGTCTTGTACCTCAAAACACAAAGCCACGTTCGGATCCCTCGCCTCTCAAGGTTTCAATCTCAATCGATCACACACCTTTCTGAAACTATTTATCGACTATTAACGAGTTGATGTTCTGTTTTTCCTTTTATTTTCAGGAGGAGAAGGATGTGGCGGGAAGAAAAAGAGATAGAGATGAAGAACATAAAGCTTTACGTGGAGAATCAAAACATGATACGAGAAAACGAGAAACTCAGGAAGAAAGCTCTTCTTCTTCACCAAGAAAACAAAGCTCTCTTCTCTCTGCTTCAGACCAAAAGATCTCCCCTGTTCCATAAACAAAAACCATTACCCGTCACCAAAAGCACCAAGATCATATTATTCTCCCTTCTTCAATGAATTAGTTAATAATAAAGATCTGAGATCGCTGCACAAAGACCAGAAAAGTTTGGTTATCACCTAAGTGGGTTTTATAATTTACAGTCGAGGGCAGTGGTTTAGTTATTACTGGGTATACGTCTAATTTTTTTCTTTATTTAGTTTCATCTCTCATGTAATCTCTGTATCCGAGTTCTTTTATTAATGGTTAATCTACTTTTTAGTTATAAGTATATTTATTTTACCTAATTTGCTACTCTCTACTCAACAGACCCAAAGTGATTAAATGATGTAACGAAGAGTGTATAGCTCTGTCCATGTAACTTTGTTCCATTATAGATTTTCAAACCTTCCATAGATGTAAGCTGTCTCGAGAAAGCAATTAAGCAACGTTTGATCCATACAATAATCTCATGGGCCATGTTGCACAAGTTTACTAGAGAAAGAAAGAAAATAGATTGGGCTTCGGATCATTAAAGCCTAGTCAAGTTGCTGATATTTTAGTTAACTAGTCATGAAATTTAGCTGTATACAATAAGATGTTTCACATGAAACTATTTTGTTCTATACTTTGTGTTTCATTTTTTCAGCGTTTGGAGAAATTTAAGATTGTGGTTTTAAAAAAAGCGCAGCAACATAACCTTTTTAAATAAGACCCGAGAGCAAAACCAGTCACATTGAAAAAAAAAAGGACTAGTTGAAACTAGAGGAATCTATGAACATGCAATGCACTATTTGGTGGAGTTTAAAAAAAAATGTATTTGATCAGAAGGTTGAAGAAAGATGATGTCAATTTAAGAGAAGACATGAAGAAAGAAAGATAATGTCAGTCAAACATAACACATGACTATCGATCATAAACAGCATCAAACCAAAACAGCTAATCATTACTAGTCTTCAGATCCTGAAGTCGCCATTGCAAGCTTCTTCGCCTGCAAAGAAGAGGGAATCAGTTTCTAGTTTAGGCTTAAGGTTTTTTGAAAAAGAAAAACACCCCATATATGTGATCTCATATACCTCATTATACGCTGCCTCTTTCCCAACCTTATTTAACTGAAAAACTTCTGAGAAAATTAAAAAGCAATCACAAACTGTGTTATTTTTCTTCACTTTATCTCAATAATGGATAATTTTAAGATGATAAAGGGATGATCACAACATTACCCCAAGATAAGGAGAGCAGAAATCCAATGGATATATAGCCGCAGCCAGGAAGAAGCTCCATCAACACTTCCACGCCAATACTCTCCTTCGTCTCTACAATCACGTATGACAAAAAGATTAATTAAGAATTTAAGACTCTCTTTTATGAACCCAAAAAAAAAAAAAATGATCCGAAGCACGAATTCATCAAAAAAAAAAAAAAAAACATATGACAAAAAGATCTAAGACTTTAAAAAACTAACAACTTTCTCTAGCGAATTTGATAGATTTCAGTCGAAATCAGAGAACAGATTGACAAAAAGAATACTCAAAAACTTTTGAAATTTCTATTCACGAATACATGAAACACCAAAACGTCACCTTTAACAAAGGAAGACAAAGAGAAATTACGGCGAGACACAACACATCTCCCTCCGCGCGTTGCCTGCGTGATAACGGAACGAAGACTCAGCATGAATGCACAATTAGGGTTCGCTCTGATTGATTTGCGTGTGCTCTCTCTTAAGTATGTGCGTGGTTAAAATGTGCATGCGTTATCCTATTGGGCCTATATTTAAATGTCCAATAGAAAAAATAATCTTTTTTTAAGTTATATTAAATTGAAAGTATCGAAGATACGGAGAAGATGATATCTAGAAAAATTGGTTTTGTCAAGATGTTTGGAGTGAAACATGAGATGAATTTGAAGACGAAAGAGAGACATGAAGTAGCGAATGACGTTTTAAATAGGCTTCATCCAACTCCAAAAGGGAGCCTTGTGAGTGAAGGAACGTTTTTAATAGGCTTCATCCAACTCCTTCTTCTTGTGTGTTTGATCTCCATGATTGCTTCTCGTTGAGTGTTTGGGAGGATATTTGTTTCTTCTATACTTTCATGAAAATGTCATATATGAGCGAAGCAAGTACACGAAATAATGCTCTGGGAATGTTATATTATTCTGGTACTTGTATGAAGACAATATTATACAATTTGATCAAATTCACTACTAGAGATTCAACAAGACTCCAACAAAATTTGGTGAAACTTGACATGATGTGGTAGAAAAAAAGCAAATGAAAATGAAATAAGCAAAAGTCTTGGATTCTCACAAATGACTTGAGCCACAACCCACAAGATTCAAATTATCCGTTAATTATCTGGCTATTGGCACATGCATGCCTTTTTGGTAACACATAAGGCACGGCCCTTTCGGCAACTCTGAACAATTTGACGGATACTGAAAACAAATACAGAGATGCCCGATTATCAAAGATGAAATACCAGTAATGGTCACTAAGACAATCAATGGCTTGTATATATAGCTTTACCGTCCCCTGCTTAAACTTTTCCCTCGATTCCACTGCCATAGGCCTAATGAACAGGAGACCTTAAACAGAAATAAATAAAATAAAATTATATATATCATCGAGGAAAACTTGAAAGGAATATTAAAACTCTCTCTATACTTACCCATTAAATATCCAAAAGAGATTTGGATGAGTGGAGTCATTGGACCGAACATAGGTTCCTTTCGTATCTCCTCTGCACTCTTCGTCTCTACAATCAATTATGACAAAAAGATCATCGAAGAATAATGTAAAATGGTTACAACTTCCCTAAGCGAATTTGATAGATTTCATTCGGAAAATGACCAAATAAAGAAAAATCAAAACTTTTGAATTTTTTTAAGATGAAACACCAAAACGTTACCTGAACAGAAACTACGGCGAGACACAACACATCTCCCTCCGCGCGTTGCCTGCGTGATGACGGAACGAAGACTCAGCATGCATTCACAATTAGGGTTTCGCTCTGATTGATTTCCGTGTGTTCTCTACTTCTCTCTCTCTCTTTGGTATGTGTATGGTTAAAATAGGCTTCTTTTATCTTATTGGGCCTATAAAATGAAGCTGGGCTTATTAAATGAAGCACAGGTTGTTTAAATGTCCGATAAAAAATAATCATTTTTAAAAATACGAAAACCAAATTCCTTTCTGTAATGAGAAAAATTTCAATAATACAACTTTGTCTCTATAATTCGTAAGATATCATAAATCTGATGAAATCATTCCCTGTAGTGGGGCAAAAAGGCTGTCCGTTTTAAGCAATAGAATAGAGCATGCATGCCGTTCTTATTCAAAAGTCTCATCATTTAAACAACCGTCAAAACAGAGTATAAGCACAACATAACAATTACAGAGACCAAAAATAATCATTCCAAAGTTTTTTTCATTCATAAGGGTTACATAAACCCAAGTATGAATCCATGTCTTCTCTTCTGGTTATGACAAAACAAAGAAACTAAAAAATTTATTGCTGACTCACATCTTCTTACTAAGTCATCCAGTAAACCTCAAGCCCCACGACGACGCCGGTGGGTTTTGGAACATTGGTGGCGTATGGAAAAGATATGAAAGAGAAATCTTGTGCTAATTATGTTGTTTCGTGAGCTTGTTTCACTAATGCCACAGCCGCCACTGCGCAAATTTTGTACAACATTGTCTAGAGTTGGGAAACGATGAAAGAGATGGGAGAATTTCTTGCCACGAATACCAAGTGCTTGTCTAAGGAAAAAAAATCCAATTCGTTCCTCCCTAGAGCATGATGTTTGATAATGAATCTCTTTTATCTTTTGTTTATTTGGGATCTATGAATGTGGTTATTTTTACTTTGTAGTTAGATTAGATAGTATTATTTTGGTGTTTTTATGAATCAATGGGTATAATCGTTTATGATTCTCTTTTAAGAACCCAAAGATCTTTCGAGTCCTTCATAGCGATAGATTTCCTCTTGTCCATAAAAGAACCCTATAAATTAAAAGCCGACTATTAAATGTTGTTGACAATGTAATTCTATCCCAAAACCAAATAGAAACTAAAAACAACATTTTTGTGCTCTTAAACACCTGTAATCTTTGTATTTGAGTACTTTTGTTTTAACCTGCCTTTTTGATATTGACTTCTTTTGTTTCAATCCGCTTTATGATTAAAGTTTTTTTTGTTTTTCAGCTAATTTTCTACTCTATTCTCAAATCAGACCCATAAGTGATACAAGTTTGGATATTATTTTACAAAAAAGTCAATTTTAACCTAGGCTCAATAATTTGTACAAGTGGATAAAAGATGTGCCGCGTGTATCCAAGCTATGGATAAAGAGTTCTACCAAAACTACCAAAACATTCAAATGCCCTTTGTTATTCGAAAGTCTCCTCCTTCTTTTAAGAACAGTTAAAAAACAGAGTATAAGGAACATACCAATTATAAAGACGAACCAAAACAAATCATTCCAAACATTTTCCATTCATAAGTATGGATCGATGTTCTCTTTTCTGATTATGATGACCAAACAAAGAAACTAATTTTTTTTTTTAGCTAATACCGACTGATTAGCATAAAATCATCATCATCAAGAGCTTGAACATCTCTCTCCCCAACAAAATGCTCTCTCCCAATCTCCTTCACAATCTTCACAAACTCAATCCTCTTAGCAAGTGGCAACGGAACATACGGCAACCTAAACACCGGTCTCGCCACTCCAAGCTGAGCCAAAGCAGTGTTCACACCAATCGGATTCGGCTCATGGAACAACCAATCCATCAAAGGCAAAAGCTTTGCGTTCAAAACCGAGTCTTTCCCTTCAAACATCAACCTCCTCATCAAACCGGGAACCAAATTACTAGTAACAGAGATAACACCAGTCGCTCCATAATCCCATCTCGAATCATGACACTCATCATCATTCCCACTCCACACAACAACCCCATTCTCAGTGTACTCCTCAACCCTCTTGTTCCCAACACATTCCTTCACACCAGCCAAGTTAGGACTCTGGGAGAGCTTGAAGATGGCGTGAGTCGGAATGTCCTGCCCTGTCCTCCCCGGAACATTGTAGATAATCGTCGGTCCCATATGAAGAACGGACTGGAAATGAGCAATGAGACCGTCGATGGAAGTCTTGCCATAGTAAGGGTTGATGTGAAGCGCTGCGTGCATGCCAACAGCGAAGCCTTGCTCAGAAGCGTGGATTGCTTCTCTCGTGGAGTTGCTTCCTGTGTTGCCAATGACTTTGATGCTACTGCCGAAGCAGTTCACTGTATGGCCAATGAGCATGATGTGCTCGTCCCAACTCATCAACTGTCCTTCACCGGTTGTGCCACCGACGATGACTCCTTGAGCTCCGTTTTGGATCTGAATGTTGACTAAGTCGTCGTAGGCTTCAAGGTCGAATCTTCCGTCTGGGAGGTACGGTGTTTTGATGGCTGTGATCACACGTAGTGCTTTTATATCGTCTGTGTTCGTCCTGATATAAGCAAACACACATGATAAACAAAAGATAGAGTAAAGTCTCAGAGCATAGAGTATATGAATGAAATGTATACAATGTTGGTCCATCCACAGACCTGTTTTTGACCTCCAAGCTACGCATTGGGAGATGGAAATTCGGCACAACAGCTGCTTTCGGAGAGACCCATTTCGAGCTTCTTCTGTGTTATCAACATACAAAAAGCACATTTAAGCTTCAATCAAGAGGTCTTATATATCACTAAATCCTATAACGATAACAAATTAGCCAATTTCAATTCCAGACAATGAATATTCAATTCTATAGCAGCAGCTATAGGATAATGAAAAAAAATATACAAAAACCTGCAAATGTATTGAAATTAGATAGAATTTGGAGAAGAAGAAGGAACCTTTTGAATCCTTCGAATGGCCTTGGACAGGGGAATTGAAGAGCAGAGTCCATAGAACACAAGCCATAACCTTTCAAAGCAGACATCTTTGATAACACGGAGGAACTAGAACTAAGTTTAGCAAACCCCAATTCTCAAATCCAATACCCAAATTTCAGAAACGTCACCAAGCAAGCTGGGTATTCAAATCAGTTCGCGAGGATGAGAGCAATAGAGTGAGTAGTTCCGATGATAATCGTTGAACGGAGAAGCGAAGCGATAGAAGTCTGGTAATGGTGGCTGCTAAGCATAATGAGAAAAAAGGATTCCGATAAGAGCAATGGGACTTGTAAGGAGGAGGAAGCGGCGAGAGATGGACGGAGGAAGAAGAGCAGATACAAAAGCCGTTCTTAGGGTTTTTGTCTCTCTCTCTCTAGCTACTGAGATATTGCCACGTGGATATTGGTTTATCGACACACGCACATTCACAAAGATTATGGTCAACTTTAGTTTTTTTTTCCTTCAAAGGATTTTGTTTCTATGGCAGTCTTTTCGAAGACTTTTTAGCTCAAAACAATGGATTAATAGTATAATTAAGGGCTCCATTGCATTACTAATCTTTTCATATTAGGATAAGAATCGAACATGTTTATATTAATTCATCATTCAACATTCATGCAAAGCACGTTCGTATTAGAGAGGTCCATCGTGACTGCTCATAATATTGATTATGTAGTTGTGATTATCCACGTTTTTGGTCAACGTGTTTATGGGATAATCTAAATTAAACTCTCCCATGTGGCCTAAGAGCCTATAACTCAGGCCGTATACCCAGCCCAATTTTGAAATCTAGAAGCCCTCTAATCTTAGTCTACTAGTGTCGACCATATCCAGTAATCCACTGCATATTGATGTACATAACGAATGCTATACATGATTTTGATTTCTATATGTATCTCGAAACACATGTAACAATTGTGGATAGACCCACCTCAAATTATACTGGACTTGTTTTGGGTTCTATGTAGTGTATAATCATTGAATTAGAAAGTCAAAGAATCTTTGCGAGTTATGTGTCTTTTCATACGATTTATATGTCTCGTCACTCATAATCCCGAAAAAGTACTAAAAAATCATACAAATAGTGTACAACATTTAAAAAATAAGTCAGGGTACCACAGGTGGTAGAAGGTAATTGACATATATGATCAGAATGTATACATTGACGAATTGCGAGTAACCAATTTATTTAACAATGTATACATGATCATAAGTATGATTTATCTAACTTGTTACTTTCATTCACCACCATTTCCACATGAAAAGAAAACATTAATTAAGTTGATCTATGAAAGTTAAAAATTCATTTTTCGAACTACACTTAGGTTCCTTGTGAATGTCGTTTTGGACAACAAAAACGACCGATACATCATACTTCATCATAGGTTATATATAGTCAAACAAAAACAAAAGTAGGAGGAATATAGCGTAGATGTAAAAAAGAGAGAATAGAGAGAGAAGAGAAGAAGAATGATGGGGAAAGTGTGAGGGAAGGTGGCTTTGGAAGTAAGGAACTCTCTCTCTTTCTTCTCACTTCACTCTCTCATCACCTCGTAAAGGAACTTTTCTTCTCACTCACGCACGTGCGTCGGTGCTTCGCCCAATGCTCTTCTTCTCTTCCCACCTTAATTGCTTTCTCTTCTCTTCTCTTCTCTCACTTACACACACACAGTATCATTCAATCATTCATCAGCACAACATGTCTCTATATATGATATGATCAAGTGAGTTTATCATTGTAACTGTGTACTCATCATTTTCTTGTTTCGAATCTGATTTCTATTTCTACTCGACCCTTTTCTTTTACATAACCGTAAAAACGTTACAAGACAGTCGTAAATGATGAAAATTACTTTGGATTTTTAAATATTTTGATATATTATAAGGATTTTCGTGCAAATATAAGTATCTGCCAAATGCAATCACCTTGTTCCCAAGTCTTGTTCTTGTCATTATGCCTCTTGCCTCACCATCTTCTCACCAACCTCGGAACAATCATTTTTTTTAATCTTCCTTTTTTTATGTTTCTCCTTGCTTATATAAATTTATAACGGTTGTTCTTCACGCATGAAAACAATACAAACAATGTGATTGGAAATGTGTGTACTGTTTGATTGATTAGTAACTGACCAAAAACAAAATTATTGCAACTTTCACAAAAGAAAACGAAGAAGCTAAAAAAAACTGACTTAAGTAGTAGCTTTCTCTTGGTGTGATTTTGTTGAGCGTTTTATCATTTCAATGAAATCTTAGAACATATACTCAAAGCTAATCATCACCAACACATTAAAAACGAAAATTCGAAATCAACAAATTATAATTTCCTAGTCAACGCAAACACACAAAACCTTTCTTAAACCTAAAAAAGATCGATCAAATCCATTGACCAAAACGGTTTTCTTCGATTCATACGTACCACAAATCTTCGTCAAAGACTACAATTATCTTTAGAAAACAAAGAAAAGAAAGAAAAAAAGGAAATTAAAATTTGACAGGAGGGATTATAAATTAAAAACGATCGAAGAAAGTATCTAACTCTTTTTTTGGCGATTTAGAAAGATGGTCGAGGAGGTCCCCAATAAGCTTCAGCTGGCATTTGAACAGAATTCATAAGATTTGGAGGCAATCCTTGTATAAACGATGTCGGATCTTGCATCAACTGTTGCTGCTGCTGCTGCGTCTGCGACTGAGTCTGCGTTTGCGTCCCACCGCCAAGCGTTGCGTTCCCATCGACATTATTAGCAACCGCTCCAGCCGTTTGCTGCTCTTCCTGATCATCTTCCTCCAACGGCAACCTCTCATACGCAGCGTTTCCAAACGAAGCAGCCATAATCACCACAGGTCCTGAAGCCATGAGTGGGCCCACCACGCTTCCTCCGACGACCTGTCCTTGACCACCGGCTAAGTAAATCGTTAGTCCGGAAGCAGCCGGTGGAGCCGGAGGAGGAAGGAAAGATCCCGAGAGAGAAAGAATCTCGAAACGTCCGTGTAAGTTGACGACCGACGAGCCACCGCCAGGTACCGAAGCTGGTTGTCGTATGGTAACGTTTGTAACGGCGCCGTTACCGCTCAAAACGCAGACGCCACGTTGGCGACGGCGAGCGAAGACGGTGACGCTTTCCATGACGTCACATCCGTTAGCAACTTCCATGACATGAGATTTGAGAGCGTTTGCGCTGTCTCGAGTGATGATGATCGGTGGTTTCGGTTTGTTCTTGGATCCTGCTGGTCTGCCACGTGGCCTTCTCGTGATATGGTTATCTCCTCCTCCTCCGCCGCCGCTTTCTCCGCCAGAGCCGGGAGTGTTTTGATCTTTTCCGGCTGACGAGTGCTCGTTGGGATCGATCTCAGCGTCTCGGTCGCGTTTTAAACCGCCGATTCGGTGCTGGTCGATTTCGTGGCCGTGATTCTGTTGTTGCTGCTGCTGATGCTGGAATTGATGGTGTGGGTGAAGATGGAGATCTCTTGAGAGAAAAGGTGGAGGAAGAGAGCGAGAGACCTGATCCATTTCTTGAATGAAAAGCAAATTAAGAAAAAAACCCTGATTAAAATTAGTCTCCTCTTCTCATCCGCTTTACCAGTAGCTTAGCTTGAGGATGGATAGACAATAGCTCAATTCAAGTAATTAAGGGGGAAAAAAAAAGAGAGAGTTAAATTTTGAAGAAGAGAAAATCAAAAGAAGGGAGATACGAAGTCATGTACATGAAAAATGAAACTGGAGCTGGACTAGTAATACATGAAAACGAAGCTTGTAAGAAGAAGGAGGAGGAGGAGAGAGAGAGGAGAGAGATGGGTTTAGGGTTAGGTCTGAGAGGTTAAAGGTTAAGAGAGTATTCAGATGGAAGATGGGTTTAGTTTTGGTTTAGATAGACAGCGTGCCGCATGGGCGGTGTGTGGGTCCTACTTACTGTGTCACTTTGTGGGGCCTACTTTTTATTTTTCTTTTGTAACAATTTTCAGTTGTGTATTTGTCTCCTTTTAATTGAAAAATGAAGAAAGGGTGTTTATAAAACGAAAAATCCGTGAAAATATTGGATGAGGTTTAGTACTAGATAGTCTATGGAGGCGTGTGATTATATCAAACATTATAATGGACATACAGATTGAAGCGCACGGGTCTTGTATCAAATTCGATTTTATTTTTTAAAGCTGATGATGGAACCGGTGCATATGTGTATGATTTTGTAGCTAGTACATGCCTTAATGTACGGTCTTCAATTACATTTTATATCAGTTCACTGGGTTTTTTTGTATATATATTATGTTTCTCGATGTAGCAGGTAGCACATATTGTAATTGTTTTTATAAAGAGTCGAACTATTCAAAACTTTAGGAGCAACGGAAACAATTGGAATCTTCAATACAATAAGGTGGATATATAATATGCTTCATACCAGTTATAATATACATTATACAGCATTTTAAAATATTGTATTAAAGTTTTTGTTTCAAAAGCATCATCATTTGCATATATACATATAGAGGATTAGTTAGGGTTACTTGCATTGAACAAAAAAACGTATAGTAGTATTTTATTGTCAAAATGTCACATGTGTCTGCATATAAATGTACGTTAGGATTAATTAAGGTGCATGAAAGTTAGTGACAAATAATTAAGAGTTGAATTGGAAAAAAAAAGAAGAAGCTGAGAATGTGAAGAAGAGACGTTATTGTTGTTGGATAATGACAGAAACTGTTTTAAACATTTCGCTTAAAATCTAGGAGAACTGCACTTACTTGTGACTTGTGTATATGTGCGTTATGTTTATAAAAAAAGTTGAAACTGTTCCTTGGTAAAGTTTGACAATGGTCTATATATGTGCAAAATACTCCAATATTTTCTACCCCATTAGCTTAATAAAAAAAAAAAAAAAAAAAACTGGAATGTCTGCATGCATAGTTAGGTTTCTATTTTAGCAAACGCATTTTTCTTTTGTTTTTCATGATTCTACTACTACGCAAAATATTAATAAGAATGAGACAGGTACGATATATATGCACGTCTATAACAATATATGATTAATTGCTGCTCGTTTGCACGTATATATTTGTGGTGGCTAATGATCAATATATACGTTTTGGTTTTTGGGACTAAGTTCAATATGTAAACATCGACTTATATTCACTGGTACTAGTTTTGGATAATCAGAAAATGAAAAATTGATTCTCTTAATCTATAGAATCATAAATTGATGATACCATCTACTAATATTCAGTATAGCTATTAATCATAAATTTATCTAATAAAACGCTTAGCTATGAGTCTCTACAAACGATTCAAGGAAAAGTAACTTAAACTAATTTAATTTCCAGCCAATCTTGTTTTTCTTGGCTTTTTAGCATAAAGAAAGTTACTAGTAGTATTTATATATTCAGAAATCAGAAGTTGATTAATTATGGAGATGAGGCAGATTCAAGCTCGTAAATCGCGAAGCTTGGGAAAGACTAAAGAGACAAGAAGTGGAGGAAAGAGAAGATGACAGGCGCGTCAGACGCCGTTGGATGTTTGTCCCCGTCGGTTGCGATGCTTTCACGTAAGAAGACCAGCCAGCGAGAACCAGCTCACGATCGCACGTGCAGTAGCTGACACGCGTGAATTATTCCATTTAATGTAAATCACTTAAAACATTGACTCCTTCAGGATATGCCTCAAGCTCGAAAGGGTGGCTTTCACGTCACGATCGGGAATATTTTAGGTCACCAACGGCTGCTTTTAACCACACCAACAAAAAAATAAATTCCACTACTCAAAAGTTACCTTAAATATGTCAAAAATTGTCAAGTTTCCCAAGTATGTAAACTTCAGTTCTTGTTTACCCCACCAAGGTAACATTCTTCGGACAAGACATGTCAAAAAGTATTTGACAGTGCCACTTCTCACTACTTTCTGTTTTCTGTTTTATTATTATTATTTTTTTCTTTGACTAGTAGAATTATGTATGTATATATAACTCAAAATAATTGATGTTGTAATCAGAAAGAATCTTAATATTATCTAGAGACAGCTTTGGATTTGGTTATGCTTCTACCATGATTAACAAAGTGGATAATAGCTTTAGCATAACAAACAATTTTAGCCTCCTTTCTGGACAGTACTAAACTAATGATAGAGACAGGAAGTTTGAAATTTGTTTAATGTTCGACTGTTAAACCAGCATTATATATTATGATCCCTTAAATTCATTTTTATGTGATTCATTAATTGTGTCGGATTGTTTTTAATAATTAGGTGCCCACACACTTATACACGAATAACACACTAGACGCATCCCATACAAGTTTCATAATGTCTACCAAAAGGTCCTTTGCTTTTGTTTTCTTCTTGGCTCCATATTATATAGAACAAAACAATAATATTCAACCAAAAATGATAAAAATAAGGAATTATAGATATGACGATTGGGGAACAACCTTGAGGAAAATCCTCGGCGTATATATACAAATATGATATATTTAACAAATACTGTATATAGTTTGTATCTTGGTCGATAATGTTATATTAATTATAACGTCCACGAACATATGTATAGATATATTATTTTTAGTTATCCGTTTTGCAAATGAAGTCGAAAATGTATGCTAAGATCGAAATTAATATACATATATGGGTAAACAAAACTAACTATGATCAACCAGCTCAATTCAAAACGTCAAGACCCGATCCTCTTTTCAACATGGTTCTTTACTCTCTGCTTTTAATAATGATTCTTAAGATGGTTGTGATTGCGGGAAGTTTACATGCCAAGAGTACTCTACTTATTTTCGAGATTACTATAAAGTAAAATTTGGATATCCAGCAGTAAATCAGAAAGGTAAATTATTGTAGAGTTACTTCTATATGAATACGAATTGGTATATTGCTCGTGTGATTAGTAATTACGAAGAGAGAGAGAGAGTGAGAGTAATGTGTGTGTTGACCGCATGGGAAGAAGAGAGAGATGTAGGTTGAATCTGAAACCAGGACGTGTGGGCGTGATTCTCCCCTTTCCCACCCATCCCCCGCGGATCCCGCTGACACCCGACCCGACCCGAACTGATCCGGGTGGGTGAGCATCGGACTAACCACTCACATCTCACGTTATTTGTCTTCACTTGATATCCAATAAGGGCGGGGCATGTGGCTCTGAAACCCATGTTACAATATTCAAAACTAATCTGCAACCATTAATACACTTGGATCATTACTCACTAAAGCCTAATTAACATGTTATGTAACCATTTTTTTCGTAGATATCGAGACATTTGAGAATAACTAGATATTTGGACTCTTGTGTCTATAATCTCTTGGCTCAGTGAATTGCATATGCTCATTAATGTCCATATCTTAACTTGGATTTCCTGCCTATTCTACATATAGTTTGTTTTAATCAAAACGGGATAGCTTTAAATGGCGATTAAAATGAAATTACTTTCACTTAGCTCAGTGATTTTTTTGTAAATTACTTGAGACAGCATCATTGTAATCTGATATTTGTTCAAAAACGCCCTAACGGTATTCTAGTAATTAAATAGTTTAGGTTGAAAAAATTTCAATCGAGATTTATCCTGAACATTTATGTATCTTAGAAACATATATAGTGTTACTCAAATCACATTCTCAGTATATATGACAAATACAGGTTTGATACAAGTGGAAACGGAAGCTAATTAAAGTGAGACATAAAGAAGGACGTGATAGACATAGTTCGATGCATTTTTGGCATCCAATCTACAAAGTAAAATACACGTAGAAGTTTGTCATATATAATTTTTTTGTGTATGTGCTTTTATTACATACCGTATATTTGTATTATAATTCGTATGAAAAGGTACAATTAGCTTAAGGACATATAACGATCGATTTTTTGGAATATTATAAAGTCGCAATAGACAATTGCTTAATTGTTTAAATGTTGAAGAGAGACAAAAGACATAGTCATCTACTATTTAAATATTAGCAAGAATATATTATTAAAGGTCGTTTTCTAACCTATAGTATTATACAATGCCTACTTAATCAAGTTGGTGTTGGCATCACCTTAACAACGCTCGTTTACATCTTGCACACCTTTTCATATTCTCGCAAGAATTACCGAAATCAAGATAATTGATCCGCTATTCGTGTAATTGCGAATCAAAAACCTCAAAATATGTATATTGAAAAAGGGGAAAATGAAGAAAAAAATCATCAAAAGAATGGACCAAGGCCGAGTTTGTCATGTGATTGACAACGAGTTATCTTTTATCTTCTTTTGAAACGAACATAATCATATGCCCCGAGAACTTGGTGCCAAAATGTCAACGATTCTCTTAACATCAACTTAAGCATCAAAGCACGACGCATTTTCTGAGTATTAAATTAAACGTAATTACAATCCTAATCTACTTATTAATTTCTCCACTGTCGTGGGGTGTTGGTTATGGTTCTTAATTACTAATTTAACCAACAGTCGAAAAAAAATCATATGTTTAACGTAACGGATTAATATCTAATGGTTATTTTTAATTTTTAGATATTTGAAACTGAATTTATACCGGGAAAAATGGAAAAGAATAGCAACTGTACTCTATATACTTTTGAAATAAAAATTTACGCGGCAACTAAAATTTCAAAATATCAACAATGATCACATTCATTCAAATATTTTTACTACTATAATCCAAAAACATATATCATCATTATTTTCGTAATTGTGAAATATATCTTTTAATGAAATAGATGATCCGAAATATATGTATCAATACCAAGAAACCATAGAGAAAAAAAAACTAATTGCACAGAGGGCAAGGAACCCTTTTTTGACAAAGAAAACTAAAACTGAAGGAAAGGAAAGGAACAGAGTCAAAATAACAACAATAAAAGTAAATTTTATAGTTGTAAATGTGATCCCAATTTATAGATAAAAGTAAGATACAGGAGGGAGCTCCAACATGTAAGGAAGTGCAAACATTGTTATAATAATCATGTAAGAATTTGATAATATGCAACAAAATGATTGCGTTTGATGTCGCTTAAAATTAAATATTGTGCATGAGACGAAATATAAAAGTGAGCTCGAAAACGAAACTAACAATCATACAAATATATATATAGACGAAGATCACTAATAACTAGCTTTCCCAATATCATATAGTATATATATGTATAAAATACGTTATACCTTTTCTTTGGGTTGTTCATATTGATTTGATTAACGAATCTCTCGTACACGAGCGCGCCTTACTATGATTAAATTTTGCCGCCATATGTTTATATACGTTTTTGTTTTAAAGTACGATGAGTACTGTTTATATGTTTATCATAAAAAGTTCTCTTATATATTACACGAATGAGACATTCCGTTCCCAGAACAAGGCAGTACGATTAATCAAGAAGCCTAGGCCCAGTAAGATGTAGGAGGGGTAAGAAACTCCTCATGACATCCACGACACGAAGCGTCAAAAAGACTTGTGTATGGAAGATACTTTTGTGGAAAAACATTGAATTGTGCTCGGAAAGAGAATAACATTGAAATAAACCTTAGTTCAAGTAAAATAATTATATTTTTTCTATTAAGAAAAACCAGTAATCCAAACATGGGAAAGTTGAAAGAAAGCTGGAAATCTTTGAAACCTTTTAAGCAAAATGTATAATTCAGAGTTCAAATATAAGTAAGCATACTAAGTTAGCAAAAAAAAAAAAAGTAATTAAACTGATCCACAAATTATATAATTTCATATAATATTATGTTTTAAAAACAAAAATCATAATTAATTTTGGGTTTTATATTTGAAGGAGGCCCACGATAACATATAACAAAAAGGGCCCAATGAAAAGAGGCTTTACAAGAAAATGCCCGAGACAAAAATATGAAATCAAAATTTTCCATGTATATCAATAAGAGTATATAATATAATATATTAATATTCGAACTTATGACAGAATAAATACTCACCGGGAAAAAAGAGGAAAATATTAGCATTCATACAATGTAAATGTTAGAGAAACTGTAATCAATAGTATTATTCCAAGAAAATTAAATACTGTCGAGTAGTCATTTAATTTCCTAATAACAAAGGGGAGAGACATATCGATCAAAGCCAACTCATCTAGACATAGACCGAGACGGCGAGCCGTCGGTGGCTTCTGGCGGTGGAGAACCTTGTCTATGGAGGAGCTCATGTGCTAATGCTTGAAGTTCAGTGCTTCCACCACCGAGCCCCGCGGCGACGGAAGACGAGGATGATCCACCGTAGAAGTAACGTGGATCAACAAACCTTCGTTGTTGTTGCGTGGCCCACGTCGAAGAAGATGTCGAATTATCGAAGATAGAGGCTAAGTCGTAAGTTGAGGGTAATGGTGAGACTGATGCAGGTAAGTCGGTGATGGAGAGAGGCGGAGGAGGACTGAAAAAAAACGGTGGTTGCGGTTGCGCTAGCGGAGGTGGTCGCGTTTGCGGTTGAGGTAGCTCTAGCGATGCCAAATGGGCTTGTAGGTAAGAAACTTCTGCCTGTAGATTCACCACCTATACACATTTTACGAGTTTAAAAATGTATATAATATATGTACTTATATATATTTAAGGACTAGAAATGTAGTTTTAGTAAAACTAATTGAGGATGCGATTGGATGTTGATGGCAGCATAATAAGGTTAATTTGATCAGTGAAATCTCGTACTCTTTATACGGTTAACGTGATATTTTAACTATCCTAATTATAGTTACTACGTGTTATTTCGAAATTTCCGATTTCATGTAACTATTACTTATCTAAAAGTTTAATCAATCACCATTTTATTCACCTTGATTAAGTTAACCGATTAGAAATGGAATGAATGCATGTTCGATTGCTAAGGTTGTTAGGCCACAAATCATGTAAAATATTAACTTAGAAAGTAAAAGATAAAATTGAGACGCATCATATATATTCAGTCATTCATCCCCATAATATTCCATGGGATATATATGATCATATGAGCATGGATTTAAGAAACTATTATTTTTCCCCAAGAAAGAAAACGATTTATGTTGTATATAACCTCGAAATTATTTATACTTAACAAATTTAGTATAACTTTTCCCAACTTTTTTTTTAAAAAGTACGTATTAACACATAAAATTGTACCCCGACCATTTCCCGAAAATCAGCAAAACAAAAAAAAACTATATTCTTGCAATGGGACTTGTCGACGACCTTGTCATTTTGTATAATTACACAATCCTATATTTTTAAAAAGATCAATGGTAATTAACCAGACAAACCATGCTTTTTTCCCCTTTACACTCAAAGTAGAAGATCACAAAACCAAGAAAACTCAAGAAAGTGACAAACTCGCGAAAAAATCAGACCATTTCATTGCACACAAAAAAATGTTCATACCGAAATTTTATGAGTTTAAAATCATATAATAGTCCCAAACGAAACCGAAGTTTGCTACTTTGGGAAAGAAAATTAGAAAACGTAACTGTCATCAAAATAATTTGTGATTGTTTAATCAATTCATCAAATAGTATGTTTCACATCTAGTGATTTCCAACACATTTTGATAGTCCCTTAAAACAGGTTAACGAATTACCTGTTGCTGAAGAGCAAAGATGTGAGCGACGCAGCCATAGATAGGGTCTCTAATCCGAGCCTGAGCTTCATAGCAAATGGTTACGACTGCATCGGACCGTCGATGAACCGGTATGAGTAAGAGAAGCTTCGAGACGTTACTGGCTCCGAACACCTTATGCACCGCCGCGAAATAAGCCGAGCCTTGCTCTGAATCGAAGTAGGGTGCGAATATACATCCTGGCACACACTTTCTCCTTAGAAATTTACAAGCACCGCATGGCCCACCACCACCACCACTACTACTTCCTCCTCCTCCTCCACCGCTACTTCCTCCACCACAACCACCACTTCCCACGGTGGTGATTGTATTTCCACCGCCGCTCATGACGACCCACGTCTAACGAGTTGGTGTGATTTCTTTCTCTCTATCTCTTATATTAAGGTTTTTAAAATTGTTGAGAAAAAAGTTCTGGAGTTTATGTTTGGTGTTGTTGAAGAAGAGATGGAGATTTGAGAAAAGGGGATGAAGAGAGGAGAATTAGGGTTTGGTAAAGAGGACAGTACAGAGAAGAAAGTCTTTAAAGCCACGCGACGACAAAGCTATAAAAAAAAAACGATCTCTCTTTCTCTCTCTCACATTTAGTTGTTTGCGTGAAGCAAACATGCGATAACCCTTCTCTATTATTCTTTCTCACAAGTCCTTTAGTTACCAAATTATTTCTTAATCAAAAGAGAATTAAAAAGAGAAAAATCGTTAGCTTATCTATCTCCATTGGAAAATCTCGTGATAGAATTTTTAGTTCCAAGAAAAATAAAGTTCTTGCTTTCTGTTTATTGATGTGAATTTTACATGTGAATTGTAATATTTGGAGATGTCTCACGACTTATTTACGTTTTTGTACGTATACAATATGGATGATAAAAACGCATCTCATATCCTTAAATATGTTTTAAAACTTGGCTGACGGCCAATTAAATTAGGCCATCATATATTAAATCAGTTACAGTTTATAACCACAATGAGAATTTATTACGGTTTTTTTTTTTAACTAATGAGAATATTGCATTTTCTCCCAAATTTGATAGCTATGGTGTTTGAAGTTTAAGCTGCGACGCCAGCTTAGTTGCTTGTCTTAAAGATTCGATTTTCCCAAAATTGTATTATCGTAATAAAAATGCAAAAGCATACGCAATTGATCAAAGGCCTTTTTAAGTAAATGATTAAGCATTTTTTCATTGATTAATTGAATTAGTTACGCTTACTAGAGAATGACTCGATCACCAACTTATTTTTCTAAATTTATAAAAAGAGCATCAACTATGTTTAATCATTCATTTCCATATTCAGTAGTGCCTATATTTTCTTCATGTTTTCATTTTAGTAATTCACGTTTCATTACCGTAAATGAAAGATATTACACAATTTTGATGGATTTGATATCGGTTTAGAACGAGATCCGAGTGAACCGAATTAACCAGGAGTCAAAAATGCTAAATCTTTCGGTGTTAATGGAAACAAAACGTAGTTACGTGTACAAATACAAGAAGTACATGTGGCAATAATGATTGTAACTGCCTAGCGAGTGGAAAATGAGTGACGTCACTCTTCACGTGGGTCCTACGCGCCGTTCCCTTACAAAGTTAGTAACGCCTCTTGCTTCTTCATTGTATCATCATCCTCCACACGTTTTTATAACATAAATGCGTACTGTGTATTTATTCATTGTAAAAACTGAATGTTGTTTAAAAAAAAAAAACAGAAGAACACTATATTTACTTATTTAGAGTGTTAAAGAAAAGTTGGAGCTGATATCAACTTGCTTAACGTGTGATAGAAACTCAACACTTAAAAATCAGTATATATGTATAAAATATCGAGTATGCATGACGACAGTATTTGTTTTGGGCACAATTGCATGAGTCAAAAGACAATTCTTGCGATCATAAATTATATTCTTTTTATAATGATTGATCAGTCATGAACATCGTCGAGTTATATAATAGCGTAATAAATTAGAAATGAGATAGTGTAGGAGATGGAAGTGACATGGTACCTCAAATCTTGGGGATGTACAAAAAGAGTCGAACATTTTCGATCAAACATCAATTATTTTAACTGGCTATAGTTTTCCTCTTCGGTTGTTTTATTTTAGCTCATCGTATAGTTAATTCTATATAGTGTTATATTAATTATCACTGATCAATCCGCTTTTGTTTCTTTTGTTGATTAACCTTTTTCCACTCGTGCAGTCAAACCCTGTTCGCTTATCATAATATTCTCATCGAATTTGGTAAGGTAAAATAAAGATTAGCTATTTACAATTTAAAAGACGTAATTTAGGCATACACATGCGTTGTGTAACTAATATATTCATATGGAGTGTTGATACTAATTAATACCCTATTATTCATTCTTTTGAACTCCAAAACCCACCGGTCAATATGTACTCAAAAATAGCATTTTAAAATCATATGGTGTCGCCTAAAAACAAGGCAAAGCGATTGATTTAATTAAGAGTTTAAGTGGGAGCTGATGATACAAGGATACTACTAATATTTTAGTAATGTGTTTAATATATTAACAAAGGATCAATAAAATATAACTGGATAATTTGAACTGGTTGATCGCTCACTCGTATCAACTATAAACTGTCTTCCTATTTTTATGAAAGGGTGCAAACTAAAACCAATATAATTTTTTTATTTTGTTATCAACTATACATTCTACAAATTGATGTCCGGATGATGATATAATGATGGACTAATACAATTTCGCTAGACCAAATGTCCATAATCTATTTTGTAATATAGTATTCACCAATTTGATAATATATTGTTTGATATAGTTGAGATAGTTAGCAATTCTCGTGGAAATTTTATTATTCAAAACTGAATCGATCGGACTACTCCGTTGTATAGTGCGGCTCAACCAAAACTGGGATACAATAAATTATTTGCTCGAAAACTTGAGGCCACTTAGAGTAAGCCAGGAACTGAAAAATATAAGCTAATACTAATTGAAAACAATGGTTATACGTTAAGTAATGTCAACGACTTCGTCGATGAATGGTTGTCACCGTATTTCATAAACTGACAAATGATTCCTTAAAAGTAGAAATGTGGCCTTGAGTTATTTATATTTTACATGCTTATAAGTACTGTATTATAAATTATATAAACACGATCCCAAAATTCTTGTAACTTGGTTATATAACCACAAACACAAAAACACACGCACACGCATACATATGACTTCATTTTAAGTCCATTTGATAAAAATAATGGCTAACGGGCGAAAATCTATGTATATTCAATTCATAGTTTATTTTTCCTTTGAATTACGAAATAAAACTTATTTTGTTTGATAAAATAATTGCCTCCTGGTCGGATAATTTTTAGACAGTAGTTGTATTTCAGACGTAAGACAGTTTCGATCTATAGTTCTTGTCGCACTAATTGTTCAAAGTTGACAAAATTTGGGCCAAATCACAAAATTCCTCCATAGTTTGTTTTCGAAGTACATCATCAAAATTTATGGGGCTTTATGATAATGTATAAAAATGCAAGTATATGCAACGGAAAGATTTCAAGAGATCTTTAAGTTGATTGTACTAATGATCAAATAAATAGAGTATATAGTTTTATTTCATTTCATATTTTTTCAGGAAATGATGCAAGTTCTAAATAAGAAGCTTTGTGGTGTTCAACTACAAACATTTTGATCTTTAATGGGCAGGAGGTTAATGATGTGAAATCGAGTAGAGAGATTCGTGGATTAGCAGACAAGAAATCGAACGGCGCGACTGATCTCTTCTTCAACGCTCTCGTTTCCTACTCACTCTTGATTAAATCAAAGCTTATATGAAGTGTATTATGGTTTATGGATGCTATTATATTAGTCTTATCTGCAAAACAAATTAGAAAGAAACAATAACCAAGGAAATCTGATGATACTAAGTTTTTGAATTAGCCTCTTGTGTAAATATATTTAAGCGGTTAAAATTAGTACTTCTTAGAAATGAAAATTTTAATCTCGATCAAGGATACAGACATACAGTTATGAGTGGATTGGTAATATTATTGTGAGAAATGAAAATTACAAATGTTAGGCCATAGATGCAATCAGAAGGGCGTGTTATAGGCTCACTATTAGAGAGGGGATGGTGAGGTAAGTGAATGAATGCTTAGGTGAGGTCCGTGTGACAGTGAAGTCATCGAGGATGTGAGTTATGCCACGTGTCCATATTTTACGACGTGGGTTGTTTTGTGCATAGATTAGATTAAAAAGCAACCATCGATTCTGTTTGCCTCTTTGACTGAAAATTAGTATCTACTAAACATCCCTCATGCCCCGCATGCAAGCGCGTGTTTTTCAGTGTTTCGTTTTTGCAATTTTGTCTGTTCATACTTCATAGGTAATGGAAATGGACTATATCGAACTTGTTTTTTTTTTTGTTTTTTCTTTGCTAAAAGAGCTTGTTTTTCTTTCCTGTTTTTTTTTTTTTTTTTTTTTTTTTTTTTTTTGTAAAGAGTTTTGACTGTTTGATACATTATTACACGTTATAAGATAAAATGACATTTGATAAAAATAAATAAATAAATATAAACACTGAAAAGAGATGGCAAGCTGGACCAAGAGAGTGAGTTAATAATGTCGGGTGAAACAGAAACAAAAAGGAAGAAGAGGCAATAAAGAAGGTCAAGACTCAAGTGATTTGGTTTTCAAATCTTTCTGCACGTATACTGTCACTTTGACCGTGATTGTGATAGTGGAGAATGGAGAAGAGAGATATTAATTTTAAGCTGTCTTGTCTCATTTACTTACAAAAGCTATAACTTATTGATACTTACATGGTTTTTGTGTTTGTGTGTGTTTCAGTGTAAATTGTGCATCGCTACCTACGTTTGTCGCAAAACCAACCCTCGTGATGATACGCTCTTATATATAGGGCTATGGTCTAAATCAGACATTTTTTTGTTGGTCTCCCAGACATTTCAAGATATCTTCTTTCTACATTTCCAATGTCTATGCGTTCATGTGGGATATCTACACATGTTGACATGTACTCACTCAAATCCGTACGTGAGGGGAGAGAGAGAGAGAGGTGACAAGAGATGTGAAAGCATGAAAAGAAATGTGCATGGGGAGGGGCCGCTAGGGCTACAATTTATTTAGTTTTAAATAAATAAAAAAGTAAATTAGGGTTCTAGGGTTATGTAGATTTGAGCTATATGAATCGATCACACGTGGTATGTGCACTCTTAACATCGATCTTTCATCATTGCGTATATATCTTTTACATAACACATTACATTTGAGTAAACTTGTGAATTGTCTTTGCTATAGGCTTTGTTTAGTTTAACCTTTTTACTAAATATCTTGAACATGATGATACAAGAAGATCATTTATAACATTGAATTTGGAACCCATATTAATTGTTCATACGAATATCGATATAATTAGAATTATATACATGCGTAGTATACACGTAAAGACCACGAAACTAAAAAATATATAAAATGAATAAATAAGCGGCGGATCATTCAATAGCATACACAAACTTACATTCACAGTCAAAACCCAAACACTTTTCATTTATTTATATAAATGTTGAAATTAGCTCATCGACTTGGCCTGACGTAAATAAACAAAACCCATCTCCATAGTCATTCTTTCTCTCTCTTTCTCTCTCAACTTGAAGATGATGACGGGAAACATGAACGGCGGTGGAAGAGGAGGAGGAGAAGGACCGTGCGGGGCATGCAAGTTCTTGAGGAGAAAGTGTGTGAAAGGGTGCGTTTTCGCTCCTTATTTCGACGCAGAGCAAGGGACTGCGAGGTTTGCAGCGGTTCACAAAGTGTTTGGAGCCAGCAACGCCTCCAAGATGTTGCTGAGATTGCCTTTGAACAAGCGGCTAGATGCGGTCGTCACACTCTCTTACGAGGCCATTGCTAGGCTCCGTGATCCTGTCTACGGCTCCGTTGGCCATCTCTTCTCTCTTCAACACCAGGTCCTTAATTCATTAACACATCTTTTAAAACGCGAGTGGTTATATGTACACTGAAACCTTACAAGCAAGATTTTCTGTGGTGTGTGTTTATTTAGGTGATGAGTCTACAAGCAGAGCTAGCTCATGTTCAAGCTCGTCTTTCAACGTTTCAGAGTTTTTCTCTACATTCAGCTCAAGAAATGCAGCAGCCGCCTTTCGATCCGACGCATAACAATGAATATCCGACAGAACCAAGTAACTTGGATGTTATGTGGGAAGAAGAACAATTACCTCAAGCTGGAACTGAAGGTGGAGAATTTCAAGAACTGGCGGCGATGCAGTTTGTGTCTAAGTATTTACCGGCGGTCAAACTTCCGGCTTGCACTTTCGGTTAGGTCAAACTAAAAGATCAAGCTTATGTAATATAGAAACGGAGAGTGTGAGGAAAAAAAAAGAACTAGTCTTTGTATCCAAAAGTTGACTATTCCGATTAAGATAATTACTTTCCTAATGGGCCCATCCTAAACTTAACGATATTAGCTGATTCCTATTAACAGATCATGGGAAGTTGGTAACAGAGCAAACTCGTTATATAGCTAAGACTAAGAGCTTTCACGTACCACTTAAGAAATCAATTACAAAATGAACTATTAAATGTTTAGAGTTTTGTATGAAGATAATGTTGTGCGTAGAGAGAAGCTTCATTTCCACAGGCCAATAGATTAGGAACACCATAAGCTCACCGTAATAACAATCTTAACTATAGTTAAAACTTTAAATCATGTGTATAGAATTCATAATTAGATTTTTTTAAAATCATATCTACGCACAAACTGATTTTCCTCCGGAAAGAAAAAGGCCAAGCTCTGTTTTGAAGCAGAGAAGTCTGTTACTACGTCGTTTCGAAGTCTCCCACTTTCCTTAACGACGTCGTTTCCAAATATCCTCTTTCATCTCCCGACGTCGTTTTAAGTCTCCATCTTTACTCAAACGGCGTCGTTTTTCCGAATCTCCTCCTTGTTCCTTGTCCCTAAAGGCAAAGGTAGATCCGAAGAAACCCCAAGATGCAATTTCTTTTAAGTCTCGTCCTTTTTCTTCGTATCTCTGTATGGTAAGATATGGTGAAGGCACCGACAAATTCGTCATCTGCAACGACATAATCGGCGTCATGATCGGTGCCAAACGTTACGACAAGGCCATCGCTCTGTTTCCACTACTTGTTTAACGAGTCTAACCTTGGTTGTGGTTCGCTTTCAGGTAACAATGAACTGTCATCATGCAACTTAATAGCTCAAGATGGTATAAGGATCAACGAAGTTACCTTCAGCAAAACAGAGAGATTCCATTAACTTCAGAAAAATCATTTGAGATTATCAATCTTCCTTTGTTCTTCAACTTCTTGCAACATTCTCTACACCTCTGGATGAGTACTCACCTTGTGTCAGTGTGTCTGATCTTGTGAAGAAGATGATACATAGGCTTCTTGTTCTGGGCCAAGAATCTCAAGTTTGGAAAGTTGAGACACTCATCTCGTTAATCTGAATGAAACTACATACACTCGTTCTTCTTATATGGTCTCCACATATAAACTTCAGGAGCAATGGGATGAGGAACATGATGTCAAGTGTACGCAATACGATATACCTGAAGAAAACAGAACAAATTCTATACGATTACAATGTGAAACTCATAGATTAACTGGCATATTTAGTGCGGATTTACAGTGAGAAAGTTAACTTTGATTAATTAGATAACATGATATGCTTTGAAAGAACAAAAAAATTACACTTGAAAATTTATGTAAAGAATGATATAAATTTCTTTTCGTGGTCATTTTTTTTCCAAATCGGCCGATCAAACTATTTAGTATATTTGTAAGTTTCATTAGAAACTTCATAATTCTTCAGTAGGTGTAAAATATTTGTTCTTCTTTCACACAAAACGATCTTCACAAAAAAAATTCGTTTTAGTCTTTTAGTAATATTCATATTGATAAGTAATGAGTTAAAAACAAACAGCAATTTCTAGTTTTTTGTGTTATGAAAGCCGCTAATAGTCGTGTATGCACACATTTAGACATTTCTTGATTTGATTTAGCAAAAAAAGAAAGAAAAACTACTGATTTGTTTCTTGTAATTAGCATTTAAGGGGAAAAGAATGGACCATCTATAAGAGTGAAGCGTGATGTGAACAGTGAACCAAACCCAAAGAAATATTGTTTGGAAATACGTTATTCGTCACGCGCATTCACTATTAATTAAAGTGGTAATGTTTATATAGCTGTAATCGATTTGGATTGATTTATTAATAATATATTTGTGACTTCTAGTATAGCCATCTACGATCTATACTTACGATCGTAGGGATCATCGTTCCCCTATTACTAGAGTCATAGAGGGAGTCTTGGAATTAAAAACAAATATACCAAGAGAATGTAACAAATCAACCTACGGCCGGCCACAAGAAAAGTTAGACTTATAGAGATTTAATTAAGTATTTAGAGTATTTAACAAAGAAAAAAAAAGTTGGTTATGCGTTCTTTAAAAACGTGGAATCTCGAATTCAAAACTACTCGAACATACTTCTCATGCAAAGATCAAGAATCGAAGTTAGTCAGTCACAGTTTCAAAAGTTTCGTAAATTTTTTATTTTTGAGAATCTAAACGTGACACCACATCTGGATCCAGATTTTGGGAAAATAGCAGAAACATTCAAGTACTGTTATTTAACACACCCAAAAACATATGCATACTGTTTGGGATAAGTCTTTTACGGGTTACAACAAAAGTTAAAGTCTTCTCCTATGCTTCTATTTATTTTTAATCTTTTTTGCTATACACGGGAAAAAACGAAAACTATCAAATCACATGATTGATTAGAGTTTTTATTGTTTTTCTTCTTTTTCTCATTTGTTACTTTTTGTCTTTTTTGTTGTAGTTGGAAGTTGAACTCTTAACTAATCAGTCATGCAAATAATAACAAAATATACAGGATGCAACGAAAGCGGGTAAAATTAGCTTCATATGAAAAGTTATGAACAGCAAATTCATTATAAATGGTATCTATCTATGTGACTATGTCTATTAGATCAAACTCAATTGCTTGTTGTTTTCTATATCGCTGAGTTGAAATCTCATAGTGGTAAATAGAAACCAAATTTTGGACATCGATCACCAACAACATCTACAGTGGAGATAAGAATTTCATTGCTTAGACTGACCGATCCAAAAAGTTAAATGACAAATAAAAAAGGGAAGATAGTTCGCAACACCAACAAAGCAACGTCCCGAAAAAAACGGTAGCTTTGTGGAGACACACAAATAAGATAGTCGCAGGATCATGTGCCACGCCTACGCTTTCTTTTCCATTCCATCTCATTCACGCGTTTTATTTTTTCAATTTCTTTTTGATTGTATATACAATTACAATCCAAATAACATCCCTTAATCTATGCCTAGAACATGCAAAATACAATAATCAATACATTCCACCACTAGAAGCCAAAAGTCTAGTATATAGTACTAGTAAAAAAAAAGCTCATCTGTACATAGAGGATGAAAGAATGAAAAATAACGGAATCCAATAACAATGTTTGTAATAAACGGACAAAGAATGTGAATTATTATAGAGTATAGTATAAATGATCTGTAAAATGTAGCATTCATATAACGGATGTATAAAACTACAATAAAACAAATTTGTAATAAAGAGAGAAGAGGGCAAAACGGGGAACATGTCACGCGGATAGGTGTGAGTGAGTAAATGACGTAGGTTCCGTTATTTAAGAACCCTTTAGAGGTTCCCACACACCACAAGAGAGAGAGAGAAGAGACATAGAAATGGGGAGAGAAGAAAAAGAAGAAGATGACAACAACAACGGAGGAGGAGAGAGAAAGCTAGGAGATGAAACGGCGTCGCCATTATTGGACGGAACGGGGTTGGTTTGTGTAACGGGAGGGACTGGATTCATTGCCTCTTGGCTCATCATGCGTCTCCTACAACGTGGCTACTCCGTCCGAGCCACTGTTCGAGCCAACGCAGGTTCGATTCGGTTTCTTTAATTTCGAATTAGCTTCACTAGTTTCTCTTTGTACACTTTGAATGATCAGTTCTTGATTTACCAAATGCAAGTGAACAGGCTGTTTATTTTAGGGCTGATTGGTCCGTTTTAACATAAAGTACAAAAAGAGAGAGTTTATATTTATAGTATAATAACATTTAAAAGTTGGTTTTTGGATCGACAAGAAAAATAAATATTTTTAAATGGATGCGTAAAATTTATTGTACTTGGCTGGAATTATCTGTCAGTTTGTAGGATCTTGAAGCTCCATAGCTATATCATGTTCCATCCATCTTCTATTATAGAAAGTCAACTATATATTATATGATCAATAATTAATACTTATAACCATATATATAAATGATGATAACTACTAATAATTGATAATTTTGTGTCTATGTGCCTAAATACAGAAGGGAATAAGAAAGATATAAGCTACCTAACCGAACTCCCATTTGCATCGGAGAGGCTTAAAATATTCACCGCCGATCTCAACGAGCCGGAGAGCTTTAAACCGGCGATCGAAGGATGCAAAGCCGTATTCCACGTGGCACATCCTATGGACCCGGACATCAACGAAACCGATGAGACCGTGACGAAACGCACCGTGCAAGGTCTTATGGGGATACTAAAGTCGTGTTTGGACGCTAAAACCGTGAAACGATTCTTCTACACGTCAAGTGCCGTAACCGTTTTCTACGGCGGCGGGAGCGGTGGTGGAGGAAATGGAGGAGAAGTAGACGAGAGCGTTTGGAGCGACGTGGAGGTGTTTAAGAATCAGAAGGAGAAGAGAGTGAGTAGCTCTTACGTTGTGTCGAAAATGGCGGCGGAGACGGCAGCGCTTGAGTTCGGCGGGAAGAATGGATTGGAGGTTGTGACGCTGGTGATCCCTCTCGTCGTCGGACCTTTTATATCTCCGTCGTTGCCTTCCTCCGTTTTCATCTCTCTCGCCATGATCTTTGGTACGGAATTCTTATACTATATCTAATTAATAATTTCTTTATTTCTGCATAATTTATTTAAAGCTCGTGACATAGAAAAACTCTGCTTAAACAATTTTTTTTTAAAAAGAAACTTACCAGAATTATTAAGTAAATTTTAGCCAAATCATGGTGATGGAATGGCTAAAATTTTCATCATGTAATTAATGTTCAAATCTTCACATAGTGATTTCAATCATATATGTTGGATAAAACTAAATGTTTTAAATGATAAAAATACTCAGCAGTAGGTCCCAAATGATTAGCCTGAATTTCTAATATTAAATGCAACATGCAAATTCTAACAATATTAACCAAACTATATGAAAAAGAAAACGGAAATTCAAATTACAGCGAATGGAAATATCTTTACTGTTGTTAATAACGTGTAAACATGTGTTAATGTTCATAAATGGCATTTTGAGTAACAATTAACAAACACTATTCGCTCTCATTAATTCACCTTTGTGTTGAAGGAAATTACAAGGAGAAGTATTTGTTCGATACTTACAACATGGTGCATATTGATGACGTGGCAAGGGCGATGATACATCTATTAGAAAGGCCAGTAGCGAAAGGGAGATATATATGTTCGTCGGTGGAGATGAAGCTCGATGAGGTCTTTGAGTTTTTGTCTACTAGATTTCCTCAGTTCAAGCTACCTTCAATTGAGTAAGTATATTACTCCACCTGTTCTTCTTTTTATTTGTTTCTTCAAGCATATGATTTATAATTTTTCTTGCTTTTTTTTATGTGGATACGTAAAGTTTGAAGAAATATAAAGTAGAGAAGAGGATGAGTCTGTCGTCGAAGAAGCTGAGGAGTGCAGGGTTCGAGTTTAAGTATGGAGCCGACGAAATATTCACTGGAGCTATAAAGAGCTGCCAAGCAAGAGGCTTTCTTTGAATTCTTTTGAGGATTTTTTGGTTAAAATTTGTATATGAATTGAAAATATCATTACTTTTATTGGCCATTTCCGTTTTGTAATACTTTTCCGTTATCTTGGAGAATTCACGGAAGAAGGCTTACAAAAACAAATTCAAAACAAAATAAACGCCCACCGTGGGGTTCGAACCCACGACCACAAGGTTAAGAGCCTTGCGCTCTACCAACTGAGCTAGACGGGCTGTTTGAATTGGTTTCTACACCATATTTATTGATTATGAGTGGTTTTTGTAGGATCGAGAAAGGATCATTTCCTTTGTTAAAAATGGCCAAACCAAGTCACCAGCAGAGACAAAAACAAAGTCAATAGCAGTACCATAGATACACCATTGCTCCTTGATTCTAAAAGGTAGAATTGGAACGTAATAACTTTGTTGATGAGCCTTAATGATAAGGTTGAAAATACATTGGACAAAACTTAGCAACACACTTGATATTGGCATCAATGACAAGGTTGGCGATTCGATCCGCATCATCAAATCTGGCTGCATTGCCATAGGCATCGAGCAACAACCTATAAGTGGGGATGTCTGGGACGATAAACTGCTTGGAACACATTTCTTCAAACAGAGTCTCTGCTTCAGACAACATCCCCTCTTCGCAGAACCGACTGATTATGTTCCTGTAACAAAGCTGCGAGCCACTGATATTGGTTCCAACTCTCTGAAAAGTCTCAACAGCTTTGCTTAACTCGGAGTTCCTAAAACATTCATTGACAACAATGTTACATGTCTCTGCGTCATACTGCTGGTCACACATCCGATCAAACAATGCCCAAGCCTCAGCTTCCTTGCCGTGACAGAGAAGAATCCGCAGGAGGGTGTTACCAGTAACTGCGTTCATTGTGAATTTCTTGCGTAACAAGGAAGCGTAACACTTGATAGCTTCTTTATCGTTGCCTTGCTTGAACCAATAGTCTATGAAGGTAGCCTCCACCATCGCAATTCCGTTGTAGTCCTCATCGATGATGAAATGAATCCAGTCGGCGACTTCATCATCTTCAGACGAGACCACCCTCTGTTTCACATCTTTGAAAACTTCCATTGCTGTTTCATGTCTGCCCTGATCCAAGAACCCACGGATCAGATGATTGAACACTAACGGACTGAGTTGGGATGATTCTGCTGACATCACCTCAACGATCAAATCCTCTGCTTCTTTAACCCTACCGGCATCAACCAATCCTTTAGCCAAGGTTTCGTGAGTGTGTTCGTTCGGAGGCAAAGGAGAGTTGGCCAACAAATGGCGGTAAAACCTAACAGCCTCGTCGACTCGGTTTTGGTGACAGAGAGCTCTGATGATGTGATTGCAGCAGGATATGTTAGGTTTCAGGTTTGACTCGTTGAAAAAATAATGGAAATACTCGGACGCGTCCTTGTACCGTCCCGCGCGGCACATGGCGCCGATGATTGCGTCGCAGGTTCCGGTGATGGCGGAAGACGATGGTCGGGATCTGGCCGCCAAGACTGTGAGATCCGCCGCTGCGTCGAGATTCGATAGCTTGATCATCATCATGACTCTCGCGTGTAGACGGGAGGCACACCAATCGAGTTTCCACATGAGCTCCTCGTGCCGCGGTACGTGACTCGACGAGGGATCCCTCGGGATGGGGTATGGGACACTCGCGGCGGCTGGATTTGGAAGAGACGAAACTCCGTGGGAGAAGAAGCATCGGCGTATCGGAGCAGAAAGGGAGTTCGAGAATCGTAGGCGGAGAAGAAACATGGCGGCGGAGGCGACAAGGCGAGTTAAGGTGTTAAACTAGTTCTCTTTGGGCTCTGGTCTGATTTGTTAAGATATACTAATGTTTATTGGTTTATATATTATTTATTTTTGGGTTGGATAAAGTGTGTTCTCTTTTATTTATATCAAAGAGAAGAGAAAATATCAATTAAAAAATCATATCATCAAGATCTACTCAGGAAAAATCGAGTTTCGGTTTCTAGTTTAAGTATCTCTATAGATCCTGAAACCCTAACTTGCAGTCTCGGCCATCATGTGGCGAATCCGCCTCTTTTCTGCTCCGATCAACCACCATCGCCGTTTGATAAATATTTACAGGAGACAAGTTTCTTCAGTCCCCTCCTCGCCTCCCATGTCTAAATACGAATCAGATCCCAATTCTATTCACAGTAGAGTCGTGTCGCTTATCAAATTGTGCAACCTCGACGCAGCCGCAGAGCACGCCCGTTTGGCCGTTTTGGCCACAAGCGAACCCAAAGTGACTGCCGAAACCTGCGCGGCCATCATAGACGCTATGTGCAGTGTCAGACGGTACAGTGACGCACACGATCTGTTCGATTACTTTTCTGCTAATTCAAACTCGGATCTGGTCCCCTACTTTTGCTGCAATGCTATCATCAAGGCCTTTTGTGAACAAGGGAAACTCGACGAGGCTTTTGGATTGTACAAACGCTTATTGCGCGGCAATGGTCCACGATATAGTGCCCAATTAGCCTTGGCTCAAGGGTTGGTCGACGCTGGTAGGACTGATGAAGCTATAAAACATTTTTACTGCGTGGACAGGTCCTTGTATGGAGTTTTTATCCGAGGGTTTTTGGGTGAGGGAAATCTCGAGAGGGCTAACCAACTTTTCCAAGAGCTAAAGTTGTGTGGGGATTCGGACGCTGTGATGGAGGTGAGTTCGATGTTCATGGAGCATTGGTTCAAACAAGGGATGGATGAGAAAGCTATGGAGTGTTACGTGTCGTCCAAGGAAGAATTCAGCGAGATCCGTGTGAATGCTGGGAATGCCCTGTTGAGTGTTTTGCTAAGGTACGGTAGAAAAACGGAGGCTTGGTTATTGTTTAGTCAGATGATGCTGGAGCAAAGCAGCTTCCCAGAACTATGTAAAGGTGATTCGGGGTCGTGTAATATTATGGTGAATGAGTGTTTCAAGCTCGGGAAGATTACGGAGGCGGTGGAGATATTTCGCAAGGCTGTTGGCACACTTACTAATCCACAGTTGTGCTACAGGAACATGATCACCAGGTTTTGCGAACAAGGGATGTTGTCCGAGGCAGAGCGTTGTTTCGCTGAAATGTGCTCTAAGAATTATCTTGTCCCTGATCTTCCAGCATATCGAACCATGAGGGATGCGTATGTGAAGGAAGTCAGAGTCAGGGATGCTCTAAAAACTCTCAACCAAACTGTGGATGCTTCTCTAACCTATATTGCTAAGAAAGCCTTCTAGTCTTGTATTATCACTTGTTCCATTCTTAATAATAATAATAAAAATACCAACGTGATGATTGATTGAGAATCTACAGTCATTGTTATATACGACTGGCTATTATGCATTTATGCTCATTGGGATGGTAAAGATTTTGCTGTACTGTCTTTAGAATAATCGAGAGGTTTGTTCTTGTACCTTATTACAATCTCAGCTTTCAGGTCTCATCAAACTGGACTTGTGTCTGCCATTGTTCAAGAACGGAACAGATCCTCTACTCTTGTGTGTTTGCCATTATTAAAGAAGAGAGCTTTTACTCTCATGTGTTTGTCATTGCTCAAGAGCAGAGCACTTCAGCCATGCTCAACACTTTTTAGTCTCAATTCTTCTATTTAATATCATTTTTATGTCCATTAATCGCAGATTTCCACACATTCTTTTTTCACATTGAAGATAAGAGAAATGGACCCATAGTTTCATTATCGTCTGCACATAGTTTTGCTATCATGTTATCTTCTGGTCATTAGGTCGATGAAGTTCACAAAGAGCATACTATATGGCCTGGGAAGTTGCCATGTCATGGCATCACTAAGGAAGGTATTTGGCTTTATAAGGTTATGCTATCGCCAAGAAGCGTTGCTATTTTTGTTGGATATATTTTCCCTAGATTACCTAGTTCACTGGCTTTACGGCCTTTGCCTATATGTGTGAGATCTCTCTTCCACCTCCCTGCCAAATTGTATTTTTTGCCATAGATGTGGTAACTATATTAACAGCTTGTACTATACAAACGTTGGTTGCAGGCTTTATAACATGAACCGCACAAGACTTGAGTGGTCAAGCATCTAGTATGTGCTATCGGCTTTCTTTGTGCCCATCAATATTGGATGCTCAAAGAAACTTTCAATTGCATGCACTTTTCGCCATACATTTCTATTTATGAAGCATGCTGTCATCAACTCATCATTATGTCAATAAGAGAGATAATACTGTCGATATCAGAGTACTTATCATTTCAATTCAAAGAACTTTACATGTCAATGTTAACCGCATCTATTATTCAAGGATTTCTGTTAACACCATGCTATACACTAGAAAAAAAAAAAACATATCCACTCAGTTCAATTCCAATTATATTCTTCACTTCCAGATTCTTGACCTCACTTCCACATATCGCCTCCATTTTATACTAACGTCCTGTAAAGAAAAACAAATACATATTCACAACTAACAACAAAAATAAGACATACAAGAATGACAAGTAACAAATACATATTCACAACTAACAACAGAAAATAAAAGACATACAAGAATGACAAGTAAACTTACCACGATAAGAATTATCAACTTCCGTCACAAACTATGAATTGAAGCCGGCCCATCAAGAAACGAATGACCAACTTCCTTCTTTGTAAACTTCACGTTGGGTCCAAAGTCCACGCCTATACCCAAGTATTTTAGCTGATTTGAGAAAGCTTCATTTAGTGTGTAGACCACGTTTTTCTCCTCAAGAAGACGAACAAGTTTAGTGGCTTCATCCATATCTCCATATCGAACACATCCATTCAAAAAAGATGTTATGGGAATGTCATCGATCTTCCCCATGCAAAGTAGGGTGTGACGGGCACTACTTAATAGTCCTTTCGAAGCATACATGTCCACTATAGCTCCCCATATCCTTGGCACTACTGGGATCTTGTAGTGGTTCATGAGTAGAAGAACATTTACTCCCACCAAATGAGTTTCTTTCTCTGAGTGAAACTTAAGAGCCACCAAAAGGCCAATTATGTTGGACTCGGTGGGTGTTCCTAATTTCACAATCCAAGCAAATGCACTAAGTGCATCTTTGGGATAGCATAATCCAAATGCGTGTACCATTGAGTTCAGGGCTTTGTAGAAGTAATCTGGTTTGATGAGCTGAAATATCTGAAGCATTGTTGCACGGTGCTCTGGCTGAAAGAACGACATTCTACCATAAAGCGTTATCAGGTTCCTGTGAATTTTTGATTCTATGCCGAGCTTCACACAGAGGCCGTGAAGCGTACGTCCCGCGTCGTAAGAGTCCCCAAACATATTTGAAATCGATTGGAGCAGTAGCTGCATTCGGCCTAGAGCTATTGGAGAGTGGGTATGGACAAAGTGCATCATCTTGTGCCTAAAAGGAAATATCATGACAATTGGTATATTAAATCAAAACAACAAACAGAGACAGAGAAAACTATTTAACGAAATGCTCAAAAAACAAAGAAAACTATGCAACGAATTGCTCACAGTGGATAATCTTTGCCGTAGCAGCTGGACCCGTCAGTAATCCAAGCACCAGAGATATGATTCAAGATCTCAGGTATCGTCATAACTGGCTCTGGCTTAGTGTGAGTTTTTCCTTCGAGTCCAAGCTTGATGCATAAACAATGCAGTGAAGCCGCATTTGCATAGCCATGATCTTGAAATAGTTTTGAAACCGATCTCTGCAACAGGTCAAATGTATCGAGATGCATCGGATAATCCGAAGAAATGCGACTCATCACCTCGTCACTGCACAAATTTCATTGCCAATTATCATTCAAAAACGAGCAAAAAGGAGAATTTGAACAAAAGGTACTTATTACTTACAGCTTATTCACTTTGTGGAATCTGGTAGGGATGCGAGCAAGGGAGGTTACAGCTCTTGGACGGAGAAGTAAAGCAGCGACGGAGGAAAATAGCTTCATGATTCCTATTGTTTATCCTGATAATCAACAGAGTATTAACAAAAGCAAACACACAACTTACGATCGAGAGTATTCGATTCGCGATCGAGTTTCTGATTAACAAAAGCAATTTGATCGGAGAATCAGGTTGTTAATTTGATCGGAGAATATGTTTCTAATTAACAAACAAATCGCAACGCAATTCAATACGCAATTGTTGATTAACAGAAAGAGAAAAGCAATTTCATCGAAGTTTGACCTTCAATTCCCAATTTCTGATTAACAAATACCCAGAGAAACGCAATCCTATTGTTTCTCCGCTCACAAAAACCCAGCGAAACGCAAATCCCAATTGCTGATAAACAAAAACCCAGAGAAACGCAATTCTATTGTTTCTCTGCTCAAAGAAACCCAGAGAAACGCAGTTCTACCAAAAATCTAACTCCATATCGCTCTATCATCTATTCAAGTTTGAACATGAGAAGAAAGGGAAAGAAGATTACCGAAAAGCAATTTGATTGAAATTTATGCTTCACTTAGCAATTGTCAAACACCAGAAACGAAAATAAACCGTGATCGAAGAAGGCACCGCGAGAAGAAAAATCGAAGAAGGTACCGAAGAATCACAGGTACCGAAGAACCTTTCTCTCTCTCTCTCTCTCTCTCTCTCTCACTCTCTCTCTTTGAATTTCTTCTTCTACCTTGGGTTGTAAGATTACTGGGCTGAGGGCAAAAACGTAATTAAAGTGTTTCTGTTATCCCGCCTCTGCTGAAGTTTCAATGCAGTTACACACACATCGCGCGTCACATATCGCGCGTGTGAAACACGAACATGCGATAGAGAAAAATATTCAAATTGTTGGGCTTGGCCCATTGTGTCTTTGACCGTTAATTATCAATCAACTGGATTAATATTAAAAAGAAAATTTTATAATTAACTGATATTCTTATTTCAACTATTTTAATTTTTTTAAAAGGTAAAATTTTCATCATGTAATTAATGTTCAAATCTTCACATAGTGATTTCAATCATATATGTTGGATAAAACTAAATGTTTTAAATGATAAGAATACTCATCAGTAGGTCCCAAATGATTAGTGTGGATTTCTATTGAATGCAACATGCAAACTCTAAGAATATTAACCAAACCATATGAAAAAGAAAATAGAAATTCAAATTACAGCGAATGGAAATATCTGTACTGTTGTTAATACGTGTAAACATGTGTTAGTGTTCATAGATGGCATTTTGAGTAACAAACACTATTCGCTCTAATAAATTCACCTTGTTTTCTTTGTGATGAAGGAAATTACAAGGAGAAGGGCGATGGTGCATATTGATGACGTGGCAAGGGCGATGATATATCTATTAGAAAGTCTTCGTCTTCGTCGATGCCTTCTGCATCTGAATCTCTCACTAACCTTTGTTCCATAAAACTTTTTGAATTTTACCGTTTATCAATTCTAGATTAAACCCATAAAATCTAAAACTCCTCGTCGAATTCAATTCCCCAAGAAAAATCTCCCTCCCTCTAATTTTCTCTGCTCTGCCACAAACCGATCCAGAAATCGGAAAATATTAGATTTTCGGTTTTCCATCGATCGAGTATGCATAGATCGGCTACTACAATGGCGTGGAACGTCTTCAGATTCTGTACGGCTCTACGAGGACTCGGATCGATCATGATCCTTCTGGTCTTGGGTGTTGTTGGCGTGAGCTATTACGCCGTCGTTTGGACCAATTACGGACCGGCACTATCAAATGGAGGCCTCGACTCTCTTGCTGCTCTTGCAATTCTAATCCTTTTCCACTTTTTGGTAAACCCAATTGCTAATCCAACAAAAAGCTTCCTACTTTACTAAATCATCGATTAGTTTTGGTGTTTGAGTGCTGAGAAGCTGATTATAATGGTGTGTGTGTGTGTTGTATACTTGTATTGATGTAGTTGGCGATGCTATTGTGGAGCTACTTCTCTGTTGTGTTTACTGATCCTGGTGTTGTGCCTCCGAATTGGAGATCAGCTTCAGACGAGGAACGAGGCGAGTCTGATCCGTTGAACAGTTTGGAGTTTGGTGGGTTACAGCCAGATTCTTCGAACCAAAGAAGTCGTTTTTGTAGAAAATGCAATCAGCCTAAGCCTCCTCGTTGCCACCATTGCTCTGTTTGTAAGACCTCTCACTCACACACACTCTTTCTATTTCATATTTGTAAGCATTTTGTTGAAGGAGAATCAGGAAACTGAGTGTGTTTTACATCAAAACCAGGTGGTCGATGTGTGTTGAAAATGGACCACCATTGTGTTTGGGTTGTTTGCTGTGTTGGAGAGCTTAACTATAAATACTTTCTTCTTTTCTTGGTAAGTCTCTCTACTTTGATCTATTTGTGATGTAAAATTTGATTTGTGCCAATGTTTGTTAATGCTATAAATGTTTTCGAATTGCAGCTTTACACATTTTTGGAAACAAGTCTTGTGATTTTACTTCTCATGCCGCAATTCATAGCGTTCTTTAGCGAAGAAGAGATACCTGGAACACCAGGCACACTTGCTACTACTTTTCTTGCATTTGGTTTGTTTTCAATTCCCATTTTGTATCATGTTGAATCGTTTTCTCAGTTCTACTTATCCATTATTCATTTTCCTATCCGCAGTTTTAAACCTGGCATTTGCTTTAAGCGTTCTGGGTTTCTTAATCATGCATATCTCCCTAGTAGCTGCCAATACCACAACTATAGAGGTATGTTTTGTTTCTCTTTATCATCTCTAGCCTGCAACAGTTTGGTGCATCTCATGGCTAAGTAAGCTTTTATTTCGTGTATTGACATTCAAATGTGAACAGGCATATGAGAAGAAAACAGTTCCGAAATGGCCCTATGATCTCGGTAGAAAGAAGAACTTTCAACAAGTAAGTTCTTGTTTTGATAACTTTTAAAGTTTCTTCTGCTCTTGTCATGTGTTGTAATCTCCTTTAGGAAGTTTATGTTTTTATAGGTATTTGGTATGGATAAGAGATACTGGTTGATTCCGGCGTACTCAGAAGAAGATTTAAGACGAATGCCTGAACTTCAGGGACTCGAATACCCATCGAAACCGGACTTTGCTCCCCAAGACTTCTGAAGGAAGAGAAGATGGTTTCTTTACATGTAACAACAATACCTTAGAGATAAAACAGAGATAGAGAAAGATCACTTGCTAACATTGAAGAGTTGCTTCTCGCTTACACGTTGTTCGTTGCTTCCCACGGATTGAACAACGCTGAGACTAACTGCAAAATCATATACTAGGAGATGATATTTTGATCCATATATGTCCTTTCGTTCTTGAGTAGTTTAGATGTAGAGCGAGTCTCACTTTGACAAGAATCTTTATCTTTGGTTTACTGATTTTTCTTAAAGATGGTCCCTTTTTGTGAATGTTGTCTACTGGATTCTTGTGGTAAAAAGAATAAAAATTCACGGATGAGGAAGAAGCTTCTAGCTTATGGTGTAAATGACACGTGTCTCAATCCAAATGATACTAACTTTTAAAATCGAAATAAACAGAGTTGCTGTTATATTTGTCTGTGGAATTTCTAGGCTCTTCTCGGATTCTCTAGCAGGTACTCTCTTTTCTCTTAGGTGTTGTTCTTCGATTGTTGTCAAGTGCCTAACTTTGTTGCTAAATTTATGCAAAGAGATTGCAGAGCTTAACGAAGAGTCGTGAAAAATGAGCGATCCATTTGGTGGTAGATTCGGTAATTTTGGTGGTTTTGGAGCATTTAGAGGTAGCTTGTTTGGAAGAAGAGATCCTTTTGATGATCCTTTCTTCTCTCGACCGTTTGAAGATTTGCTCGAACAAAACACCTTAAGCTCAGGTGCTTCCTTTAGTAACGCTAACGCACAGAGCAATAATGGTGGGAGAGGGTTAACAATTGAAGAAATACCATCTGACGAAGAACAAGAGGAAGAGAAAGAAACTGACGAAGAACATATTACTTCAGAGAATCAGCCATCTATTGAGCTCCCTGAAGATGATGCTGATGGTAAATATACGATAACTCTGTTTACAGATTGTGTGCATGTCTGATTTGTTTGGTTTGTTGTAGCTGAGAGGAGGATTCAGAATGTGAATCAAAGGAGTGGTTTCAATAGAAGAGAGAGTGCGGATTCTCGAGCTAGAACATTCAGACATCATACATCAAAGGTTACATATGGTGGAATTGATGGCGCTTACTATACATCCAGTAGAACCAGAAGAGCAGGCAATGATGGTGTATGTTTAGTTGTTGTCTCTCTCTTTTTCAATACTTTTTACTAATGGAAGTTGTACAGATGCTAATAACCAGATACTGTTTTGTAGATTGTGGTTGAGGAAAGCAGAGAAGCTGATAAGACTACTGGTGAAGCCAGTCATAGGATCTCCAGAGGAATCAATGATAAGGTGATGACAAACTGTTCTTGCTTCATCACTTCTTGATTCCAAACAAGTTTCAGTATTCATTTGTCTGAGTCTTGACTCTGTTGGTTTTGGTGTGTTCAGGGTCATTCGGTTACTAGGAAGCTTAACTCTAATGGCGGCGTAGAGTCCACACAGACTCTTCACAACCTCGATGAAGGTTCGGTCTGCAGAATCTAAGGATCTTTGAAGGAAAATGATGATAATCTAAAAGACTGTTTCTTTGTTTTTTGTTGCTGTTTCAGATGAACTTAGTGGCTTTGAAGAAGCATGGAAAGGCAATTCATTTCTTCCCAAACATGAATCCACTGGTTAGCAAAACTATCTTTGATGTCAAATTCAGAATCCAGTTTGAGTCTTTAATTGTTATGTTCACTGTACGACAATGTAGGGTGGCTTCTTCCATCTCTGGACCAAACTCGTCGCCGAACAGAGCAAAGTGAGAGCGGTTCAAGCCGGTCTGCACCTGGAGCTAAGAAGGTTGTTCGGATCAACATTGAATGATATCATCACAATCGCTTTGAAAAACACATTTATCAATCTGTGTGTGTAATCAAATAATGCTGAAGAATGATGTTTGAAGTTGTAATGTCAATATTTTACATTCGTGTTATCAAAAACATGATACAAAGTTTTGATCATGGAAAAATTATTTCAAGTTTTGTAACGTTATATACATCACTGGGCTCGCAAGAGGGCAAAAGAGGAAATCTAAACTTTTAGCGTCTGAACAAATGCTCTTCTCCGGACAGATGATCCACGTGTCTAATCCAACGGCTAGGAATCTTCATCGAGTCACAACGCTGGTGGCTACCAGTAGCTCCCACGTGTACAATATCTAAACCTCTCCCAACGGGTAAAAACACGGATCTCACCACACGTGTCCCGCCTTTCAAAACTTCTTGCCATTTGAACCCCGAAATCGCTCTCTGCGTGGCGTTTTTGCACACCAAAACGGCACCCTTGTTTCTCAGTTTCGCAAACCTCAGCGTTCTAACGGACTCACGCCGCTTCGAGTCCACCACCATGAAATCCACACCGGGAAACTCCTCCACCGCGTTCTCAACAGATTCTCCGACCAAGACGACGACAACCTCCGTCGACTCCATCCCAACGACTCTTCCCATAGCCAAAACGTACTCCAACTTAGACTCCTCATCAGGTACTATACACACGTGTCTCCCGCACGTGTGAGTTGCAGCCACGGCGAGTCCCACGCTAGTGGCGATTGGATCGCCGCGTGACCACGTCTCAACGATTAGCCTCGCGTTCCATCCAGCCGCCGTTGCTGATAAAAACTCAGCTACTCCTGATTCCTTGTAGCTCTTACACTGTGAAAACATAGATACATGCAAATTAGTACATGATATTCATGTTCATATTATATATACACATTTAATCAGTCACATACCGATCTAACGGTGTCGATGTAAGCATCAGAGGCGGTTTCCGGCGACCAGACAAGCTTCATGGTGAGAGTGAAATGGAGATTTTATGAGTTGTGAAGAAGGAAGCGGTTAGGTTATATAAATGGACAGAGGAAGCGTTGACATTTGCTTACACTAATAACAACGTGTCAATTGGTCTCGTTGCTCCCATTTATTACTCTTCCTATTTATCTTCCCCATTATTTGTCTTATGTTTCAAACTGTTGTTACTGGTAATTTCACCAATCAACAAATTATAAAACTCTTTTATTTAGTTTCCTATGATATAAATCGAGAATATATGTCGTCAATCTGCGTCAGTCCTGACGTAGCTAGGGGTGTAAAACAATATCCGTAAATGTATCACTTAAAGGCATTAATGTTCCACTGATAAAACCATTTCTGCTACAATTTTTTGGTCCTGTACATGCATCATGCATGTTAATAAGTAAGTATTTAAGTTTGATGGTTGCCGACCAATTTTTGGTGTTTAGTGATTAATTTGTTCATCTTGATACTTGAAAGACAAAGAATTGTGGTCCTTTATTACGAAAATTTGTCCTTTATTACGAAAATTTGATCATCATTTAAAAGTTTACTATATTCAGTTCTTTGATGATGTGTGATACGAGTTGATTGTTTTATTTTGTACTACTTGTTTCGTTTCTGTCAAAAGGTTCGGGTGTAAAAATATAGGTGTAGTAGATCAGGATTTGATTGCTGACATTGTGGACTTAGTGAGACAACTTGAATAATATTGTCAACCTTCAATCTTTGAATTTTTTTTTCTTTTGTTAATTTTTAGTATTTGATTTAAACCGTTGTTATTTCATTGAGTTTTGTCTTTTTCTTTGAGACTCGCTTTCATGGTGCCAACCACCGAATGTATAATTTAAGGTTATATAAAAAAAATCAGACATAAATATATGCAAACGTATGTTCATCGCCGGGCTAGTTTGGTTGATTATATACTTACCATTCCATAATTGAAAAGCAACCGATGTAGCACGATAAAACTAAAATTGTGTCTTGGTCTTTGGTTAAAAGAATATGAACCAAAAGCACAAAATTACTGACTTGGTTTAAGAAAAACAAAATAAACCGGCCAATCATATAGGTGAAAGTGAAACTAGCTAAGCCAATAAAGTCTCTCAGATTAAGTGTAAAACCCATGAGTTGTTTATGAACTCTACTGTAAGAACTTAAGACGAATATTAAGATCGTCATATATACTATTTTGGTCGCGAGACATGCCTGTACCATGGCTCCGGAAATAGTAGGAACAACCAAATATCTAAGCTAAGTACTAAGCTAATTAAACTATGAAGTTGACATGATTTTAATTAGATTAACTATTGAGTAAACGACAAATTCGCGCTTTCGTTTTATACTAAAGAAGCGCGATTTTAAAATTGCAACTTTGCATTGAAATCATATATAATATATGCAAACACCCAATTTGATAAAGGAGATAAATGTACGATATATGAATGATATATCGTACCACTCCATCCTGACTATGACTTGTGAGGAAGTCAATGCTTATCAACTTGCTTATCAATTATCTTATTATCACTATCAGTTTTCTATTTTCTATACATATATTATTCCGTACAGCTCCGATTGGCGGCCATATTTTAATCGACACAAACGTAAAGATCTAACTATATTCAGTCTACAGGAATATGCTTTAAACTCGAATGCTAATCCAATTCCATTATTTTGTGTTGTTGTAGGTCTCTATAATCTTGTCGTTAGTACTATCATTTACCGGTATTAGGCCTGGGCTAATAATGCTTTTAAATTGGGCCTTAGTTTTGGAGCCCGCTTGTGAGCAATGGGAAAACGACGTCGGTTAACTCATTCACACATAGCCGTTAAACAAATTATACAACCCAATCCGGTTTATCTCCCACAGAAGAAGAACGATAAACTGTGATGATTGTTTTGGCGCATTCTCATCAACCATGGAGTTCGATTTCACCCACCATCCATCTCCTCGGAAGCTGCAGAAATTCAGATGACGTGAACAAAATCCACGCGCGTTTGATTACAACGGGATTCATCAAAAGCCCCAATCTCACTACGAGGATCGTTCTCGCTTTCGCCGCTTCACCACGACCGTATCTCGCGGAATTCGCGCGTTTTGTCTTCTACCAGTATCACGTAAGCTCCGTTTCTCCAGGAGAGGTTAAAGATCCGTTTTTGTGGAATGCGGTGATGAAATCTCACTCTCACGGAGTTGATCCGAGACAAGCTCTCCTCTTGTTCTGCTCCATGCTGGAGAATGGCGTTTCAGTTGACAGATTCTCGCTCTCTCTCGTTCTGAAAGCGTGTTCGAGGCTAGTTTTTCTAAAAGGAGGAATGCAGATTCATGGTTTTTTGAGAAAATCTGGGATTTGGTCAGATTTGTTTCTACAGAATTGCTTGATTGGATTGTATTTAAAATGCGGCTGTCTTGGATTTTCCCGCCAGATATTCGATAGAATGCCGCAGAGAGACTCAGTTTCCTACAACTCGATGATCGACGGGTACGTCAAATGCGGATCGATCGAATCAGCTCGTGAATTGTTTGATTCGATGCCAAGGGAGAAGAAGAATCTGATAACTTGGAACTCAATGCTAAGTGGGTATGCTCAGAGAGAAGACGGAGTGAACATTGCGTCGAAGATGTTCGATGAAATGCCAGAGAAGGACTTGATTTCGTGGAACTCGTTGATCGATGGATATGTGAAACACGGAAGAATCGAGGAAGCTAAAGATTTGTTCGATAAGATGCTGAGTAAGGACGTGGTTACTTGGGCTACCATGATTGATGGTTACGCAAAGTCAGGTTTTGTTCATCAGGCCAAGACTCTGTTCGACCAAATGCCTCAGAGAGACGTTGTGGCGTATAACTCCATGATGGCTGGTTATGTTCAGAACAAATATCACATGGAAGCACTTGAAATATTCAACGCCATGGCAAAGGAGTCTCATTTATCACCTGATGAGACGACGTTGGTGATAGTTCTCTCTGCAATTGCTCAGCTTGGGAGGTTAACCAAAGCCATGGAAATGCATATGTACATTGTTGAGAAGAAACAGTTCGTTTTAGATGGGAAGCTCGGCGTTGCTCTCATTGACATGTATTCGAAATGCGGAAGCGTACAACAGGCTATGAAGGTTTTCGAGGGGATCGGAAACAAAAGTATTGATCACTGGAACGCAATGATTGGTGGGTTAGCTGTTCATGGACTTGGAGAATCTGCGTTCGACATGCTTCTGCAGATCGAGAGACGCTCGATCAAACCTGACCATATCACTTTCGTTGGAGTGTTAAACGCTTGCAGTCACTCTGGTTTGGTGAAGGAAGGGCTTCTCTGCTTTGAGCTCATGAGGAAGAAACACAAGATAGAGCCAAGACTGCAACACTATGGATGCATGGTCGACATACTGTCAAGGTCAGGAAGTATAGAGCTGGCTAAAAAGTTGATTGAGGAAATGCCTATTGAACCGAATGATGTCATATGGAGAACGTTCCTCGCCGCTTGTAGTCACCACAAGGAGTTTGAAGCAGGAGAGCTTGTCGCTAAACACCTCAGTCGATACAACCCTAGCTCTTATGTGCTTCTCTCTAACATGTATGCTAGCTTTGGAATGTGGAAGGATGTTCGTAGAGTTAGAACGGCGATGAAGGAGAGAAAGTTGCAGAAACTTCCTGGTTGTAGTTGGATCGAGCTCGATGGAAGAGTGCATGAGTTCTTTGTAGATACCATGGAAGCTTCCAATACATTGTAGAAGATATTCTTCAATTCATTGCCATACATCAAATGAAGAACGAAGCAGAAAAAAACTTGTTTGTACAGCCTAAGTAGATCAGCTACTGTTACAAGGAGAGAAGATTGTTACATTCATGAACCTAAACCGAGTTAACTTCAAAAGCAATAATCTTGTTAAATCGGAAACTAATAACTCGCAGCGAGTTTGTTCAGTTCTTGCATAACAACTTCCATGGAAGGTCTCTGGTTTGAGGATTCATGAGTGCAGAGAAGACCAAGCCTAGCGAGCTGAGCTGCTTCTGCTTCAGGGAAGTTCTTTCGAAGATTCGGATCGATGAAATCTTCGTTGAGCCTGCCTGACTCTACAGCTTGCAAGATCATCAAGTGGCTTATTCTGCTTTTGCCGCTGAGTATCTGCAAGAGAATCATACCAAAGGCGTAGACGTCGCTCTTATCAGTGAACCTCCCTGTGGTTATGTACTCTGGAGCTAAGTACCCCATCGCAGCACTCGCTTTCAGCTTCGAGAACACAATGTCGTCCGTGAACAGCTTGTGAAGGCCAGAATCCGCAAGAGATGGATTGTACCAATGATCAATCAGAATCTTCTCCGCTGATAGATTCTGGTGTACTATTGCAGGCTTGTTCCCACTCTCTCCATGCAAGTAAACAATGCCTGAAAAGAAAACAAAAGAGAAAGAAGACATGAGAGATTGAATTTTTCACATACAAAACAGAGTAAACAGAGTTTAGCTTAATCCAAACCTCTGGCAATTCCATTGATGATGGAAACTCGAGTTGTCCATTCAAGAACCTCTCCGGTCTCATCCTTGACGTCAAGATACTGCAAAAGATTGCCATTGGGGACAAACTCGTAGATAAGGAAACACTCTCCACGCCCTTTAGAGCAGCAAAACCCTCTCAGCCTCACTAAACTCTCATGCTTCAGCAACGTCAGCATCTTCAACCCTTTGAGAAACTCTGTTTCGTCTGATTTGCAGCTCGATTTCGCTATGCATTTGATGGCGGCAACAGAGCCGTCTCGAAGGATGCCTTTATAAACGGAAGAGACGTTACTCTTCCCCAACAAGTTAACCTCGGAGAAGCTCTGTGTGGCTCTCTCAATCTCCTCGAGATTGAACATGAAGCTCTCGAACACTTCTTGAGACAACGCACTGTTGTTGTTACTGCTCTGTCCTCGGCCTAACGGATCCCAACCGCTCGCGTACTCTAAGCTTATCAATGGAGAAGAGCTTTTTCTTCTGGAAGCTTCTTTGAAGTTGTACTCAGTGCTGATCCTACCGTCCATTGCATCGAGACTGCTTCCGATCTTCTGTTTCCTTCGTCTGTACCAAATGAATGTTGATCCGGCAATGATTGCGACTGCGAGGATTGATCCGATCAGACCCATGACGATTCCGAAAGGTGAGGACTTTGAGTGTTTTAATGAACATCCGCCATTGTTGTTACTGCAGTTGCTGCTTCGTTGTAAATCTGCAGACTCTGGTTTGACGTCAACGGGTGTTCTGAAATTCCTCGGGTTTGTTGGGTCGGGCCGGTTTAGGTTCGGGTCGGCAGAACCGGTGCAAGCTTTCAAATCCGAGAATCCATCTCCGCATAAACCGTTGTTGTTTGAGTACTGGAATCCGTTGTTTAGCCTCTTCAAAGCTTCATAAAACCAAAAACCAAATCAAATTAATTATTATTTTTTTCGGTTCGGTTTGGTTTATGTTACATTACATTTGGATTGGTTTACGAATATTATGATTACCAGAGGGAACGAAGCCGGAGAAGGAGTTATTGCGGATGTCGAGAACTTCAAGCAAAGGAGCACCGGCGAGTTTCATCGGAACAGGACCAAAGAGGTCGTTAAAACTCAAATCGAGCCTCGTTAACGTATCAATATCGCCTAAACTCGCCGGAATCGCGCCGGAGAGATGGTTATACTGTAAAGCCAAGACTGTTATCTTATTCAGAGAACCTAACTGTGTCGGTATACTCCCACTTAACTTGTTGTAGCATAACTGAAGAACTGTAATGACAACAACAAAAACACAAAGTTATGAACTATGAAGTGACACTTTTTGGTTTTATTTTAGTTTTACTGTAAATTTAGTTTCAAAAAGGTCAAAAACCCAAATGAAATAGGTTTTGGTTTCACACAGAAAAGAAGATTTTATTTGATAAAAAAAAAAATTCCCTAATTTGTAGAAGAATTACAAATCTAAAAATTTCGATGGATAATTAAAACATACAGACACCTTTTGTGTGTTCAAAACCATCCAAACACTTGATTGGGTGATTAACTGAGCTGTTGAAGACTAAAACCAAAAACAAAAACTCTTTAAATCTAGAAAAGCCTATTCGATTTCTAAACTCTTTTTAATTGGCTAAATTTAATAAAACCGAAGCTGACCCACTTAAAGAAATTTTGGCTGCAATAAATGAAGTATGAATATGTGAGATTTAGTAAGAATACATGCATAAAAAGACCGACCTTGAAGATTGTCTAAGTTTCCGATTTTAGGAGGGATTTCGCCGGAGAGATTGTTGACGTTGAGGTATAAATCGGTGAGGAGAGGCAAATTTGAGATATCTTTAGGAATCTGACCGGTCAAGGAGTTGAAGTGAAGGTATAAACCGGTTAAGCTAGTGAGAAGACCGATTGAAGGAGGGATAGTTCCTGTGAGACCCATTCCTTGGAGAGATATGTTCGCGACGCGGTGGTTTCCGTCGCAAGCGACGCCGTCGAAGGAGCCGGAGGAGCAAGGGTCGGCGTCGGGGGTCCATGAAGTGAGGAAACGTTTTTCTGGATCGAGAGAGGATTTGATATCGAGAAGAATGTCGAGCTCTGATGAGAAAGATAGTGCAGGAGAAAGCAAGAAGAAGAAAACGAAGAAGATGAGGGAGAGTGAGAATGGAGAGGCCATGTTTGGTTGGAGAGAAGAAAGAGAGAGAGAGAGAGAGAGAGAGAGAGAGAGAGAGAGAGAGAGAGATATTGCTGAGGAAGAAAATGACTCTCTCCTTCGGTTTTGAAGCAGCTCTGAACAAAGTTGTAGACCACAAAAATGATAAAAAGGACGAAAAAATGTAAAATGAAAAGATGAATCCTAAAACAACATAAAAAATTAGTTTATTGAAAATATAACTTACAATTATAAAAGGTATTTCGACCTATTAGTGAGAAATAAGTTTGTTTAGAGATGAATAAATAAATAAATAAATAAATAAAACGAGTTGTGAAATTTGAAAATGTTAGGTCCACTAAGTTCATTTTATTTTCTGTACTTGATACGGTAAAGATTCTTTTTAAAAAGACTTTTTCAGAGGAAACCAATAGTAATAGTTAGGCGAATCTAGTCTTATTGAAAATTGAAAATGATACCACTCTCTCTATAGGTTTAATGGTAAGAAAAGTTGTTTCTTTTTCAGTGCACCAGCTATAAAATCGTACTTTGTATATCATTGTTTCAACTTTTCATTTGTCCATTCAAGTTATTGCTCTACCATTAATGAGACTACACAAAAAGGTTGTACATATTTTCTTAGAAGCGAACTTATAAACTGAAATTCGACTCTGGATTTCAGATCATCGTTCTAAAAAACCATAAACCCTTTAGGCAGATGATATGTACAATAACCTGATAACCAGCTATATATATGTTCACATGGGGAATATGGTACAAAGATAAATGGGATTTCTTGATATTATTCCATTGAATTACTATATTTGATGCAAATTATTGTTACATGAATAAAACAAGAGTGCCTTATTTTTTATAATATAGTATTACAATAATATAAAATTTTAAAAGGCATCCAAGAGGCATGGGACTAAGAGTACATCAAATGGGACAAAGAAAGATGATGGATGCAAGTCAATGGAGCAACATGTGAACATTTTTTTACACAATCACTTATAAATATCTTCAATTTAAAAACATGTGAATTTCTCTCGAGTTTATGTTTCGCTATTTCCAAAAATTAAAATATTTATAATATTTTCTAAATTTGATCACAGCAAAAGGTAAATGGACCATCACCTCGCTCTCCTCTAAGCATAACATGTGAATTTACAGAAACAAGAAAGACATAAAGCAAGAGAATAAAGCAGAAAGGCTATAGGGCTACTTAAGATATTTCATTTCTCTGTAATTTGTTACTTCGTGGGTAGTGGTGGATGATCTATAATAATTATACATATATATATACATATATCATATACTGAATGTGTGTGTAGATAGAGGGAATGAAATCATTGTAGTATGAGTAACAATGAGAATTATCAAAAGTAATGTCCATTACAACTTAACTAGTGCAGTCGATTCTCTATTTGATGATGACATAAAGTTAGATAATTTTGAATATGATTTACTCTACTTTTATAACTATAGTTAACACGTAGAATCAGCTAAAACAGCTACCTTGTGACGAGTTAGCTAGCATGCATCTACCAAATGTTACAAAGTTTAAATCGTCATAGTTTTGAGTATTCAATATGATTATAGATAAAAACAAAACCAAACGTAAATGTAAATTTTGGAGACCTCTAGAGGAAACAATTTTCCCCACATGTAACATTTGTACACCATATATCACCCACCCTAATGGTAAATATTATTACTTGTATAATACCAAAGTCGCTCCTTGTACGGTATTTGGATCGACTCTGAGAGAAATGCCTCTCACACCAAACTCCCAGCCTGTCTCATTTTGTTTGGATGCATGAGTACGATGTTTCATATTGTTACAAAAAAAATTCAACATTGAATTAATAACCATTATATTGTATATGTTGGTACTTGGTAGGCACCGCATTTAACTGATTATATCATCCTTGTTTTGTTTTTGAGAAAATCCAAGTATTTTGTTTTGTTATATATCGTGTATAATCGTGAGTGGAAATATTAATAAAAGTACTATTTATAAATCATGTTTTTCTATTCAGACGTTGAAAACCGAAACTCATGTGTTTTGTTTTTAATGTCTTTTTAATTTATTTATTATATCTAAAAAAAGTTGGCCCAACGTTATATATACGCGTGCCAAATAATTATCAGATGCTAAAATACGAACATTTTTGAATGCATTACGTTGTTATAGTTGTCGTTAAGTAGCTTCTTCACATATTTCATCGTCTCATCGAGTGTTGAATTACATTTGCGTTAAACAAGAATGTAAACTACAGTGTATAATTTTTTCTTAATTTTGTTGGTAACTTCTTTCACCAAAAAAAAAAAAATCATTTTCAAGCTTTTCTTTTTATTTTATAAAAAGTTAAAATGCAAATTTTTTAATCATACTCTCGTTTTAACCTTATTAAGAAAAAAATGTAGTCTATTAGTTGATAAATTAAAGGTAAAGAAGCAACAAATGCGTTCATGAAAAGATAATATCCACTTGAAAAAGTTCCGCAACCTGAAAAAGTCACATTTTCAAATTCAGAAAATTCAAATATGAAAAAGTAAGATTTGATATATTTTGGTTATATTTCTTCTGTCTCACCTAACACGGGAAGACAAAACGAAGTAGTGTCCATTATCGAACAGTATGTAATGTTATGCAAGATAATAATGATTACAAGTTTGTATTTTTTTTGTATTTTTGACTATTTTCTCAAAGATTTATATCGAATAGGAAAACAGTACAAAATAAATATTTGCATCACGGAAACCTAGTTTCGTTGGAGACCACAATAAACCAAGTAAATCGAAGACAAGATTGAAGTATAAAAGTTTTTAAAGCATACACTAGTCTACTACTCAATTAAATGTTATTTGTATTCATTCTATGCTGCTAATTAAACATCGAACACCGTTCACAACGAATCACGTGAGCCAAGACAAATGTGCACTTTAATTAACTAACAACAATCTCATAGACAATACAAATCTCCTCTTTTGCTTTCACAGTTCTCACTTATTCTTGCGTTTCTCTAAACCTTTTTTTTTCTTCCTTTCCCTTACACATTAAAGCTGTTTCATATGCTGTTCATTAAACTAAAGATATCGATAAATGATAATTGCAACTTAAAAGACAGAATCCAGCTTTGAGCATATGCATATAATTACACTTTTCAGACCACACTTGCAAAAGTAGGCTTTGGAAAAAAATCTCATTAGCCAGAAACGACGTCGTATCCCTGAGAAGATAATTGAAAGCTCATGGGGCTTTCAGATGATGGGCTTAATTGTTTCTTCTATTGGGCTTGGTTAATTACGTGGAGTTATTCTTAAAGCCCATTACCAAGCGAAACAAAATGAGACGAAGCTCGGATCCAATATATAAAGCGATGAAAATTGTAGGGTTTATATCTTCTCTCTCGACGCGCAGCAGAAACGAGCTCAGCGAAACAGTGAAGAAATCTCTGTGAACCCTAATTCGTAACCATGGGGCGTATGCACAGCGGAGGGTTCGTCAATTTCCTTCTCCTCTTCTTCTTATACGTTTCTAGATTCATTTGACATTTGTACTGCTATACGAAAGCCTTCTGATTTTTAGATTTTGATCTCGTTTTCTTCTCATTCCTCTGTTTGTAGCAAGGGAATCTCGGCATCTGCTTTGCCGTACAAGCGTTCACCACCGACTTGGCTCAAGACCACCGCAACAGATGTAAGTCTTCTCGGAAAATCTTAGATTTAGATTTGAATTTTGAGCTCGAATTGATATAGTAGGCTTCATTTGCGTCGTCCTATTATCGATTGTTGATTTTTAGTTTCCTAGTTGCTGAATCGAACTCCTACTGAATTGATCTGCCTTGATATGTTTAATTGGATTTGTGTGAACATTTGCTTTATAGTCTGATGTTACAATAACTTCGAATTAGAGTGATTTATATGGACTCTCTATAGTTTTAAAGATTCTTAAACCATTTTATTCCATTGTGGTTGTGTGAAAGAGAAGCTGTACTGAATCTTTATCATTTGATGGGCTATTGAACAGGTTGATGAGTCAATCTGCAAGTTTGCGAAGAAGGGTTTGACTCCATCACAGATTGGTGTGATTCTTCGTGACTCTCACGGTATCCCTCAGGTGAAGAGTGTCACCGGAAACAAGATCTTGCGAATCCTGAAAGCTCACGGTTTGTGTTTTCTTAACACTGATCATATCTGTTATCTATGGTAACATATATATAAGAAACTTAAATTATTGTGTTGTTTTTTTGTGGTTGAAAAAAGGTCTTGCACCTGAGATTCCTGAGGATCTATACCACCTGATCAAGAAGGCAGTTGCTATCCGCAAGCACTTGGAGAGGAACAGGAAAGACAAAGATTCCAAGTTTAGGTTGATTCTTGTGGAGAGCAGGATCCACCGTCTTGCTCGTTACTACAAGAAGACCAAGAAGCTTCCGCCAGTCTGGAAGTAGTAAGTAACACTATACTATGAATCTTTTTTACCTTTTACTGTTTCTTTTTCTTTCGTTAAGTAAAGATTCTGATATGTTGATTCTTGGTTGTGTTCTTGCAGCGAGTCTACTACTGCCAGTACTCTTGTGGCTTAAGAAGATGGAGATTAAGTGAAAGGCTTCGAGAATGCTTCCGTTTCTTTTTAATTTCTCCGTTTTGGCTTAGTAATTGTGTCAAATTGAGATTTTGATAATTTCAAGTATCGAACGTGCTTTAATATTTTCTGAAAACGACTTTTTATTAGACTTGCGAGAAATGAAGAATCTGAATCTTAAAATATCAAGGAATCGTTATAGAGGTATTGACTAGGTTAGAACAAAATCAAATGTTAATTGTTGCAAAAGCTACAAGTATACGTGATGACATCAACGAAAAAGTTACAATACCAAATCATACAACAAATCAGGAAGCCATTAGTTGCCGATTAGGCCAAACATTTTCTAAGCTTGAATAATTTGTAGTCGAACGAACAAATATGATATAACATCATATAAGAGGTGCACAAAATTATACTAAAACGTTGGAGGAGCAAACCACGTTTTTCCACAATCAAACAACATCCATGGATCCATAGTAAGACAGCTACTTACTTAACTTGAAGTAGCTTGGTTAACTTGAAGAGCAAGGATGAAATGAAAAGGAAACACCGGTTCTGTTGGAGAAGGCGTCACGATAAACTCTAAGGAGACACTGAGGCTCTGCAAACTGGTATTGTAGAGCAAAAGTGGGATTCCACGAATCCGAAACCATCACTTCAAGACTCGCCCTAGAGCTAAGCTCGAATTCGAATCCCAATGACACACTACTGTGGAGCCTGCGTGGCTGCTGCTTCTTATACGGTACACTCGACTCGGCGAGCGTCACAAATCTAGGGTGAATCCGATGGCGTGTTGACAAGACTGATTTATCTTGGTACCTGTCCAAAAAAAACAAAAAAAAATAAACAATCACAACAATGCAGCAAGACTGTTAGGACAAACTAATTTGAGTTAGTCGATGGAGTTACAGTTTGAGATGGGCAGACACGTTGCCTGCAATGATACGCTGTCCAACACTCCAGTTATCAAGCTTGAGTTTGTTCATGTCGAATTCAGCAGTAGAAGTGAGCTCGTAACCAGCAAGGCGTCCCAAGAGTCTGAGTTTACCATTAAACTGAGCGGATTTGCAGCTAACCCTTGCACCCATTTCACCATACTTACGCTTATACAAGATTCCAATCTGCAACAACAGAATAGCTCGTAAGCAACTGAACGAAATCTCTTGGTTTTATTTGAGTGTAGACAAAAGCAGACGCACCTCGTTATGGAAGCAAGCAGATTTGGTTGAGTCGTAGTCATACTCCTGAAGATACTCCGAATTCAATAGCAGTTCCAGGCCAGTCACGTGTTTAGCATTGATCTTACTTATCTCACATATGAAGTCAAAAGAAAAAGACCAAATCGAATCGTACTCTTACATAATTCCAGATGAGATTTTTCGGGACTTACCTTGTAATATCTCCATTATCTTATTGCCTCCAGATGAAAGTAAGGAAAACATCTCCTCTGGGAAGAAGATGAACAAACCCTTTCACTCTTTTATTTTTTTTTTAACAGTTTTGGAGATTTTCTCTCCGGCTTTTCCAATTCAATAGAGCATCATCGATCGAATCCACCAGAATCCTCCCTACAAATATGTTATTTTGTAACGAAATTACACCCGAAAATAAAAGTAATTTATATTCAAATTTTCAATATTTGGGGCATTCGAGTTTGGGCCGTCTATCACATAAAATTCATCTCTACCAATTTAGTCACTTTTAGCGATCCGTATTTGTTGCCAGAAAAGCTAGACCCCAATTTCCTCCGCCATCGACCATAAGATTATGGAGAGATCTCAAGGCAAGTTTCCAGAGATTGTTAATATATTTCGTCTTTTGGATCTTTCCTACTTTGATAGTGATGGGATCAGTAAAACCAATGCTATATATGCTTTCGATTTTTAGAATTGCTCCGATTTTCTTGAGCCTGGACCTAAAATTAGTCCGATTTTTGATTTGAGAATTAAAAGTTTTTGATGTGTGATTAAGCTTTCTTTCCTTTGATAGGCTCCCAGGGGGGAGAAGTAAATGATCCGTGCGATAGATGCTTCTCAGAATCTTCTCCGGTGGTAATATTCACCGGCAATTGCCCCCACCAATTCTGCGGTATACTCTCTTTGTTCAACAAATGATTTAGCTTCTTCCCCTTGTTTAAAACTTTGAAATTGTTTCAGTGAAATGTATCTTATACCTCTGGTCACGTGAGAAGCTTAGAGAACCGTGTCTATGTCCGTATGATGGAATTAAAATGTGGCGACTACGTCCTCGTAGAGCGTACGTGCCCGAGGAGATCAGTTCCCTAGTCTGCGTTTATAATCGCTTGTTCAATCCACCATATTACATGGTATAACTTTCTTTTCACATTTTCTCTCTTTTTTTTTTCTTACTTAGATCCATCTCTGTTTACTAACTCTTTTTTTTGTCGCATTCTAGGACATGGCTGAGTCAAAATTTTGTATGTTCTTCTTCGCTTCACTTGTACTACTATGTCTTTTTTTTTTTTTTTTTTTTTTAATACAACCACCGTCTAACTAAAAGTTTGTGTCTTTGTAGATCGCAATATTTCATGGCTCTACTTAGCGGAAGGTGCTCTTTGTGTCGTTGGTCTACTTGCATACGTGTACAAGCTTCCAAAGTGAATGACGATCGTGGTTTGTACCCGGATTTATCATGCGCTATTATGTCTTGTGCTCTCTTAGTCTATGTTTGAGAGGGTTCGAGTCTCTTTTAGTTTATAACGATTATATGTCTTGTGCTTTCTTTCTTTGTTTTACAACTGCCTTTCTTTTGTTTTACAATTTACAACGGCCTTTGTTTGTTTGACATTTTGCATGTGTTTTTTTCGATATATATGATGAACTGATATGGTTAACTTCTATTTGTAACATACATATTTTTCTCTTAGCATATAAGACTGAAATTCTCACCCAAAACAACACATTTTTTTTAGTTTTTTGACCTTAGACCCATTTTAGATATGGTTAATTCTCATCACCCAAAACAACACAATTTTTTAGTTTTTTGACCTTAGATCCATTTTAAAAGTTGCATATATATACGACTTTAGCAATTTTGAATTACATTTTTACAAAAAAAAAATTCTTACAAAGCCATGTTTGGTTTCTAATTCAACCAATTACGAAATCAAATGAAAAGATAGACCGAAACATTTTGTTCGTATTTTTTTTGGAATCCCACGAATCAGACCTGTTAATTGAACCGGCCGGTTGAATTAACCGGTTGGTAATTCAAGTGAAAAGAAAAGAAAAGCCGAATGAATTAGAGCTAGAACTAGAACACTACTCACGAAAGTTTACTTTTTTTTTCTTCCTACTGTCTATCGAGTTTTGATGGATTCGACTCTTAATCCAAACAAGCATCTCAAAGAAGAGTAAAAACTTCTTTCTCTCTCTCGCGTCGTCTCCATGATCTGTATTTTTTTCCAGATTGTTTGATTTGTAACTCTTCGTTATGGACTTTTTTTATTCGAATTGACTTGGCAGATTCGTAAGCAATCTCGATGGATCATCTATTCTGGAAATCGCAGCACTATTGACCATTGTCCCTGTAAGTTTTTTTCCTCTGTACATTTCTTCGATATTTGCTTCAGTTTCTAAACGATGACGTTTTGTTGTCTCAGCTCTTGGTTCTTCTTCGATACTCCATTGGCTTTCACTGTCGAATCGGTTTGTTTATCTGATTTATCTCCCTCGCATTTCATCTTCTCATTTCAAAATCTCACAATTGCTTAAAGCTAACTACTTTTTGGATTGAGTGATGCCCTTTGTTCGATAAGTGTTAAGTTGTTTCATTCATGTTTGTTGTAGATGATAATGGCAAATCCATTTCACTGAAGAAAAACGATGATGAGATTGATATTGTTGCTTCCAGAAATTGGAAGGATTACACTTACGCCATATCCTTGGATTTCATTTTAATTGTCTTCCCCATGCTCTTGTTTTTCACCGTATGACTCTTCAAACTCCTCCATTTTCACAATTCGGTAATGCTGTCTTATGATCAATCAAAACTGATTTAACTATTATTATAATAGGTTCTATCAGAATGGGTTTATCAAGGGGTAGTTTTGTTATCGCTCTTGTTGCTGGCCCTTTCTGTGACTGCCAAAAGGTAGAAACTTTCATATATTGTTGCCCTTTATCTTATAAAACAGTCCTGTAGTAGCTTGTTTAAAACTAAGTAATATGATTTCAGATCTTCTTCCGGGTTGCAGAGAGGAGGAGAGTCTCTCTCGTTTAGAGCAAATGTATCTTCTTATAGAGTTGCTCTGGTAGGCAAACACTACTGTTGCTTTACTTTTGAAATCCACTCTGCTTTTAATACTCTCAAGGAGGATTTTCTCGTTTGTTGTTGCAGATGCTTATTACATGCTTGTGTATCTTGGCTGTTGACTTCACTATCTTTCCGAGGAGGTACGCCAAGACAGAGACTTACGGCACTAGCTTGGTATGTTTTTCGAATGTCTTCCTTTAGTTACTTACTCTAGGCTCTAAACTGATTGGAGATTAACTGTATATTACAACTCGAAATGGAAACAGATGGATCTTGGGGTTGGCTCTTTTGTGATGGCAAATGCTGTAGTTTCTAGGCAAGCTAGGGACGTCTCATCTGGGTGGGTTGATTCACCTTAGCACTCCATTGTCCTCTTTGTTAGTGTTTCAGCATTTATGTAAACTTGGTCCAATTTTTTACTTGCATTGCTTCAGAAACTGGATTACTGGGCTTAAGGCAACTGCTCCTCTGCTATTACTTGGGTTTATCCGTTTAGTTACCACTTCAGGTGTTGATTATCAGGTAAAGAAAATCTCTTCATGATGCGTTGATGATTCCTTCTCGCTTTACAATGTCTTAACCATTGTTGTTTCTTGACTGTATATGAATGAAGGTCCACGTTACGGAATATGGACAACACTGGAATTTCTTTTTCACACTTGCAGCCATATCGATTCTCACTTCATTTGTTAACATACCAGCTAAGTACTGTGGTATCCTAGGCTTCGCTGTTCTTGCAGGTAATACTTTAGTTTCTCTCTATACTTCAGTTACAAGATAACGAAACCTTAACTATCTTATCTTCCATCTCCTTTGTGCTCTCAGGGTACCAAACTTGGTTGGTTAGTGGACTCAACACATATCTACTTTCCAACGAAAGAGGAACTAACATTATCAGCAAGAACAAGGAAGGAGTATATAGCACACTTGGTAAGGTTTTGTGATTTGGTTGATTCACTACTCTCTTTTTGGTTTTTGTGGCATCTAACTCTTCTCTGTTTCAGGTTATTGGGGCATGTACCTTCTCGGCGTTCACTTAGGCTATCGTCTCTTCTACGCAAAACATTCGAATACTCGAAGCACCAAGAGCTCAATCGCTAGAGTCTTTCTCGCTTCTCTTCTGTTATGGTAAAAAAAACAAACGGTTGGTTATATAACAATTATTATCTCATTATGATAGTATCATCATCACTCATGAGCATGTATGTATGTATGTATGTCTCAGGATTGTGACTTTACTTGTTGACAACTATGTCGAGAGGATCTCTCGTCGAACGGTAATGATACTCACTTAAAGCTCAAAAACCAATTCAAGGGACAAAATATTGGTTGAAAGAAATCATTTTTTTTTTATCTTGTGCAGTGCAACATGCCTTATGTTACTTGGGTGCTCGCTCAAGATCTTCAGGTCTTTTAAGTTTATAAAGGTTAAGACTTTTATCTTTGAGATTAGAGGTATGAGATTTGTGTTTTTTTGGTTTTGTTTTCAGGCGTTGGGTATGTTTATGCTTTCAAGTTATATACCTATGAACAAACTCTCATCGCTTGAAGAAGCAATCGACCAGAATCTTTTAGCTACCTTTCTACTTGTAAGTCTCTTATTAGTTGATTTCTCCACAATCTTTCATTCTTCTGTGAACTCATTTCAAATTTACTGTTTTCTTTTTTTCTTCAGGCAAACGTTTTTACAGGAGTGGTGAATCTCGCCGTAGATACCATATTTGCTTCTCCACTATCTTCCCTTGTGATATTAACCACTTATGCCTTTGCTTTGTCTGGTATTATCGGAACCATTCATTTATCCGGTTTCCGGTTAAAGTTCTGGTAAATAGTATAAACATCATTGTAAACTCTTTTAATGAATGACATGTAATTGATTCAGATCTTATGGAGTGAAGCTAAACAGTATTTTGCAAGTCTGAATTTTTCTGTTATATGAAAAGTTTACTGTATCTGATGAGTTCTTTCAGCGGCACACTTTAAACATTGCAAGTATAAACATACGAAGAATTTAACATTTTAAAATCTGACAGAAGTTAATAGTTTTCTTGGGTTACTTATTATGTGTAAAAATAATTGTACAAATTAGGCACAATACATCAAAGTCATCAAAGTCAGGAGATACAATAATCACATACGGCTAAAGAGTATGAAGTAAACTTTGATGTCAAAAATGATAAGAAAAATTATTACCGTGTAACGATAATTTTATGTAATAAGGATTAAGCCCTATTGTATGTTTATTTGTCTGACGTTATAAGAGATTGACTGATGTTGGGTTTAAGATTATACATTTTATTTTTAAACAAATTTTGAGATTTTGTTTCAGGTTTGTCCACTCTCTGAAAAAGACGGTTGTGCGATATGCTTACAGACGATTAATCTTGGAGTAAATACAAACTGTAACCACAACTAATTTTGTGTTAGTTCTCTTTACAGAAAAATAATAGATCAAAGTTTTATTAAAACATTAGAGATAAGTTCTAAAAATATGAAATTTTAAATTAAAACAAGTAATGTTATACTTATATTTTGGTATATTATTATAGGTTATATATTTGTATAAGATTTATTTATGGAAATTATTAATTTATAAAATTACTGGAATTATATATTTATATAGGTTTCTTATAAAAATTATTATCTTAGCTATATTTCTTCTTGTAAGTCTTTTTCTCAGGTCATATTCTCTATTAACTCATTCCAAATTAACTGTTTTTAATTTTTACAGCTTCGCTGTAGCCCGTAGATACTATATTTGCTTTTCCAATCTCCACTATATTCCCTTGTGATTTTAACCCGTTATACTTTTGCTTTATTTGCTATTATTGGAATCATTTATTTATCTGGTTCCCGGTTAAAGTTCTGGTGAATAGCATTTTTTTCTTTTCACTTGATTTATCATACTATCACAAATTATTAGAAATGTTACAATGAAGATTCTGCAATGAACAATTCCATCTTCTGGTGTTTTTCAATCGCCAGTTTCGAGCCTTCTGCAAGCATGTATTCAATAATCTGCATAATTGACAATAAATCGTATTCTCTGGGATCACTTAACATCTTTGTAAACTCTTTTAATGAATGAAATGTAATTGATTCAGATCTTATGGAGAGAAGCTAAACACAGTTTTTTGCAAGTCTGAATATTTCTGGTATATGAAAAACTTTTATTTACTGTATCTGATGGGTTCTGTCAACGGCACACTGTTCGTTCACATTGAAAGTAAACGTCACGTAGTTTGCACCTGATATCGTATAACTCACATAAAGGGCCCAACAAAGCCCACAAAGTCACAAACCCCTTTAGCTTGATCGTGTCGTTCTCTTCGCCGATCCGAAATTGATTTTGTTGATCGGAAATTTGTTTATACGATCAATGGTTTCCCGGAGAGATTATCGGAGCTTAAGATCTTGTAGCGGATGGCGTCGGTTTCTATTGCTAGTTCCTGTGCTGTTTGTTCTTCCTCATCTCTCGTCATTTGTTGATTTCTCTTCGACTTCTCCGGCTAGGATCGAAGCGCAGAGCCTTCGTAGCAAGAAATTAGATCACCTCGTGCTCGGTCCTGCCGCTGGAGTAGGCTTTCCGGATAGATTGCATTGCCGAGGTTAGATTTTGCGTTTACTCTTAGCTTTTGCTACTAGCTCTCGCAGATAATCACTGTCGACGGATTTGAATCACAATCTCCGATTTGTGTTTGAGAAGATGATATGAGCAATTTTGTCCTGAATTTAGTGTAACTTTGGGCCGAATTTAGTATAACTTTAAAAAATCATACACTTAGCTTGCCTTGTTGCTTCACAAATATTGCTTGGAACTGCAAATTGATGAAACTGTGGAAGAATGGTATGTTGGTGTGGCTGTGTTTTGACATTTTCATATTCTGTTTAGGCACCAAGGCTCTGAACAAGACTCACACTACAAATTCTGAGGCGCCTGGTGGTGCTGGAAATGGTGTTTCTTTCGTCACAGTGTTTACTCTTTACAATACATCCATCGATAATATGAAATCATCCAATACGGTTTCTGTTATTGGGAATGTTACCTACAGCAAGCCAGAGAGGTCTATGGCAGTTCTAAACGCATTCGCCAACTTCATTCAGGTAATGAATGAATAGCTTTTGGTGTTTCTTTGGCTGATGATAGTTACTGAAAAAATCTGGTTTCAGGTGACTATGGCGAAGAGCAAAGTTGTGATATTGACTGATCCAGCTTCGCATCTCTCCATCCAAGCAAGCAACGTGATGGTACAGCCAATTCCGGGGGATTATTCACGCGGTAACCTGATGCTTCAAAGAATCATGTCTTACATTGTAAGGAGCAAAATCTAGGTAGAAAGACATTTTGTTGCGTTTGCCTTGACTATCTATCCGTTTCTTTTTGAATCCCACCTGAGTTTGGTTCTTCATCTGTATCTGCAGACCTTTCTTGAGATGAAGCTCGAGAAGAACGATGGTGGGATAAACCACTATATCTTCACTGATTCTGATATAGCCGTGGTTGATAACGTCGAGACTGTGTTTGACAAGCATCCAAACTTCCACATGGCTCTCACGTTCAGGAACAACAAAGACCAACCTCTGAATTCAGGATTCATAGCCGTGAGAGGCACACGTGAAGGGATCCTAAGGTTTGCATTTATATCCCTTACGGTTAAAGTAACACTTGTCTCCATCGATAGTGACTTTGTGTTTACATGTAGGGCTAAAGTGTTTCTTGAGGAAGTGCTAAAGGCTTATAAGACCAAATATATGAAAGCTTCGCGAATGCTTGGTGATCAACTAGCTTTGGTTTGGGTTGTCAAATCTCATCCTTCATTTGATGCAAAGAGATTTACAAAGCCACAAGCTTTCACACAAGAAATAGCTGGAGCTTCCGTGCTGTTTTTGCCGTGTGCTTTATACAACTGGACTCCTCCTGAAGGTGCTGGTCAGTTTCATGGCATGCCGTTAGATGTCAAGGTACTCTCTCAAACCCCTGGCTAAAACGCAAAACCCCATCACAAATCTATATTCTCACTACTTTTGAAAAAACCGCAGATTGTTCACTTCAAAGGATCAAGGAAACGTCTAATGCTAGAGGCGTGGAACTTTTACAAATCTACTTCCAACATTGCTGATATGTTGTGTCTTGTTCTTGGTAGTGGGAGAACTAAATACGATTTCTAAACTCAGAAAAAATGGTGGTTTAACGATTTTATTTCATGAGTCCCTTGTAATTTTTTTTTGTGTTTTGACGAGATCGATCAAATTTACTACAGCGGTTAAATTACTCGAGAGGTGAAATAATTAAATAAAATAAAATACCGATGGGTCTGTTACCGTTACAATATCCCCAAAAAAATTTACTCAAAACAAACAAGAATCAAATGTCATTTGACCAAAAAAATAACAATCATCTAGCGGCGGCGATATTCTCGCCGGAGTAATAACTCAGATACCATCTCACGAACTTCTTCAAACCGGTCTGCAAATCCGTCGTCGGTTTATAACCAAGCTCGCGTTGAGCTAAGCTGATATTAGCGTGAGTGAACGGAACGTCGCCGTTTCGCGGCATCTTGATCAAGTTCCTCTTCGCCTTCACTTTCAATTGCCTCTCCAGTATACTCACCAGATCGGAAACCGGCACCGGCGATGTGTTTCCGAGGTTGTACACTCTCAATTGCGCAGGACCTCTCTTCTTCCCTCCGCTTCCTGTACTCTTCTCCGCCGTATCGAGCGCCCCTAAACACCCCTTCACGATATCGTCGATGTAAGTGAAATCCCTAGCCACCGTCCCGTGATTCGCCGATTCGAAAATCGAGATCGGTTTCCCTTTCAGAATATCCTTGGTGAAGAAGAAATACGCCATGTCTGGTCTTCCCCATGGCCCGTACACGGTGAAAAACCTCAACCCCGTGAGGGACAATCCGTAGATGTGGTTGTACGTGTGCGCGATTTCCTCGCCGGCTTTTTTAGTCGCGGCGTATAGACTCGCCGGCTGATCCGTTCTGTCTTTCTCGGAGAACGGGACTTTTGTGTTGAGTCCGTAGACGGAGCTAGACGAAGCCCAGACGATCGCAGGTTGTGGATTCGCCGATTTGCAGATCTCGAGGAGATTGACTAATCCGGCGATGTTGCTGTGAACATACGAGCTCGGATTCTCCATCGCGTACCGTACTCCGGCTTGAGCAGCTAAATGCATAACGTGAGTGAAGGGGACGATCTTGAAGAGCTTGCGGAGCAATTCGGCGTCGTTTATGTCTCCTTCTACGATGAAGATCCCGCTTCTCTCTAGCAATGCTTGTCTCGCTCGTTTCAGAGACGGATCGTAGTAATCGTTGAAGTTGTCGAGGCCGATGACGCCGTCGCCGCGGCGTTTTAATGCGGAGGAGACGTGTGTTCCGACGAATCCGGCTGCTCCGGTGACTAGAACGGTGATTCCGTTATTGGAAGATCGGATTTTAGCGGAGGCTCGGAGGCGTTTTTCCCAGGCGGGTCCTCCGTAGCTGTAGGTTCGGAGCGAGCGGCGAGATGGATCGGACTGCGAGGGGTTAACGGAGGGTGGAGATCGGAGGAAGAGTATGGAGATGAGGCAGAGGATGAAGAAGGAGAAGAATGCGAACTTTGTGAGAGACGATTGGAATCTGAGGCGATGCAAGTAGGAAGATTTCTCCATCTTGAATTTGCCTGGGCTTGAAGGTATGTCGTCAAGGCGCGACATTTTCTCGGGAAAGATTGTAGTTTCTTTGGTTTTCTTTGAACACCTTTCTTCTTCTTCTTCTTCTTCTTCTCCTCTCTTTTACTTCTTATGGCAGCTTCTTAAGAATCTTCAGGTTTCTTGGAGAGATTATATTAAAGAAGCTTTCTTTATTACGACTCCACAATGAGAAACACGAATATTATTCTTTTATTAATAAATTCGAGGATTTGGCTACAAGGTGTGAGTGTGGATTTTTGAAATTAGAACATGGGGGTTGAAGATTTAGAGATCCAAATCAAGGAGAAGAAGAAGAAAGAAAGAGAGTCAAAAACAGGTGTTTTGATCTGTTTGACTTAAATAAAAAAGATTTTCTGTAAATAATTGATTGTTTTAAACAATAAAAAGTTTTTGACTGTAAAAGGTTTTTGACTCTTCTAAAGATTCGTTGTCATGTATTGATTGAGAAGAATTGAAAATATTTGATTGGTGAAATAATACTCCCAAGATTTTCGGGAAGCCTCTCAATCCCAAAGTGTATTGAATTTTTAACCAAAGTTAACTTCTTTTAATAAATTGGTGCTAAATGAGACTGAACCCTCCTAAATTTGAACAAAAGCTGTTGATGACCCTAAATCCTATGTTTATACATCTTTCTTGAATGGTGGGAGAGATATTTTGGGAACATCAATTTAGTTTGTGTTTTGATCTATACATTTCCAAGAAATTGAGCGTAACGATTCTCTAAATAAGGCATTCTTGTACAAGGCTGATGGAAAAATTCTATGTATAGACAGGGTTAAAACTTCAATCATGGTTTAGTGAAACCCACTTTTTAAAATGTGTTAAACAATAAAAGTTGTTGGAATCACAACATGTTTTCTTTTTTTATGAAATTTTTATTTGCAAAAAGTCCAAAAAAAGGTGCGAGTGAATAAATGCTATAATGGTGGTACTCAAAGACCCCATGTGAAGATTTGATTACATAAGACAAGAACATGTCCTCTCTTTACCCTTTATGAATTGGCATAACATGTCCCCATGCCTTTGTCCCTCCTTCAGATGTATCTACTCATCCGAGACCCACTCTCTTGTCTCTACATTCAACCAATTGCAGTATAATTTCAAAGACAACACACAAGAATAAGAGAATAAAACCTTTTTGTTCCTCATACTAGATGTTAAGGAATGTTTGGAATTGGGATCAAATCTTTCAAGGTTGGGTTTAAGCTACATAGTAAGTTGAATTGGGCTCAAAAACGGCATGGGGCTGTATTAGCTTGGTTTATGGTTTCGATCCGGTTAATTTGTCTTTGGTGGATTAGGGTTTACTTGGGGAAGAAGATATGAGAAAACCGAAATGGTATATTCTCAAAATTGTTTGATGTTGAGTTAATGGCAATTGGTGCAAATTAGTAAAGTTTATAAACCCTATTTTCTCTGGCATAAAAAACCTAGTGTCTCATCTATCGACTAGCTAGGGCTAACTTGGATCTAGATATGCGTCTCTTGGAAGCCAAAAAGGTGGAATATTCTGTCTCTAGAGATGCAATCAGCTCTCTTCCAGATGACATGCTTGCTAAGATATTGTCTGATCTTCCCACAAAACTAGCTGTTTCCACGTCTGTCCTCTCCAAAAGGTGGAGGAGTCTGTTTCCACTGATGACTCGTCTCTTTGCTTCTCAACATCATTTCTATCTAGACGACTCTGATTTACTTTTTCCTGAGGTAAAGATTTACTTTTTGCACCAGTGGTTTAGAGATTTCGTGGGAAAAACACTTTCCGGTTGCAATTCCATAAAGAAACTCTCGCTAAAATGTCAAGATGGTCATATCAGTTTCCCTCTTGCCGACAAATGGATAGGCATTGCCTTGGACAGAGGTCTCGTGGATCTTGATCTGCGTCTAACAACGAGAGAGCTTAAAGAGGCAGTATATTTGCCTATGTTTATTGTCTTCATAAACACGACGCTGGTTAAGCTAACTTTAGGGATAGAGATTGGTGCTATCGGTATAAATCCTTTCAAAGTGTCTCTTCCAGTGCTAAAGAGTCTCTTCTTACATGGAGTTTGCTTTAGATGCGAGCAACTGTGCTATATGATGCTTCCTGGTTGTCCTGTACTTGAGGAATTATCCTTCGAGTTTTACCTTTGCACTTACCTAAAACATTCTTCATACTTAAATATCTCCAACAAAACCCTCCAGAGACTCACAGTTCACTACAATGGCAGTATGCCATACTCTGACTTCGTGACATTCGACACACCGAGTCTTGTTTACCTCGATTTCTCTGGTCACGCTCCTGCGAAACATTTTACAAAACCTGACAATATCTTGGATTCCCTTGTCGAAGCCAAACTAGATGTTGATGTGCCAGAGATCCAGAGACAAACTGGAGATCATCTACCTACGATCATCTGGTGGGTGAGGAACGTTAAGAACCTTACCCTGTCTTCTACTACTGTTAAGGTGTGTCTCTTTGTCTGCTTTTTCCTTGCCTTAACTAGTATATCATTAGATGACCTTCCTTAAGGTGTGTGTGTGTGTGTTACAGGAAATGTATGCAAGCGATACAGAATTACCTTCCTTTGTAAATCTTGTTAAGCTTTCTATAGAGAGTGATACAAAAAAGGTTGGAAAGTGCTTCGGAGTCTGCTCAACAAATCTCCAAAACTTGAAACTTTGGTCCTCAAGGTGTTTTCTTGTAACATCATATATTTTAATCCATTTCTCAATTTTAAACTAACTAAATATCCCTAACTCTGTATTTGTGATGGTTGCTCATCTAGGGCTTGCACTGTATAAGAGATGAGGGATATTGCATTGGTCCAAGTGAAGTGAAGGTGTTGGAGATATATGGGTTTAGAGGAAGTGTTGGAGAATTTTCACAGTCCAGGTGGTTTTTATGTCAAATGCATCTTCTTCGTGTGATGAGAGTGGAAATTGATGCTGATGATGATATCAAGAAACTCCAACTCATCAGTGACCTTCTTGCTCTTCCTCCTAAGGGTTCATCTAAATGCAAATTCCAGTTCTTGTGAAAGTCACTTCCCCTCCAAGCATAGTTTGGGTTTTTGTTTAGGTTTTCTTGATTCGGTTTTTATGGGTTTTTTTTGTTGGCTTTTCGCATTTTCAGAGATGGTAAACAAACTACGTAAACTCGGTTTAAGTTTATTTTTTAAATACTTTGGTTTGGTTTTTGAGTTGCGGTTTTTTACCACCTCTAATCACGACAACTACAAGTGAATTAGGATTTAGGACAGAACAAAAAAAAAAATTCAACGATTGCTTCTCGCTCAGTTCCGGTACACGCAAAACTCTTTGTACACGCAAACAAACATATCATACCATTGAATCAAATTAAAGAAAGAGACAAATGGGTTTAAGGGTGTTTATAGTGATTTTTTTTAAGAACTTAGAAGTAGTCATGGAATGTTTTTGGGGTGCAACCAGGATACGTTGCAAGAGAGAACGCCATTGCAATTCTGGCAATCATCCTCTCTGTCTCCTTTACTGTCCAGCTTACATTATAAGTGAACGCCATTGCAATGGAATTAAGAGACAATGAATCTTACTGAGCACGGTCGTGGCCTCGATCATGGCAAAGCCCGTCAGGCCCAATTGTAGTTAAGTTCCGTCACTTCTCTGCATCGTTTTATATTCTAGACATCTTGTCGTATAAACCCAAGAATTAGGTCGAAAAGGGACATCTTCAAATCACACACATCTTAGTTGGGGATTAGGGTTAACTTGGGGAAGAAGCTAGGAGAAAACCGAGATCGATTCAAAAATCTAGTGTCTCATATTTCGACTAAGTAGGGCTTGGATCTAGATATGTGTCTATTGGAAGCCAAAAAGGTGGAATATTCTGTCTCTAGAGATGCGATCAGCTCTCTTCCAGATGAGATACTTGCTAAGATATTGTCTGATCTTCCCACAAAACTAGCTGTTTCCACGTCTGTCCTCTCCAAAAGATGGAGGAATCTGTCTCCACTGATGACTCATCTCTTTGCTTCTCAACATCATTTCTATTTAGACGACTCTGATTTACTTTTTCCTGAGGTAAATATTGGTAATACACAATCATATCCGTTTATATTGAGGAAGAGAGAGTTGCTACAGAGGTTCAGAGATTTCGTGGGAAAAACACTTTCCGGTTGCAATTCCATAAAGAAACTCTCGCTGAAATGTCAAGAAGGTTTAATCACTTTCCCTCTTGCCGACAAATGGATACGCATTGCCTTGGACATAGGTCTCGTGGATCTTGATCTGCGTCTAACAACGAGAGGGCGTAGAGAGGCAGCATATTTGCCTAAGAGTATTGTCTTCAGAAACAAGACGCTGGTTAAGCTAACTTTAGGAATAGAGATTGGTAGTCTTCGAATAAATATTTATTTTGAAGTGTCTCTTCCAGTGCTAAAGAGTCTCTTCTTGCATGGAGCTTGCTTTAGATGCGAGCACCTGTGCGCTCTGATGCTTCCTGCTTGTCCTGTACTTGAGGAATTATCCTTAGAGTATTACTTTTGCGCTTTCCAAAGATATACAACAAACTTAGATATATCCCACAAAACCCTCAAGAGACTCACAGTTCACTACAACAGCAGTATGAAATTCTCTGCTTTCACTAAACTCGACACACCGAGTCTTGTTTACTTTGATTTTTCTGGTCACGCTCCTGTGCAAAATTGTTCAACTGCCAATTTCTTGGATTCCCTTGTCGAAGCCAAACTAGATGTTGATGAGCCAGAGATCCAGAGGCAAAGTGGAGATCATCTATCTACGATCATCTATTGGGTGAGGAACGTTAAGAGCCTTACCCTGTCTTCTACTACTGTTAAGGTGTGTCTCTTTGTCTGCTTCTTCCTTTCCTTAACTAGTTTATCACTAGATGATCTTCCTTAAGGTGTGTGTGTGTGTGTGTGTTTCAGGAAATGTATAGAAGCGGTATGGTAGTACCTTCCTTTGTAATAAGTCTTGTTAAGCTTTCTATAGAGAGTGATACAAAACAAGGTTGGCAAGTGCTTCCGAGTCTGCTCAACAAATCTCCACAACTTCAAACTTTGGTCCTCAAGGTGTTTGTTGCATCATCATATAATCCATATCTCAATTTTAAACTAATTAAATATAAGCAGAGAATTAGTTATTAGTTCACAACCCTAACTCTGTATTTGTGATGGTTACTCATCCAGGGCTTGCACTCTATAAACAATGAGGGAGTCGACATTGATCCAAGCAAAGTGAAGGTGTTGGAGATATATGGGTTTAGAGGAAGTGTTGGAGAATTTAGACAATGCAAGCGCTTTTTATGTCAAATGCAGCTTCTTCAAGTCATGAAAGTGGAAATCGATGCTGATGATGATATCAAGAAACTCCAACTCATCAGTGACCTTCTTGCTCTTCCTCCTAAGGGTTTCTCTAAATGCAAATTCAAGTTCTTGTGAAATTCACTTCCCCTCCAAGTTTAGTTTTGGGTTTTGGTTTAGGTTTTTTGGCGTATTGCATGGTAAACAAACAACGTAAAATCGGTTTAGGTTAAGTTTTTAAACACTTTGGTTTGGTTTTTGAGTTGCGGTTTTTTACCACTTCCAACCACGACAACTACTAGTGTATTAGGACAAAAAGAACTAAGAGATCATGGCAAAGCCCATCAGGCCCAATTGTAGTTACGTTCCGTCACTTCTCTGCGTCGTCTCAAAAACCCAAAAATTAGGTCGAAAAGGGACATCTTCAAATCACACACATCTTAGTTGGGGATTAGGGTTTACTTGGGGAAGAAGCTAGGAGAAAACCGAGATCGATTCAAAAACCTAGTGTCTCATATTTCGACTAGCTAGGGCTTGGATCTAGATATGTGTCTCTTGGAAGCCAAAAAGGTGGAATATTCTGTCTCTAGAGATGCAATCAGCTCTCTTCCAGATGACATGCTTGCTAAGATATTGTCTGATCTTCCCACAAAACTAGTTGTTTCCACGTCTGTCCTCTCCAAAAGGTGGAGGAATCTGTTTTCATTGATGAGTTCTCAACATCATTATTATTTAGGCGACTCTGATTTACTTTATCATATGGTAGAGATCGGTGGTACATATTCATACCCATTTATAGTGATAAAGAGAGATCTGCACCAGAAGTTCAGAGATTTCGTGGGAAAAACACTTTCCGGTTGCACCTCCATGAAGAAACTCTCGCTGAAATGTCAAGATGGTCTTATCAGTTTCCCTCTAGTCAACAAATGGATAGGCATTGCCTTGGACAAAGGTCTCGTGGATCTTGATCTGCGTCTAACAACGGGAGAGGCTAAAGAGGCCAATTTTTTCACTAACATGACTGTCTTCACAAACAAGACGCTGGTTAAGCTAACTTTAGGAATAGAGATTGGTGATCATCTCTTTCTACCATATGTTTTTGAAGTGTCTCTTCCAGTGCTAAAGAGTCTCTCCATCCATGGAGTTTGGTACATATGCGAGCACCTGTGCAGCATAATGCTTCTTGGTTGTCCAATACTTGAGGAACTCTCCTTAGAATATTACATACCCAGTAAGCGAAAAAGGGGAGTAACTTGGTGTGTCTTTGCTATATCCCACAAATCCCTCAAGAGACTCACAGTTCACCAAAAGAGCCTTTTGGAAAACTATCGAGTCACGACATTGGACACACCGAGTCTTGTTTACCTCGATTTCTCTGGTCGCGCTCCTACCAAGTTGAAGTCAACTGCCAATTTCGTGGATTCCCTTGTCGAAGCCAAACTAGATGTTGTAATGCTAGAGATACCGCAACGACGTGCATATCTATCTACGATGATTAACTGGATACGCAACGTTAAGAACCTTTCCCTCTCTTGTTCTACTGTTAAGGTGTGTCTCTTTGTCTGCTTCTTCTTTGCCTTAATTATTATCATTCGATTAAGTTTTATTTATTTATTTTGTGTGTTACATTACAGGAAATGTATAGAAGCCGTATGGTAGTACCTTCCTTTGTAAATCTTGTTAAGCTTTCTATAGAGAGTAATACAAAACAAGGTTGGCAGGTGCTTCCGAGTCTGCTCAACAAATCTCCACAACTTGAAACTTTGGTCCTCGAGGTGTTTTCTTGTAACATCATTTATTTTAATCCATTTCTCAATTTTAAACTATATATAAGCAGAGAATTAGTTATTAATTCACAACCCTAACTCTGTATTTGTGATGGTTGCTCATCCAGGGCTTGCATTGTATAAGTAGTGAGGGAGTCGACATTGATCCAAGGGAAGTGAAGGTGCTGGAGATACATGGGTTTAGAGGAAGTTTTGGAGAATTTAGACAATGCAAGCACTTTTTATGTCAAATGAAGCTTCTTCAAGTGATGAAAGTGGAAATTGATGCCGTTGGTGACAAGAAATTCCAAGTCACCAGTGACCTTCTTGCTCTTCCTTTTGCTCTTCCTTTTAAGCGTGCATCTAAATGCAAAATCCAGTTCTTGTGAATTTCACTTCCCCTCCAAGTTTAGTTTGGGTTTTGTTTTAGGTTTTTTTTTTTTTTTTGGCTTATTGCATTTTCAGATTTAGGAGAAATGGTAAACAAACTACGTTTTGAGTTGCGGTTATTTACAAGTGAACTAGGACAATAAAAAAAACAATTTCAACGATTGGTTCTCTCGTTCAGTTCCGGTACAAGCAAACAATCTTAATACTCTCTTTTTGTTTCTAATAATGTTACAGTGGCAAACAGAGGAAACAAACAGATCACATCAAACCATTGAATCAAAAGAAAAGACAAAACAGGTTTTTGGGTCTTTTTTAGTGCTTTGTGATTCTTTCAAGAACTTGGAAGTAGTCTGGGAAAGTCTTCCTGGTGCAACCTGGATCCTTGATGGTCACTGGAACATCACCACAAGCTGCGAGAGAAAACGCCATTGCCATTCTGTGATCATCATATGTATCAATCTCCGCCGGTTTCAGCTTTTCCGGTGGTGTTATCACACAATAATCTGAACCTTCTTCCACTCTAGCTCCAAGCTGAGACATAAACGAGCATTATAAACTGAGAGAGAGAACGCGAGAGAGAAAGAGAAGAATCAAAATTTTACCTTTCTCAGTTCAGTGCAAATGGCAATCATTCTTTCTGTCTCCTTTACTCTCCAGCTAGCCACTATATGTGACCAAATAGAATCAACTGACCATGAATCTTTCAAAAGAAAACATAATTTAAACAGAGAGAGAGAGAGGTTTTTCACTTACCATCTCTAATGGTGGTTGGACCATCAGCAAAGAGAGCAACAACAGCAAGAGTCATGGCCACGTCAGGCATTTTGTTCATGTTCACATCAACAGCTCGCAAGTGTCTCATTCCAAACGCATCTCTAGATGGACCTGTCACAGTCACACTGTTCTCTGTCCAAGACACTTTGCATCCCATTTTCTCAAGAACCTCGGCGAACTTCACATCACCCTGCAAGCTGGTTGTTCCACAACCTTCAACAGTGACAGTTTCACCTGTAATGGCAGCACCAGCCAAGAAATAACTTGCACTAGAAGCATCTCCTTCCACGTAAGCATTACCAGGCGACCTGAATCAAGTTTTGTCATTCTTTCGTCATTCAAAGAAACAAGAAAACAACTCTTACTTACTTGTATTTCTGACCTCCCTTGACAAAGAAACGATCCCAGCTCTCACTATGCTCAGCGCTAACACCGAAACGTTCCATCAACTTCAATGTCATTTCAACATACGGCACAGAGATCAACTTATCAATAATCTTAATCTCCACGTCTCCAAGAGCCAACGGAGCTGCCATGAGCAGTGCAGTCAAGTACTGACTACTGATTGATCCTGAAAGCTTCACCTGCACAAATGCAAGAAAATGTCAAATCAAGAAACCATATAAGGGAAAAAAGCTAATCATTTTGCAAAAAGATGTCACCTTTCCACCGGGAAGGCCACCATTAGCGTTGACACGAACAGGAGGGCAATCAGTACCTAACGTACATTCAACATCAGCACCAAGCTGCTTAAGCCCAACAACCAAATCACCAATAGGTCTCTCTCTCATCCGAGGCACTCCATCAAGAACATAGCTTGCGTTGCCACCAGCAGCAGTGACAGCAGCAGTAAGAGGACGCATAGCTGTTCCTGCGTTGCCAAGGTACAATTCGATGTCACTCTTGGAATCTACGGAAGCTGGGAATGTCCCGCCACATCCTTCAACAATCGCGCGGTTGTTTCCGCTGTCAATTTCCACGTTAAGCCCTAGTTTCTTCAACGCGTCGAGCATGTAGTTGATGTCGTCACTGTTCAACAAATTGTCCACCACTGTAGTCCCCTGTATGAAGCAGATTTGTTAACAAAAATAGGAAACAGAGAGAAGAGGATGAAGTCGAGTGATGTTATTATTAACCTCAGAGAGAGCGGCGAGAAGAAGGATCCGATTGGAGAGAGACTTGGATCCGGGTAGCTTGATGAGACCCGAGATTTGTCGAATTGGTTGAAGGACGATCTCCGACGCTTTCTCCGCCGTGGAAACAGAGGCCGTTACTCTCACCGGACGGATTTTGGAGCAGTTTAGCGTCGGCATCGTCACACTCTTCTTCAGTCCCCACGACGAAATCGGATAAGCTCGAGGCTGCTGCGACTTGAGCGAGACTGATAACGGCGATTTGCTTTGGTTGGATTTCGAGAGGTTGGAGGAGATGGCGATTGGGTTTTGCAGGCCATGGCAGATTCTACTAGCTTGCGCCATTGGAGAATTTCGATTGAAGCAAATCGAAAAATGGAGTTTCAGAAATAGTTGAGAAGATTGAGACTGTTGAAAGTTTTGATCTTTCCACTCACCTAACCCTCTGCCTTCTTCAAATTACCCAAAAAATTCAAAAAAGGATTATTGGCCTAATCAAATCAAATTACGAAAATCGAATTTATAAACTTTGTGTTTATATTGGCGGCTTTATAAACTTTCTTCAAATTACACACTTTTTAGGAGTTTGGTGAGAAAAGAGGCATCCATCAAAATCCTTCACCAACCCAACTCTTCGACTCAGGGATGATATGAGCATTTCTTTGTAGCCAATAAAAATGTGCCACGTTCCATGTATTTTTCCACGTCAGCTATTACAGAAAGCAAGTTGGAGTTTAACTAGTTTTGGACTTTAGTAGGTAAGAGAGAGCTTTTGTCCTGAATTAGGCTTCGACAAGGCCTTACCAACAAAACCCCATAAAATCATAAACAACTCATTTCGGATTTTTGGTGAATGTGGTGAATTTGGGATCATACGTTTTAGCGTAAAAAAACATTTTTTTTATTCAAGCACAAGAGTACAGATGTGTTGTTACAAATAACCAAATCTATGTTGAAATCTCAGAGAACTACAAGAAACCAAAAAAGAAGAAGATATTTTTCTTTTGTTTTGCTTTACATTATTTTATTTTGAAAAAAAAGAGGATAATTGGGAAAGTCTCTTCTCTTACATTCAAATCCACACCTCACCTCAAGATTTTCTTCAGATAAGTGACTTAGCTGCTGCAACCACAGCTTCAACGGTGAGACCAAACTCTTTGTAAAGCTTCTCTGCTGGTGCACTTGCCCCAAACGAATCAATCCCAATCGATTTCCCTTTCCCTCCAACAATCTTCCCCCATCCAAACGTGGATCCAGCTTCGATACTCACTCTAGCTGATACATCAGATGGCAACACACTCTCCTTGTACGCATCTGATTGCTCATCAAACAGTTCCCAACACACAAACGAAACGACTCTCACAGTCTTGCCTTCTTTCCTCAACTCCTCTCCAGCTTGAGCAGCGATCTCTAGCTCCGATCCAGTTCCGATCAAGATCACATCCGGTTTGTTACCGGTTGAGTTATCAGAGATGGTGTATCCACCTTTCTCCACGCTTTCAATGGATGTTCCTGGAAGTTGAGGAAGCTTTTGTCTAGACAAGGCCAACACAGAGGGTCTCTTACGTTTAGTGACAGCGATTTTGTATGCACCGGCTGTTTCATTCCCATCAGCAGGACGGAACATGAGAATGTTCGGCATGGCACGGAAGCTGGCTATGTGCTCGATAGGTTGGTGAGTTGGTCCATCTTCTCCAAGACCAATGGAGTCATGAGTCATGACGTAGATCACACCAGCTTCGGAGAGAGCTGCGATTCTCATTGCGGCTCTCATGTAGTCAGTGAACACAAAGAAAGTTGCGCAATAAGGGATGAAACCGGGGCTGTGAAGGGCAATGCCGTTGCAGATCGCTCCCATACCGTGTTCCCTAACACCAAACCTGAGGTTTCTTTCTTCAGGTGTGTCCTTTTGGAAGTTGCCCATTGCTTTGAGCAGTGTCATGTTGGACGACGCAAGATCAGCGCTGCCGCCAAGGAAACCGGGCACAACTTTCGCTAGGGCGTTAAGACATTGCTGAGACAGGTTTCTTGTAGCATCACCTGGAGACTCTGGTGTATATGTCTGACAAATGGAAAATTTGATTAGATCCATCACAAGCACACTGATTCAAGTTACAGATTATTATAAAGTTTTACTTACAGGAAGTGCCTTCTCCCAACCAGATGGCAATTCACCTGAGATGATAGATTTCAACTCTGCAGCTTCCTCTGGGTACTTCTTTTCATAAGCTGCAAACTTGGCATTCCAGTCGGATTCAAGAGCAGCGCCTTCAGGCGTGTGACGGCTCCAGTGACTATTAAGGAACATTTTAAATTACTAAAGCATGTTCCGTTTCCATTAACACATAAAGTAAACAGAAGTGTAGTTATCTTTTACTTACCTTTTGACATCCTCAGGTACCTGGAACGGCCCATATGGCCATCCAAGGTTCGTTCTGGTAGCCTCAACTTCTTTCTCACCAAGGGCAGCTCCATGGACACTGTATGAGTTTGCCTTGTTGGGAGATCCATAACCAATTGTAGTAGTGACCTAAACCATTCCAAAAACCAGTAAACACACCAAGGGCCTTGAGATCAAGCATTGCTTAATGGCGAACACAAATTTGTGAAAGATACCTTTATCAAAGTGGGCTTGTCTGTTACGGCCTTGGCTTCCTTAATGGCAGCACGTATTTCATCATACCCATTGTTCCCATTCTTTACCCAAATAACATGCCATCCGAGAGCTTCAAAGCGCTTGTCCACGTCCTCAGTGAAAGCGATCTCTGTGTCTCCGTCAATGGAAATGTGATTGTCATCGTAGAAAGCAATGAGCTTTCCAAGTCCCCAGTGGCCAGCTAGAGAGCAAACTTCATTTGAAATCCCTTCCATCTGACAACCATCTCCAAGAATCGAATATCTACACCCAAACCAAACAAGTTCCCAACATCAGAATCAAAACACAAACCAAAGAAAGATAATATTAAGCATTCAGAATCTCACGTGTAGTGGTCAACGATCTCATTGTCATGTTTATTGAATCTTGCAGCTAGATGCTTCTCAGCAAGCGCTAAACCAACTGCATTTGCAATACCTTGTCCAAGAGGACCTGCACGTTGGCAAAAGCAAACAATCCTATTACAAATATGCACTGTAATCGACATACACTGATCAATTCAACAGAAGCACTAACCAGTAGTGACTTCAATTCCAGGAGTCTCGAAATTCTCAGGGTGTCCTGGTGTCTTGCTTCCCCATTGACGGAATCCCTTCAAATCCTCCTCCTAGTAAACAAATCCAACACCATTTCAGCAATCGTAATTTTGTTCTACAATCCTATAAATCTCAGACTCCAAATCACCAAATGAGCAGCTTAACATCAAATCTAAAGGGATTCGAAATTAATCATAAGCAGAGTAAGAGATGACATACCCTGACGCTATCGTAGCCAGCGAGGTGAAGCAGAGCGTAGTGCAACATGCAACCATGACCAGCTGAGAGAACGAAGCGATCACGGTTAAACCAGTAAGGGTTCTTCGGGTTAAACCTCATGACCTCATCGAACAAAACGTGAGACATCGGAGCGCAGCCCATCGGAAGACCAGGATGACCCGATTTCGCCTTCTCAACCGCATCGATCGCCAGAAACCTGATCGTATTCACCGATTTATCAACCAGGGACGAATCGGTGGTTGTCTCGGCAGTCTTCGCGACGGAGGCGCGAACGAGAGGGCGGAGGGAGTGACTGCTTGCGGAGGCGATGCGTTGTCGACGAGAAGAAGAGGTGGCGCGTGGGGAAGCGGATCTGAGACCAGAGAAAGCTGGCACAGAGACGCACCTGTCAGAGCCATTTTGAGAGATGACGGCTCGGGTGAGGAGAGCTTGTGAGAGCGCTATAGAAGAAGTAGAAGCCATGGATGCTCTCTGAGGTTTGGTTGAGAGAGAGAGAGTGAGAAAACGAAGAAATGTTAGAGAAAGCTTCGATGCGACTTATATTTTGGGGGTGAGAGAGAGAGAGAGAGAGAGAGAGAGAGAGACGTGGAGACGTAGACCTATTCCTCTTATTTCACACTATTTAAGAGTGTTACTATTTTCGATGCTTTATGATATGTTTAATCAATTTATGTAATAGAAATGATATCACTTTTATAACAATTTTTGATAATTGATCTTAGTCAACAAGAGAAAAAGATGCGATATGAGTTGGTGTGTGAAGGAAAAAAGCCATGGTCATGCCAAGGGTTGGTGAAGAACATAATTGCTTTAGATTTAAGAAATACGTTAGAGTCACTGATCCACCAACTCCTGTCCCGGTTTCAATATTGGCCGGTCTAACCAGTCTATTCAATCAAATCAAAACTAAACCGGAAAAAGCTATTAGTCTTGTGCTTGTGCGTGTGTCTTTACTCTCTTTACATCATCTTGACTCGCTTGGTGCTTGAGGAGGAGTTTCTTAGACCTCTGCTGGTTACATTGTACGAAGCGGAAGCCGATGGAAGTGAAGGCGATTTGTCGATATACGCGTAACGCTCATCACCGTTCCAATACAGAATCACTCGGTTCGTGCACGAATGGGACCAGCTATCACCTAACGCAAGAGCTAACTGAAACGAACCATCGGTGTACTTTGTGGTCACCTGGTTTAACAACACAACCTGAGATTGGAATATGAGTCAAAATCATGGAGTTAATCCGGTTTAAGTGAAGAAAGAGTTGTGAGTTAGATAAAAATGCTTACAGCAAGTGAGAACTTTTTGGCAAGCTTCATAAACTTCAAAGCCATTTCGCTAAGCACTCGAGTCCTCTGGCCTAAGTCATCAAAGTCTTGACGGAAATGAAACGTGATACTGTCTACGATCACCACTTTAACCTGCAACAATCACAACAGATAAAAAGAGAGTCTTTAAGAATCTGTGTTTCAAATAAAAGATCAAAATTTTCTTTTATGACACCTACATCTTTGTTTTCAGAGATGAACTTGTCAAGATGATTAACCAACGCGATCTGCTCAGTGTAGCTGCAGACACGGAAGTAGAATATGTTCTCCAAGATATCTTCCGGTTTCATCTGCACTTGACTTGCTTTGAAATGCTTGTGCATCATGTATCCTGTGTATTCTTCCATGTCCTCTACACAAGCTTCTGCCATCTGTAAAGCACGCTCCACCATGAAGCTACCTTCTGTATCTGTATTAGCATTCAAAAGGAGTCAACAAACCAAGAAAAGTGATCATCTAACAAAAGTCATCATTACTAAAGAGACATACCGATGTATATTGCTTTCCCTCCAAGACCACCAAACTCACGAGGAATCTGAACATTCACAGAGAGCTGGATCCCAATCTGAGTCTTGCCAATCCCTGGAACTCCACCTGAAGATAACAAAGCCAAGATTAAGATTAAACCGGTTGGAGATATGGCCAGACTTGAACAGAGAAGGAAAGCAAAATGGAGATATGGCTGACCAATTTCAGTAACGTCTCTACAGCTTATTCCACCACCTAAGATGTTATCAAGATCAGAACAGGATGTTGTAATGCGCGGCAAAGACTCCTCCTCGTGAAGCATATCCCAAGCGTTTTTGCCTCCTTGTTTAGTAGAGTTCACAAAGAGATTCCTTCAGTGAATCACATATCAGAAGAACAAACACACACTAGAGCTCTTAAGGAGTTCATCATCAAGTTACCATTTATGAGAGAAGTGGTTCCATTGGATCCAGAGATTTGATTCGCCAGCTTCGAAATGTCTACTGCTTCCGCCTCTGTCATATCTACATCTGTAATCGAGTGTGGTTTACTATCAAATCAGAGCAAAACAGCATTTTTTGAAGATCTCTGTCGATTTCAGTGAGACCCAAAAACTCCGATACCAACAACAGATTACGATATACTGTGTAAGATTAGGGTGAAGCGGAAATTCACCTCGAGCGAGATCAGTGGAAGAGACGGAAGAGATCGAAGACAGAGAAGTATAACCGGCCGATATCAGCTTCCCTCTAATCGTAGACGATAACGGTAGCCTCGATGTCTCCATCACTCTGTAGTGTTTAGTCGCGAGTGAAAGTTTCTTAAATCGCCGGCGACTTTTCGCCGCCAAGGTATGTGTTGGCGCCATTAATAAGTAGAATGAAACCGGACACGGTTTAGATGAACCGGATATGAAGATAAGCAATTGACTTTACGAAAAAATTGATTTTTATAAATAACCGGAAAAGTGTTTGTTTTACAGTAGACACAATCTTTCTTCTACATTTGTGTTTGTTGCTGAAGAAGAGAATCTGCTCGGATGATTGAAGTAAGTGAAGGATGCATCCGAGCGGTTCTCAAAGAACGAGCTTCGCTTCTTCCTTCCGCGTACTCTTCTCCAAGAGGCCACCTCGGTCGAAGATCAAACTACATTCATCACAAAAGTTAGAATCTTTTCAAATTTTGAAACAGTATCGAGTTTTGTTTGAAGAACGTACCACGTAATCGTCAGGTTCGTTTGCTGGAGGAGGTGGATCGTATCTTCCTACACGAAAATGCTCGAGACCAGTCCAAGCCACCATCACTCCTGTAAAGATTGATTCATTTTATATTCCCTGTATCAGCTAATTTTGATGAGCAGGAGAATGTCAAATTCGACTTACCATTGTCTGTGCAAAGGCTAGGAGGAGGGCAAACAAGTTTCAAGTTTTTGTTTTCGACAATGTTATCAAGTCGAAGTCGTACATATTGATTCGAAGCAACACCACCAGAGACTACCTGAAGATTTAGTCAAAGAATTAGTCTTAGTCTTGTCAAGAGAAACATTCTTTCTTCATTTGAGTCTCACCATATGTTTTATACAAGGCTCTAGTTTTAGTGCCCAGTCTATTGCTCTCTCACACTTCTCCTCCAGATGCAAAACAGCTACTCGCTGGTTCATATAAACCGAAAATGTTTTAGAGATTTCATTTCACAAGAACATTGATACCAAAGATTGATTTTTACCTGGAAAGAAGCGGCGATATCAGCTCGGTTTCTTCTGTCTTCGTTCGTTGCAGAAGAGACAGGACACTTCCCATCTCTGCACATCCAGTAAAAACACCATTACTTCTCTAGCATAAAGCTTACTCATATGTGACATCAAAACTCAATTAAACGTTACATTTCTTTGGCTTCAATGGCTAGCCTCACTTGTGTCTTCAAGCCAGCGTAAGAAAAGTTGCAATCTTTATGATGTTTCATTGGAACCTGATCAAAACAACAGAGATTTTACATAAATGACGCAGACAAATCAAACGAGCGAAACTAGTTTTCACTCACTTACATTAAACTTAACAGAATTTGCATCACCCTCAAGAGCAAGTTCTTCAACAGCTGGTCCACCACTTCTTCGCATATCAAGGCCGAGCCATTTTGCTGTCTTGTCGAATGCCTCGCCTATAGCATCATCTACTGTAGTCCCAAGTTGTGTGTACTGTCCAAGCTCATGCGCAAGAACTATAATATTGTGCCCTCCTAAAAACTACAGCTTTAGCAACCAATTAAGAAATTGATTCTGCTATTAGAAACCATTTAAGAAATTACCTGATATAAGCAACGCCATGAAAGGAAAACTTAATTCCTGTTCCACTAATCTAAGCAAACAAATCAAAAGCTCATGAGCAATTCTTCAAAGATCTCAAGTCTGAAGTAAGCACATTAAGCAATACCTCGCTACAAGAGCATGAGCCTCCATGTGATGCACACCGACTATTGGAAGATTGAAGCTACCAGCAACTTTCCGAGCCTTCCGTACACCAACTACATAACTCAAAAAGAAAGACACTTTTTATCTTAATTCTCTAATGACACTTAAGAATGAAGAGTTTTTTTTCTGTAACTTACCGCGTAGACAGAGGCTCAAGCCAGGTCCAATGGTAACAGCAACAGCAGAGAGGTCCTTCTCGGTCAAATTGGCTCTATCAAGTGCTTCTTGCACAACCTACAACCATTGAACACACATTATTTTGTCTCTCTGGGCAAAGGAAGCAGCTGAATCATTGTATTTTGATGCAAGCAGAAGAAAAGTCTTATACTATTACCTTATCGATGACCCGAGAGTGTGCTTCTTCAGCCTGTTTAGGAGCAACGCCTCCATATTGAGCAAGCAAGTCTGCCTTAATGTTGTCAATTCCCAAATCAGAACAGGTCGAAACTTTACTAATCATATCAAAGAATCATTCTGAATCCAAATTTCCGAAAGAGAGTAGTAACAAAGAAATTGCAGAGGTAGAGCAAAGTAACGATCTTTACCTGAGACGAAATGACTTGACTTAGAATTTCACCATTCCCTCTCACCTTTGAAAAAACCGAAAATTTCAATATCAGAAAACTTCAGTGAACCAACATCAGTGAAGTAATAAGTGAAATTGATTAAATGGGCTTACGACAGCAGCGGCAGTGTCGTCGCAGCTAGTTTCAATGCCCAGAACGACCAAATTATTATCATCAAATTTCGAAGTTTCCATTTTGGGTAAGGAGGAAACTCTTGTTGCGGTAGAATAAAAACGTGAAGTATGAAAACTTGATGAAGATGGAGGAGAAGTTAGCGAGAAAGTCTGGGTTTTGGTTTTAAGCTGATGCTTTCGGTGTTTCTGTAACCTGAGAGTAGGAGACGTCGCGAGAAAATAGATTCCGGGGAAAATATTCAATCGGGAAATCGCCGGAGAACGTGTAAGAAACAGTCCAACCATTTTCACCGACGGAATGAGAGAGAGAAACTGAATTACGGCGAGGGGTTGGAGAGAGACCCAATCCGGTTTAATCCAAATCGAACCGAGACAAAAATCAACTGATTCGATTTCATTTGACTATAATCGAAACTAAAACCACCTTAAACCGTTCGCAATCGAAGAAAACCGACATAGTTGAACCGATTCGGAACCCTCTGTCTGAGTTAGAGAGGTTCGAATATGTTGAAATAATGAGCTCTACCATTTCGTCTTCTTTGGTTCACTTATTATCGAATTCCTTTTTCTGTATCTCCTTCATCTCCGCGGCTAAATCTCCGGCGACGGATCCGGCCGAGAGCTTCAAGTTTCGTTTTCCTCTACTCATTAGCTGATTGAAGTTAGTTGACGCGGAGCTTCTTCTTCTTTCTCCATAGTAAATACACACGGGAAGCAAATCCAGGTGAGCTCTTTCGTTTCCGATCTGTTTCTCTAGATGCAGACTGGAATTAAATTACACCAGCTCTTTCTCTAAACCCCAAACTTAATCCCCAAACTTTTTGAAAATTTCTGGAAATTAACACTGTATGAAGATCTTTAGGGTTCGTAGTCTTCAATATCCAGATGCCAGATTCTATATCAAAATTTTATGAAAAACAACACTGTATGAAGCTAGTTCAAATCTGCTCGTCTGATATGGTTTCTGTTGTTTAGTTAGGAGAAGACGGGTTAAAGTTTCAAGCTTGGCATTCCTCTGAATCCGTCTTTTGGTCTGTGTCTGTCTGCTCTTCTGGGGTATGAACAAAGCGGCGGTCTCAGGAGCTATCGAATCAAGTTTCTCTTTGCCTGATGCAGTTGGTACGGAAGCTCTAAATATGCAGAGGAGCAGTGGCATCAATAACATGCGTATCCCAACATCACCATTGTCTTTCTCCTCGAACAACATAAACTCTCCGGGCTCACTGGTTCTTGATGGCTCTGCTTCAATGCAACACTTGTCTCAGCAGCAGCAGCAGCAGCAAGCAGGGCAAGGCTCTGTTCAAATGAGGGAAAACAATTACAACCATGTGGATAAGAAACCTAGATTAGAAGTGAAGCAAGAGGACATGTTGCAGCAGCAGATTTTACAGCAGTTGATCCAGCGTCAGGACCCCACGGGAAGGAATCCGCAGTTGCAAGCTTTGCTTCAGCAGCAGAGAATGAGGCAACAGCACCAGATTCTTCAATCCATGTCGCCGTCTCAGAGACTCCAGCTCCAGCAACAGCAGCAGTTGAGGCAGCAGTTGCAGCAACAAGGCACTCAACAGATCCCTCCTAACGTTCGTCCTTATGAAGCTGGCGTCTGTGCTCGGAAATTGATGATGTACTTGTATCATCTGCAGCAACGACCTGCTGTAAGTTGATAATCTCATCTGTGGAATGTTGGTAATTTTGTCACGTCTATTCAAATTCTCCCATCACTGATACCTTTTCCCTGTAGGAAAATTGCATTACGTATTGGAGGAAATTTGTGGCAGAATACTTCTCACCTCGTGCAAAGCAAAGGTTGTGCTTGTCACAGTACGAAAGTGCTGGGCACCATGCGCTTGGCATGTTTCCACAGGCAGCTCCGGTTAGTTTCTTCTTAGCTCTGTGTGTGCTGATTTTTTTATGGTATTAGTGTTCTATGTTTACTTCACCTTTACTATATCTGAATCTCACTAGACTGATTTTATTATCTTCTCATTTTGTTTGCAGGATATGTGGCAGTGTGATCTTTGCGGCACCAAGTCTGGAAAAGGATTTGGTAAGAGCGTTGGAAGTTTTATTCTAGTGTGTACTTGTATTTCATTGCCTTCACTTGAGCACAATGAAGCAACTTCCATATGCAAAAAGGCTCTCTTTTTTTTATGTTTAAACATCAATGTAGTAGCTAAACTTTCATCTTCTCGTGTGAAATCTGCAGAGGCAACATTCGATGTGCTAGCCAGACTTATTGAAATCAAATTCGCGAGTGGCATCATTGACGAGCTCTTATATCTGGACCACCCACGAGAAAACAGATTTTCGAATGGAATGATGATGTTAGAATATAGAAAAGCAGTTCAAGAAACTGTACACGAGCAGTTCCGCGTTGTCCGTGAAGGCCATCTTCGTATCATATTCTCTCAAGATTTGAAGGTATCTAGAAAATTCTCTGATTGTAACATGTATAGCGAAGTAACAGTCAAATCGCCACTTTGCTAATGTGCTTGGCTAATATTGACTTTGCTTCTTTCTAGATACTGTCTTGGGAGTTTTGTGCTCGGCGTCATGAAGAGCTTCTTCTCCGAAGACTTATTGCTCCTCAGGTCCTATTCTGATGACATGAACTAAATATTAAAGTTGTGGTCACCTATATTACGTTGTCTGTTTAGACCCCTGGTTTTTAATTTGAGGATAGCTAATACCCAGTTTCCTTAAACATCTGAATGTGCTTATAAATGTGATTATCTTCTGATTTACTATGAATATAAAAACAAACTAGTGTATGTGATGTAACTACTGAACAGAAGTTTAGACATGCTACATTGTTATTGGAAAGTGTATTGAGAAGTTATTTTTTGGTCATGCAGGTGAACCAGTTACTTCAGGTTGCACAGAAATGCCAGAGCACGATTTCGGAGAGTGGGTCTGAGGGAGTTTCCCAGCAGGATTTACAGTCAAACAGTAACATGTAAGTGGATGCAGACTATTCGTTTATTGTCGATGCTTTGGCATTTGTTTTTGGTGGTCTATATATCATTGTTGGGTGCCACTTTATGTGTCAGGGTCTTGGGAGCAGGACGGCAGCTGGCAAAATTCATGGAACTACAGTCACTGAATGATCTTGGCTATCCAAAAAGATATATCAGAACTCTACAGGTACTTCATTAGGTCCTTTCCTAGCTGTTACTTTTGTATTTGAAAGTCTTGAGAAGTCCTAATTGCGAGTGACAGATATCTGAAGTTGTCAAGAGCATGAAGGATCTGATGAATTTCACTGGCGATAACAAAATCGGCCCTATTGGTAAGTCCACAATTCCTATCCACAACACTCTTCTTGAATGTAAACGTGTCAACACCTGCTTATGTCTCTTTTATGTAGAGGGGTTGAAACGACTTTTGGAACAGACGGCGACAGTGAAGCTCCAGAGGCAAAAAATGCTAGAGATGGAGCAGTTGGGAACCAATGCAACCATGAATGGACCAGCTCAAGCTCAAATGGCTATGAATGGACCTGCTCAAGCTCAAATGGCAATGACTCCGGGAACGATGAACGGCCTAACGGGCAACAACAACAACAACAACAACAACTCGAGCAATCAGCAGCAACTTGTTGGTCGAGGAGCTATGAATGGCTCAGCACAAGCGGCGGCAGCTCTGACCAACTACCAGAGCATGCTTATGAGGCAAAACGCTATGAACAACCCGAACCCAAACTCAAATACTGGGAAACAAGAAGGGTTCTCGAGTCCTCAGAACGCAACCCCAAACTCAAGCCAGAGTCCATCTTCTTCGTCCCATCAGCGGCAGAACTTGGCAACAGGTGGATTTCCTAGCTCTCCTCAAATGCAACAAGTGGACATACTTGACGAAGATTTTTACTATTCCCTCTCACATTGAAAAAAAAACAAAAATTTCCTATATTAGATAACTTCATTGAAACTAACATCAGTGAGCTTATAAGTTCCCAAAGTAAACAACAATGACACAAATAGATTTGGATCGAACCGTTTCACAAACGAGTGAGAGAAGCTGAAGTAAATCCGGTTTAATCCAAATCGAACCGAGACAAAATTAACGGATTCGATTTCATTTGACAAGAACCGCAATCGAAACCATCTTGAACCGGTCGCATTTGAAAAAAAAACAAACTGAAATAATTGAACCGATTCGGAGCACGTTGAAATAAGGAGCTTTACCATTTCGTCTTCTTTGAGTTCACTTCCTATCAAAGCATTCCTTTTTCTGTATCTCCAAATCTCCGGCGAAGGATCCGGCCGAGAGCGCTTGATGTTTCGTTTCCCTCCACTTATTTGGCGTGAAAGCTGATTGAGGCGGAGCTTCTTCTGTCTGCTTAGTAAACACACGCACGGAAGCAAATCCAGGTGAGCTCTTTCGTTTCCGATCTGTTTCTCTAGATACAGTGGAAATTACACCAGCTCGTTCTCTAAACCCCAAGCTTAATCCAATTTTTTTTTGAAATTTTCTGGAAATTAACACTGTATGAAGATCTCTAGGGTTTGGTGTTTTCGCATTTTCCATAGCTTCCTAGTTTGCAATTATTGATGCCAGATTTTGAAACTTTCTGGAAACTAACACTGTATGAAGATCTTTAGGATTTGATATTTTCGCATTCTCCATAGCTTCGTAGGCTACAGTATCCAGATGCTAGATTTTATACCAAAATGATGATTCTCTTCTAGATCTGTAAACACAAAAGCTTCTATTTCTGTTTTTTTCTGGATTTTTTTAAGTTGAATCTGCTGCTCAACAATTTCGTTTTTGCAGGGGAAATTTGGTGAGCACTGTGTTGTTTATCTGAGAATCAATTTTGTGTGGTGGTTTCAACTATGCTACCAAGTGGGTTGAAAGAAACCCAACTCCGAGAGAGCAACAGCAACCAGAAGGTCCATCCTCAACCAATGGAAGAATCAATCAACCAGAATCCAGAAGCTATGGAAGCACTCATCTCCAATCTCTTTGGAAACATCTCTTCTTTGAAATCAGCTTACATCGAGCTCCAAAGTGCTCACACGCCTTATGATCCGGAGAAGATTCAGGCAGCTGATAAAGTTGTCATCTCTGAGCTCAAGAACCTTTCGGAGCTGAAGCATTTCTACAGAGAGAACAACCCCAAGCCCGTGTGTGTCTCTCCTCAAGACTCTCGTTTAGCTGCAGAGATCCAAGAACAGCAGTCTCTGTTGAAGACTTATGAGGTTATGGTGAAGAAATTCCAGTCTGAGATTCAGAACAAGGACTCTGAGATCACGCAGATGCTGCAGAAGATCGAGGAAGCGAACCAGAAACGTCTCAAGCTTGAGAAGAATCTTAAGTTGAGAGGAATGTCTACAAACGAAGCTTCTTCTGGTGGTGGAGATGGCAATCTGCAGTTTCCTGACTTAACCACCGAACTCTTTGTATCTACCTACGAGGCTGCTTCGAAAGCCGTGCACGACTTCTCCAAGCCGCTGATCAACATGATGAAAGCTGCGGGATGGGATCTTGACTCTGCAGCAAACTCCATCGAGCCTGACGTTGTTTACGCCAAGAGGCCTCACAAGAAGTACGCTTTTGAATCATACATATGCCAAAGAATGTTCAGTGGGTTTCAGCAGAAGAGTTTCTCAGTAGATTCAGAGAGTGTTGTGGGGGATGATGATGACACAGAGAGCTTCTTCAGCCAGTTTCTTGCTTTAAAGGACATGGATCCTCTAGATGCTCTAGGTACGAATCCGGATTCAAATTTCGGCAAGTTCTGCAGGAGCAAGTATCTCATCTTGATCCACCAAAAGATGGAAGCTTCTTTCTTTGGGAATCTAGACCAGCGTGACTACGTGGCGGGAGGTGGACATCCGAGGACTGCGTTTTACCAGGCATTCTTGAAACTGGCGAAGTCGGTATGGATCTTGCACAGGCTTGCGTACTCGTTTGATCCAGCGGCGAAGATATTCCAAGTGAAGAAGGGAAGTGAGTTCACTGACTCGTACATGGAGAGTGTTGTGAAGAACATAGTTGTGGACGAGAAAGAAGAGAACCCAAGAGTTGGTCTTATGGTCATGCCTGGGTTTTGGATTGGTGGTAGTGTGATTCAAAGCCGAGTTTACGTTTCAGGTGTGAAGGTCGTTGAGTGAAGTTTTCGACCTTTCTACAGTTCTAATTGTAAAATATTTGTTATCATACAAAGATGCTGATTTGGTTAAATGAATTTCAGTTTGAGCCTTCTCTTTTTTTTGTTATCTTCAATACAGTATTCAGTATATATCATCGCTCGCTCTTTCTGTTTGTTTATGTTTTTTCTTCGGCCAGTCCTTACATATCAATCACATATACAAGACGTGGAACAAAAGACAAGTCACCCCAAATGCCCATTTATTATGAAGGAAGTTTTGTAGGTGAATTTTCAGTTGAAATAAAGTAATGAACACTCAACAAAAACACAAGGGACATGGAATACGAATCAACCTTTTGAGACACAAAAGCAAGATAGAGAAAATGTTGTATAGAACTAAGAAGAATTTGTACGTAAGAAAAAAAAAAAAAAAAATCAAATTTCTTTGCGTTCTTTTGAAATCAAGAAAAAAAAAAGTAAACAATAACATACATCCTTCAAATAAACTCTTTTGGATTCTATCAAATGTCATTTTTGGTCCCTAAATCACTTAAGCATCCAAGGAAATACGGGAGGTGACGAAGGAAGCCTAGCTGTCAAAACCTCAACACCTGTCTCCGTGACCTGCAAAAATGTACGTTAGACTTTGATTGTAGACAAAACTGATCTTTTTTTTCAGTAACTCAAAAAAATAAAAATTGTACAAGTATTTACCAAGAGAGTATGCTCAAACTGAGCACTGCGTTTCCCATCTGCAGTAACTGCAGCCCATCCATCAGGCCATGTGCGATCCCTCCACGACCCTAACATCACGATATTATTATGTTTATTAACTGGAGAAACTCACCAAGTACTAGGCGAAAAGTTTAAACATCCACCGAATTTGAAGAAGAAGACAAAAAAAAACTCACCTGCGTTGATCATTGGCTCGATTGTGAAAGTCTGACCTGCTTTCATCACTCCAACTGCTTTGTTTCCTGATTTTGGGGTTAAGGACATTTACACTGGAATAGAACAACATTAACACGTACTAAACTCTAATGTTAAGCAATCTTGAACCAAGTCATAAAAGGATACTTGCATAGTGTGGAATGTTTGGGGCGCAATGGAAGAGATCCCCAATACCATGACCACAATAGGATCTCACCTGTTTAACCAACCACACCACAGAGTTAGTTTTTATTATCTAGACGAAGCTTCTACAAACATATCATGTAATCCTATTTGTAGGCACGCAAGACATTACCACTGATAACCCAGACATTGTAGCATGGCGGTTGACTATCTCTCCGATTTCACGAAATCTAACTCCAGGTTTAACTGAAAGGAGACAAAAGAAAGAAAACCATACAAAACTCTCACCATCTCTATGTGACGTAAATTACAGACGAAAGCTAGGGACAGGTGAAACTTGAGACCTACCAATTGCTATGGCCTTTTCCAGGCACTCGTATGTGCATTTGACAAGTTGAAGTGATGCTTCGTCAACATTTCCAACAAAGTATGTCTCATTCAGGTCACCTAAACAATAAATCATTCCATGAGACAGAATATCTCTAACAAGTAACAAATAATACTATAGATAATCAAGTATGTAACTTACCGTGGCAACCTTTATAACAAACTGTTACATCAACATTTACTATATCGCCATCTTCTAGTTTTCTTGCATCCGGAATCCCATGACAAATGACTTCATTAACAGATCTGAAACGAAATTTTCAAAAATATACACTTTAGAAAGCAGAGGGGAAACATGTAGAGGTCATAATGTAGATACAAAAGAAGTACCTACGTGCAACAAGATTTGGGAAAGAAGTAGTAGTTGAGTGGTGATGGATATCCTCCTGCCAGAGCACAAGTTTGTATAATAATGGTTACAATGCTGCTGTGATGAAGTTGAATGATTCGATTCCGAAAAGGATAAGAAAAATTGAAAGATACAAACCTCTTGCAATAGTTGCTTCATGAACAACTCGATCAATCTCATCAGTTGTAACACCAGGGCGAATCACCCTAGCTGCTGCATCCAATACCTCCCTGGCAATCTGATTACAGAATCCATTCACGTAAGAGCCTTGAAAAAATATCAGATAATGGAAATGTAGACCACTGGTTTTGGGCAGAAAATAACACTAACTCTGCAGGTTTCACGCATTCTCTGAATTTGTTCAGGCGTTTTTATCTACAATGCAAGTACAAAAACCTTGTTAGTCGTAAGTGGTAAAGATGAGTATCAAATGAACCAAATATATACAGCAGTGAGACATAAGAGTTGAGATCACAGCTCCGGATTTAAGTCAGCTAAATGAGCAAAACATAATGTATTAGTATTAAAGCATCACTAACCTCAAAAACATGTTGAAGATCACTATTTGGTTCAATTTTAGGAGTCCCCTGGATGTGAAAAATGGAAGAAATTTTGTTAGCATCATATAACAGGGAATAATTTGAAACTATCAACTCATTGCAAAACAATGTAGAGCTACAAGATTGTTATCTAATGTGTAAGTGTTGAGACTAAGCCATTCTTATCTTAGCTAAATGATCTTATTCCAACAATCAAACTCGAACAGAATCAGGTTCAACTTTGCTAGTAGTAGAGTAGTAATGCAGGAGAAAAAATAAATCTACATCACAAAGTGACAGTGACTTACATCAATTGCCCAGTCAGGTTTTTCAATCTCAGCAGGCACAAAACGCTTGGTAGATATGGGATATTGCTTTAGGGGCCTGCACAGCGCAATGAATATGAATTTATGATTCGATTTGTATCCCTCAGAGCTATCTTGAAGGAAGAACAGAGAAGATGAAGAATAACAGTGGAGGAAATGTTGGTTACAAACCCTGTCCAATCAAAGTGTGGAAGCTTAGCTGTTCTAGCCTGCCCTTTCTTCACGCAATACAGCCAACCTTGAGAAATCAGATCAGAATTCTCATCACCGGGAACGGCAAGTGATTTCACATGTACTGATTTGTGTGAGCTCCAAGCTGCTTTGAAACACTCTTGAGTGCTGTTACCATAAAAATCAACAGAAGGAAAGATTAAAACCTTGAAAATGAATTCGTCAATAACAAGTTGGGAGATTCGCCGATCAAAAAAAGGATAATAGAAGACATTACCAGAAAGAAGCTGCTTCACGAGGAAGCTTCAAATCCATGCATTTCGGACACCTTTGAGCATAAGGAAACAGATAAATTAGCGTTGACAGATAGCTTGACTAGTCCAATTCGTATCAAAAAGTCCCAAAAATCATGAAATTTCAGAAGAAACCGACGAATCAATCAATAACACTTGAACTGAAGTGAAAATCAGCATCTCTACCTAATTTGTTATCGAAACCATCCAGAAACATTGAAATTCGGAGCTAAATCAACACCAACTATGGGAGTCAAATTCAAAGGAAAGAAGAATTACGTACTGAAGATGCGCTGGCTTCTCGCAGCGAGCACACAATAGCGTAGCGATGTTCGACGCATCTGATTCACCGGCCATTCAATCCCTTTTGAGTCTCGTCTCTTTAGCTCAAAATCAGCGCTGCGATTGAAGAAATGGGTAATCAGACGAAACTCTAGGGTTTATCGGAAGATAGTTGAAAATTAACATCCTTCAGACGACGCCGTTTTCTTAGTGTTTTCTTTACAGGGTTGAAATTAATTAAAATGCCAATTGTCATTTAAACCGGGTCGGTTAACAAAAATAGACGGCTTGATACGGAACAATAAATACAAGATTGGTTCTCGTAAAAAAAAAACAAGATTGGTTCCATGACGTCGTTTTATATTATTGAAATAGCTTTTGATCCAAAAGATTTTGCAAACCAAATAATATACGTATGTGTCAACGTCCGATTCGGTCGATGTGTCGAAACAATGCATAATACTGTAATCAGATGACAACTTCCAAGTTCCAAATGTGGAACTAAACCGGGCTTTAAATTGCCAAATCTATGGACAGGAAATGATTCGAACCGATCGAGGTTGGCTAGTCAACGAAGATCAGCAGCCATCTAGATAGGTCAACAATATAACCATATGAATGTGGAATTATGGATTGTGGCTACAGGTACATGCACTTATATGCATACCGTTTGTCTAATCAAGTTGCATTAATCGGTGATTAATAATAAAAAGCTTTCATTGTTCGTTGATATTATCAACTAATGTGATTTGGTAGCAGAACTTATAGCTTGATATCCCAGATTATAAACTATCGTAAATGTTATACTGTTGCTGATAACATGAGAATCAGTGTGTCAACATAGTGTCTTTTTCCATTATTTCTCTTAAAACGTGAATTGTAACTCAGATCGATACTTAATTTAGGATGCCCTCTATTAGATTCTTGGATGTTTTATATTATTTGAAACAGATTTGATTTACGTAAATAATAATTAAAGTAGAATCAGTTGATCGGAGTACATAAGATAACTTGAAGACTACGAATCACGAGTCTCCTCATGCATGCCAAGAGCTAAACGCCTAAAGCCTGCATGTGGTATGATGGGACTGGCTAATTACTATTCAAAGGTTGGAATATAGAGGACTAGTTTTGTTAATGGAATATGTGTAGCAGAATTTTCGGTAGTTGAAGACATTATTATGAAGATATTTTGTAAATGAATTTATCAGAAACCTAGACCCAAAAACAAATTGATAGTTGAAGTTGAACGACCGGAAAAATTCTATATCACAACTCTATCATATTTTACCCTTATCAAAGGTATGAAAAGTTATAACTAATTTACTACCAGTTTGCTGCAAAGAAAAAAATGGTACTTAATTCATTTAAATACGTTGCAAATTTTATATATAAGTTTCATATGATGTAGCAAAACTATTATCATTGGTCAGATTCAGCGAAATCCGGCCACCAATAACCTATGATTACAAGAAAAAATATAAACTTATATCTGATGCTATTAAAGAAATAAAATAAATCAGAGAGGAATAACGGCACAATCTAAAATAATTATGATCAAGGACAAAAAACGAAGACAGCCAAACAAAGTCTTTGCGGGCCACAAACGGAAACTTGAGTTATAAGAAATCAGTACCTATACTAAACTATTATGGATATTCAATCTCAATAGTAAAAGTTTTAATATTCGTGATTCGTACGCCCTTCCGATAACGAGGTTTTAACGATCTTTAAGTCTAGCTATTATTGCTACAACCTACAACTACTTGTACTTCTTTTCTTTTGCGTGAGGATTTTAAAAACTAACGTGTATCATATACAACAGCTAGCATATTCATATGAATATAGGTGTTGATTGCTTAATATAGGTCTTATTTGGCATGACTGGTTCATTTTTTTTTTTTTTGATAAATTGGCATCATTGGCATGACTGGTTCATGTACGAATTATATCAGTATCGGCTTAGATTGATTTCTACAATTTTGCTAGATCGTTTAGTTCATGTTGCTTGAAGATTATATTATTATTCAGTTATTTTTACATTTTATTCTTTTTCATTTGATCAATATGAATTTTCAATGACGATCGTGTGTATAATAATGTGCCCCTATGGATGTCCAAAAGAAGAACAAAAAAAGTGTCTCTATTGAGGTGAGAAATGTCGTCAAACCGATAGTTGTTTTAGATAGTTTGTAATATATTCATGATGTAATTTTGTCAAAACAGTAGTTAGATTGTGATAGTACTCAATTTGATGATTACCTCTCTTCACACATTGATTTTATATTTATTTTTTAAATTCTAAAGAAGAAATCTCTGTGGATAATTCCCGAAAAGACCAATTAACGTCCATAGGTCAAATCACATCGTTCCTTCATCATCAAATCGAAAAATAAGAATATTAATTAACATCGATCGTTACCAATAAAATAAGGAACGTTTTATTTTAGGTCGTGCTTAGAAAGTCAACTTAAACCAGATGATAATGTTGGTAATCTACCCATAGATTGAAACATGTCTACGTTTTCTGCTAGTTTCTGTAACCTCGTTTCTTCCGTCGTTGTTACGTGTGACGCAGGCTTTCTTTGAACGGCGACGTTTTTCAGGAATTCAGAGCTTGTATGATAAGTAAACCATTCAAAATAAGTCTACTAAATCAATGTAAAAATTAAAAAACAATAGCTCTTCTTGGATTAATATTAACCCTAAACAAATAAAAAGTCTAGTTAAGTGAGCACATAGGAATGTAAATTGACGATGATGGTGCCTTTCTCATTATTGGTTATTGATTCTTATTCTTAACTTATAAATTACATATTATATATAAACTCACTACACTAGACCCAACTAATTTTAAATTGCAATTTGTAAGTATCAATATTACGTTAGTTGGTTATCAATTCTCATTAATTTTAATGTTGACGGACAATTTTCTAGTATTCGAAACATATATGGCTGTGCATTGCATGCAACCAATTCTTCAACCACTCTATGTATTCAGATTTTGGATGGATAAGATCATTAATATCTTTTTGCATTTTAATATTAGATGACCAACCAACCATCGCTAGAGTCTTACGTACCCTCGATTAATTTCCTTAACAACTTATTTTAGTTTAAACGAAGTTGACAACGTTTTTTTTTTTTTTTTTTTTGAGTAACTAAGTTGACAACGTTTAAAAAACTTTTCCACCAGCTCGGAGATTTCATTGTTCGATTCTACCACACAACACAAAAAAAAGAATATAAATCACTTCAATCTATTCGAACACGAACTTTAGCCCCAAAAGTTTTATCTAATATGCTTTTTAAAAAGGATCTGTTAGATATGCTGATTCTAAAGTTGGACGCTATTGCTCAAAATGTATATGTACTCCCGCATTTTTTAACACCTTTCCGTTTATTTCAACTAGAGGTACATACTCAGTAATTATGTTTTGACTTTTGATGTGATTATATAATAAGAGTGTGCCAATTTCAAAATGCTTATTATTCGCTGGGGAACAACGTGAACACGTAATAGATTTAAACGGAATCTATATAGAGAAAAGGTATCCCTTTAATTTATACACTTTCGCTGTTATGGTTTAAAATACTTTAATTCAAGAAGATAAAGAATTGCTTTGATATTTTCTAGAATATTGTGCAAAATGGCTAGTGGTCCTATACCGTGCACTTAGAGTAAGCGAGTAATGTATATTGACGAAGGAAACCAAAACAAATTCGAAGTTGACGAGACGTCAACGGTTGATTAGTCTTTAATTTGTGGATAACTGGATAGCGATTACACTCTCTACCTTACCTGCATATATTTTATTGAAGTTACAACTACATAAATAAACCAAACTAATAAAAAATAAATTGTTAAAACCAAACTAATTAAATAGAGGCATGACTTTGAGAGTTTGTATGATTTCTTCTCTTATAGACTTTGAATATTCGACTTTTGAACATTCGATGAGTTTAACTCCCAAAGACGCGTATATGCCAATAATGTTATTGAATCTCACAACTCAACTTTGATAAACTAATAGCTGGAAACAAATATAGAAAATTCGTTAAGTCGTTTGTTCATGGTATAACATTTAAGTCGTTTCTAAGACCTCGTGTGCAAAATTCGATTCAGGACTAATTTATTTTGGTTTTCAGAATGAGATTAATTTGGCATTAATTTGTCACCTAGTTAAATTACAGCTTGATATTATTATACGTCAAAAAAAGGTAGCCAAACAAGAGAAGAACCTACTTCAACATACGGAATATATGACGGCCTGATGGTTACCAATATAATCCATTGGTTGGTATAGACATAACATACTTTTATTTTCTTGCTTCAACTATATGTAATGAAATTCCTTATTAGTTTATTTTAATTATTTAATGAAAAAGCACCCATACCTCTATATAAACACATCGATTCAAGACATCCATCTCATCATCCAATACTCTTTCAAACATCGCTTCTCAAAACATTTGGTCTTGGTCTTACAATGGCTTTTCGAGTTTATACTATTACCTTTCTATTCTTATGCATTTTCGTGGCATCGACCGTTTCGGGTTACAACTCGAAAGACGTGAAAGCGTGGTGCAGCCAAACTCCAAACCCTAAGCCCTGCGAGTATTTCTTAACCCAAAACTCAAACACAAAACCCATAAAATCCGAATCCGAGTTCCTCAAAATCTCAATGAAACTAGCTCTAGACCGAGCCATACTCGCCAAAACCCATACGCACACACTCGGACCAAAGTGCCGCGACACACGTGAAAAAGCTGCTTGGGAAGATTGTATCAAGCTCTACGACTTCACAATCTCGAAAATCAACGAGACGATGGACCCAAACGTGAAGTGCTCGAAAACCGACGCCCAAACATGGCTCAGCACGGCTCTAACCAATCTCGACACTTGTCGAGACGGGTTCTTAGACCTCGGTGTCACCGATATTGTCCTTTCTTTGATGTCAAACAACGTCTCAAACCTTATATGCAATACACTCGCCATTAACAAAATTCCATTCAACTATACCCCACCCGAGAAAGACGGGTTCCCTTCGTGGGTCAAACCTGGTGACCGGAAGCTTTTACAAAGCTCAACGCCGAGTGATAATGCTGTGGTGGCTAAAGACGGCTCTGGCAACTTCAAGACGATAAAAGAAGCCATTAACGCTGCTTCGGGGAGTAGGTTCGTGATCTATGTGAAGCAAGGCGTCTACAGTGAGAATCTTGAGATCCGAAAGAAGAATGTTATGTTGAGAGGCGATGGTATAGGAAAGACGATTATTACCGGAAGCAGAAGTGTTGGTGGAGGATCGACCACGTTCAATTCAGCTACTGTCGGTACGTATGATTACAAGACAACAAATCACTAGTTTTATTTATTTTCATAATTTATATAACATATCATTTAGTTAGATTTTACGAGTGGTACGTGCATGAACTGATGAACACACTAAAATACAAAAATAACATATTCAACATTTTCAATTTTTGTATTTCATTTTCTCATAGGACGTATAGATTCAAGATTTTGGTTATCGTTATTTATCCTTGCAAGGTTTCCGTACAATTTCGTGGAAAGTATTAGTCAAACTCAATTTGTTTTGATGCTTCGTGGGATATTTACAAGTATACGCAATCCTCTATTATTTGACAATGATTAGTTTTTATTAAAAAGAGACATAGCTATATATAATGAAAAAGTAATTAATATCGTTTATGTTTTCATGCAGCGGCGGTCGGTGACGGTTTTATCGCGCGTGGAATAACGTTTAGAAACACGGCGGGTGCGAGCAACAGTCAAGCGGTAGCTCTAAGATCCGGGTCGGATCTATCCGTTTTCTACCAATGTAGTTTCGAAGCCTACCAAGACACACTCTACGTTCACTCCAACCGCCAGTTTTACCGCGACTGCGACGTTTACGGAACCGTCGACTTCATTTTCGGAAACGCAGCCGCGGTTCTCCAAAACTGCAACATCTTCGCTCGCCGTCCACGTAGTCGCACCAACACGATCACAGCTCAAGGAAGATCCGACCCGAATCAAAACACGGGTATTATCATCCACAATTCTCGGGTCACGGCAGCTTCGGATCTCCGACCCGTTTTGGGATCCACCAAAACTTATTTGGGCCGACCTTGGAGACAATATTCGAGGACGGTTTTTATGAAGACTTCTCTCGATAGTTTGATTGATCCACGTGGCTGGCTTGAGTGGAATGGTAATTTCGCTTTGAGTACTTTGTTTTACGCTGAGTTCCAGAATACGGGTCCGGGTGCTTCAACTTCGGGTCGGGTCACATGGCCTGGGTTTCGGGTGCTTCGTTCTGCTTCTGATGCTTCGAAGTTTACTGTTGGTAGTTTCCTCGCCGGTGGCTCTTGGATTCCGTCGAGTGTGCCGTTTACTTCTGGTCTCTGAGGAGTATATTTGATTAATTCAATATTATATGATGCAAAGTTGTATATACGACGCAATTGATTGGTATATTACAAAGAATAAATATCGTTTGCTTACGATATATAAATATATAATTCATGTATAATTATATTTTAGTTCTATCACATTTGTAATTTCATTACTCTTTAAACATACTGTATGAGTTACATCAATGATCACATTCTTCGTTTTTCTTTTTCTTTTTTTCGTTTCGTGCTTAGCAAACAAACGATAATATATATAGTAGGCCTTGTGGCCCATCAAGATTCTCATCATTTATAAGTTTTGTTAACGTTTGAAATATTTAATTATTTACATGTACGTTAAACAAAAATAAAAATATATATTCTCATTTACTATTAGACTCGTGCAGCAACAAGTGGTATTTTCCATCGTATATATATGGACCAAAATCGACGATGGTTACGGCCACACACGCAAAGGTCAACTCAACAGATCTATCATCTACATATAGATCAAGAAACTTATAAATCAACCAATGAAAATTGTTTGTATCATTTTGTTTTTTTCGGAATGGTCTTCGACAGATCCAATTATTTGTATTGTTACCATTATGAATCTACGACTAATACACCTGATAAGGAAATATCTGATTACGTACATGCATATACAGGTCAAGTGGCATAGAGAAAGAAATCCATAAATAGCAAGAACCGTGGCATGTGTCATTTCCATAACTTGGTTTCTATTTACACCACAAGCACAACCGGTACGTTTCCTATTGCCGTTCAATACATGCAATGCATGCATTAATTGTATTTCGTTAGCCTAACACTAGAGTATTGTTTTAACTTTTGACTGTAATAGTGGTAAATATTATGCATGTATGTGAGTGTACGGTTATTTTAGTTAACATTTGAGATTACGATTCATGTTATGTGTAGATTCGCACTACGCACGTCAACCGTAAATACACACATTATAGACATATATTGAAACAAAACACTTGCAAACCATTTAAACGAAAAATCATCTGTCAAGATTTTGAACATCTTTTACATCAAAATGCTTCGTATCCAAAAAAGACATGGCAACCAGAAAATCCGAATTTCTTTTCATTCTTAAATAGTATTCGAAATTTATAATTAGCTACTGTGAGTAAGCAAGCTACCAACCAACAAATTCTTGCGATTGATGGCTATAATCTTTAGTAGACCCATAAAGGGAATAGAATCGTGTTACGCTTGTCCTTTGAGGTTTCATCACAAAAAGCAATTTACCACTAAGTGTCCCCATACTAATCACATCATTATCGAATATAATCGCTATAACAATGATCATAATAATTATTTACATTATCACCTTACTGTACAAGTAGTACAACTCACTATCACGAAAAAGAGAAAAGTGAAAAAAGGTAACAACTAGATAGAAAAAAATAGTAAAGAAAAGGAATGATATCTACTAGAAAAGCTAAAAATCGTTTTTAACTTCTTCTCGGAATTGTCTTCAATTGCGGCAAAGACGGCTCCACGGAAACACCCGAGAACCCGACCCGGATGCGATCCGGGTCTTGACCCGTTCGAAGTCCGAATACGGACATGGGATAGTGATCCCTCCTTCGTGTCGGAATCCGTACTCTTTCTCCGATTCTCTGAGTAGCTCACCGAACAGAGGATGGTTAAAGTAGACGATGGGAACCAAAACTCTGTGAAAGTCACCGTCTTGTTGACCCACGTAGACTGCTAAGTGCCCCTTCGGAACCGGGTCGTGTTTGTATCCGGATCCTCTCGTAGACGACCCGAATCGTCTGAAACTTTGCGTGAGACGTTGTCCCCAGTTTTTGAGTTTGGCGATTGGTTGTCTCAGCCTCAAAGCAAGGCGGGTCGAGTGTAACCGGTTGTACCCGGAACGACGGGTCCGGGTTTTCCGACGGATCCATCCAGAGACTCGTAGTAGCCGTTTCCCCATTCTAAACCCTTTGACCTTCCTCATCTTCGTTTCTTCTTAACTCTAGCTTACTTGAAAAAATGTATAATTGTCACAAAACTACAGTTTTTGAGAGATCGGAGATAAATCTGAGGTTAAGCGAGCGAGATGAGAGATTGACCAACGAGTCAAACAAAGAGTGATTCATTTGGACGAGAAAAATAAAAACTTCAATCTCTTTTACATTTGTCCTAATTCACTATGCATGTATATAAAGAAACAGTTTTCAAAGAGAAAACTTTCAGAATCCGACGACGAAGAATCAGCGACGGTGAGGAGGATGATGTGAATGGAAAAATATATATATTCTTGCTGCGAATTTTTCTGTTTGACTGTGTAAACGGTAGAGAGCTAGGAAGTGATCAAGAGAAGAAGTTAGTGACATGCAAAGGATTTTAAATAGAGAAAGTTTTTGGAGTCTAAGTAAAAATGAACGGTTGGATGAAGATGAAGCTTATTGACCGTCGGATTAGCTTATAAAACTGCCACACTTTTTTTTTTTGCTTGTCAATTAGTCCAAACCAGAAGAATCTACATTAAATTTATGACACGTCCCATTAACCGTTAGCTTATACTTATCTCAAATAAAGTTCGATTTCAAGTTTCTTTATTCATATCGTGTACAAAAAAAGCCAAATGAGGTTAAATTTAGTAGGTTGGGAATGCTATTACTTTCGTCAAATCATAGCTAAAGTCTTGTTCTCTGGTTTATAGTAGAGAAAAAACTAATTAACTTTTCTTTGATTATCTGAAAATGTTATGTCGGAGCTTCATCGTTATATGTTTTTATGTTCGAAGAAGACGACAATCATGCCACCACACGTGTGCTGGCAACGTGGCATATATTTTTGAACCTATTCGAAAACACTCACACGAGCTGCGAAACCCCACCATTTCATTTTCTTTATGTTATAGTGATCATCTACTGTGTTAGGTTAGTGATCATCTAGCTGTATGTGATTTAATTTGCTAGAAATATACTCTTATAATAATAAGAGAACAAAATGTGTACGGTGTGTCCTCTAGTTGCGTTACTTGCGTACGTTGATAATGGTTGATAAACATATTCGTATTATGAGAGCGGGACAAGAGACATTTCTAAAAAAAACGAATAAAGATAGATCTAGTGTTGATTTTTTGACTTTTTCCTAAAAGCAAATTGTATTTATATATTTTTAACCCGACAAGTTTATCTTCCTTTAATATTTTTGTAGTCCGCATCTTAGCTAAAAGACGTTTAAACGTTCATAATTGATATGACCTGGAGAAAATATTCGTATTTCTTGATCATATTTGTGCCCATCACTGTTTCTATACACCCATTGATTAAAACATATCTTACTGAATTGAAAACGATCCGATATGTCTGTCGTCACACTTACAAGGTTAAAGACAATACAAAAATGCTCAAATTTAAATCAGTTACTTCGCTATGATATTGATCAAACTTCTGCGAAATGTAAAACTGTTGAAAGTGCACATTCACAATTAGTAAAAGCTATGATTTCATCAAAAGAAAAGTTGGCCACATTTTCACGATCACACGAAAATTTGTTTTGGACCTTTTCGATTATGAGAATTCAAAAGAAGTTTGTTCCAAACACTTCTCCTACATGGAATCTTTCCCCTTTAACTCCCAAGTCATCTGCTTCGTGTTTCCGTACCGTTCGTACTTCGTGTCACTCGATTTAAGCAAGGGCCCACATGACGCGCGTTCAATTTTTGTCTCTACAAAAATTGGGCCTAATGAAGCCCATTTTTTATAAACTCCATGGGCTAAATGGCCCATAACTGGCTGGTCTCTTCTACTGTTGGTTTCGGCCCGAAGAAGCGGAGGAGCGAAGAGCGATCCGCTCGTTCGAAGCTGCTTGCTTTAATTGATTTCATCAGTTTCATTTATAATCAAATCGTTTAGCTGTGGTTACTGCACGGAGAGCTCCGGCATTGTCTCACGGCGGAGCTGGCGAGTTATCGGAGAACGGAGGAGGTTACAGTTCTGGATTGGTGAAGATCGGAAATGACAGATTCGAGTCTGGATCTGCAGGAATCGGGATGGGAGGAACTTCGGAGGGAAGCTCGTAAAATCGAAGGCGATCTCGACGTCAAGCTCTCTTCTTACGCGAAGCTCGGCGCCAGGTTTACTCAAGGAGGTTCGTTCTTCTTCAATTCCCGCTTTGATCATGCTCTCTCTGTGTGTTTCTTATTTCTCCTTGCTCGTTATGTTCCTGTTATCCTCTATTCATCGAATGTAGGATCAGGATCACTAGTCTGTAATGTGATATCAGATCGAGGAGTTAATTTAGATACGATCTCATCATCGGATTGAATTTTGATCGATATTGCCTCTCACTCTCTGTTCTGGCTCCCCAATTCATAATTCTGCTTAGTTCAATCACTTTCAAATTCATGTGTGATGGTGACGATAGAGAAATTCTTCTTTGATGGTATTTCAAGTGTTTGTGTTGTAGAACGGATAAATCTCAATGCTTCTGTATAGTGATGTTTCCCACCAATTTTGTCAATTTTTTTGATGGTAGTGCTTCCTCAGAAATGATGTATTTGTTCCATGTGTAATTGAATCTCTAGGATGAAATTTGTGCTGTAAGCTTACTGATTTGCAATAGACTTCAGATTTCAAGAATTCCATTGTGTGAGTTTGTATTGTATCACATATTTAACGAGTTTGTTATTGAAAATGGATCAGTAGAGAGTCTTGAAATGGAAAGTTCAGGTTAATTTCTTGAGCCAGCTTTGATATGTTTTGATCTCAGGGTATGTTGACGCTGGGTCTCCAACGGTTGGATCTGGAAGATCATGGAAGTCGATGGAGATTGAAATCCAGTCGTCGCTTGAGAAGTTGTTGGACATAAACGACTCCATGAGTAGATGTGCTGCATCAGCGGCACCAACAACATCCGTTAATCAAAAGCTAGCTCGACACAGAGATATACTTCATGAATATACCCAGGTTTTTTCTTGCATCACTGTTTCTAAAGATGATTTATTTCTTTTATAACCATTTGTTCTTTTCAAATGCATCCTCACACTGATGACTTTGAGTGAAATCTGCAACAAACTTTCTAATTTTGACTATTCTGATCTCAACAAACAACTTCGGACCAATATTCTGCTTTATAATCTGTTCTCATGTAATATGCTTAGGAGTTTCGGAGAATAAAAGGGAATATAAACTCGATGAGAGAACATGCTGAGCTTTTGAGTTCCGTCAGGGAAGACATAAGTGAATACAAGGTATGAATCTTATAGCCTCTCTAGTTTAGATAATTAATATTCTTTAAAGGTTAAGATATACATTCTGCTATGCTCACATTTTGATAGGAAGAGTTGATTTATGTATTCGGTTATGCAGGCTTCTGGTAATATGTCACCGGGAGTGCAAGTCTTAAGGGAGAGATCTTCCATCCATGGAAGCATAAACCATGTAAGTTACTTTCTGCAGTCAATGAGTTTTGTAGCCTTATGTTACATAGCCTTCTTTTACAAGGAAGATGCTAATAGTTCAAGAATCAATTTGGCTGCAGATTGATGAAGTTATTGGTCAAGCTCAAGCGACAAGAGCCGTACTAGGCTCTCAACGATCTCTGTTTTCAGATGTTCAAGGGAAAGTAAAAGGTCTCGGAGACAAGTTCCCAGTGATTCGTGGCTTGCTTGGTATCTATCTCTTATTCAAACTCTATATGATCTTTTTAGCTATCTCTCATTAACCTTTAACTATCATTTGTCGCCATTTTGTAGGCTCAATTAGAAGGAGACGTTCTCGGGACACACTTATCCTCTCGGCTGTCATTGCTGCTTGTACGTTGTTTCTAATCATCTACTGGCTCTCTAAATAAACCAGTCTGTTCATACACCTAAACTATAAAAGCGACTTCCTTAGATCGATTTTTTTCCCAAGTTTATCTTGCTTTTGTGTTTTGCCATTTTGATGGGTTGTTTGTTTGTAGGATAATAAAATATTACACCCTGAAATTCAAAAAAAAAAAACACACATTTTTCACAACATGAAATCTATATCCATCATCCATGTGACATCACTCAGGGTACTTGGATTTTTTTACTACACACTAAGATTCTTCAATTGTCCGATACATGACAATGTGGTCCAATAAACACTATTTGCGTTAGATATTTCTTTTACTCTCAATCCCTTTGGTTTTGGTCCTTTCGACCACAACACTAGTACGAAAAAGTAACCCAGCTCATAAATTGATCTCTCAGCTTACATAAAAGGTATCTCTCTTTGTTTTTTTTTGATGGGGACACACACACTGATCCAGTCCTTTTATTCATTTATTTCACTGTACCTTGCCTTTGATTTTGAATCAAAGGTCTCACACCGGCTTAGAAATATAGTTGTGGACCAACTTGGCCTACCTTCGTTAAAGCCAGGGTTTGATTTTGCTAGATTAGGTAGATTTAATTTCGATTAGATCGGGTTAATAGTACGTTGAAACATCTCTAATCGACTTATGGTTGCATATAGTCTAAACGAGGAAAGTAACTAGAGTTACTCCCACATATGATTCCGTTAGCTAATACTAATTGTGGTTCGAATAATATTGTTTTTGTTTGGAGATTGTAATTTAGCTTTTGGCCTTTTGCTATGATACATTGGCTGGACATAGGACTAGGAATCAGAGGCTTTTTTTAAAATAAAAGCTTTGTTAGATTCTACGCTTCCCAATGGGAGACCGTTTCTTACGAAATTTAAGACAATAAAACACTCAAAAGGATCAGGAGAGGTTCAGTTTCTCTTTTTGGTTAAAAGTGAAAAATATTATCGTTATTATTTCGTCAAGACAGATGATATATGGTATTTATAGGATATAGTACTAACAAAACATTGAACCATCACTTATATTCGATAACTCACGGATCGGGGATACAAACCATTAGGAATAATATAATCGAACAAATTTATAAAGCTCACAAAATTCTTCTTCTTATGTGATTGTATAAACAGACCGATGTTTTTAACGGTTGAT